GATAATTTATAACCTCATTTATATTTATACTAATTTAGGATACAAGGATCATTAGGTATGTTTGGAATATAAGTGTTAATGTGCGTTAGGGGTCAGATAAATGTGTACGCAAAACATGTTCTTCTCAGGGGTGTGATTAACAACTTCCGGTTACAAAGGAAGCGTTAATTCATATTTTAATTTAACATTTGAACATTTAAGCATGTAAATTTAATTATGGCTATTTAATTAATAATGAAATTATATTTTTTTTGTTTTTTACAATAAATTTTTATAAAATGCTTATTATTGATTTAAATAAATATTAAATTATATATTGTGCAAATTGAATTGCAAAACAAGAATAAAAATAATAAAAATACAAAAAGGTGCGACATTTGAAAGGAATCCTTTGGGATTTGCAAAATGTGGAGGCGCCGGGCTAACGTGCAAGTTGAAGTGGAAAACCTCACGGGATTGCGCTGCATTTCCTTTCCAGATGCTTGAATTTCATCGCTAGTTTCAATTTTCATAACGTTTATAACGTGTGCACCGTGTGCGCAAACTATTCACATTTCAAAATTTGATACTAACATTTTCTAAAAGTAGAGAATATACGTGTAGTTTTTTTGCAAAAAAAATCCTAGAAAAGACGAAATTTATTTTACATTACTGCGAATCGAAATATACGACTGTTTGAAACTGGGTGAAACTGTGTGAAGTGTAAAAAGGGATGATCCAACACATAAAACATTAAATAACAAACATACAGTATGTTTTAATAATATATTTTTAAATAAATCATATTTTCAAAGCATTAAAATATGTTTAATATAAAGTTTTAAAATTAGTATATGATTTTATAACAAATATGCATCTAGCAAAAGTTTAATTGAATTATTTACTGTTTTATTATTTAGAAGTTGTTTTGAACATATTGTATGATACTCCACATGAATTATGTCACAATCCCGCTGAGTATACTTATGGCTGCAATAAATTTCGGCGTGGATTATCTTTAGACTTTTATTCACACCCAGCGTGATAAGTATTCGCATTTCTAAGCAGTAAAGTAATACAGAGTGTTTAAAAAAGCAAACTTTTGTATGTTTAGAAAAAAGGCATTTGTTGTCAGTAAAATTTTACTGGAAAAGTTAAGAAGAAAGCTTTAAGAAATACAGCTTTCCTAGAAGTTAACTAGTTTACTCGGCCAGCATGAGTTCGAGGAGTTTTCGAGAAGTTATTGAGATTTTCGCACGTATTCTCAAGTCTCAAGTGCATTCAATGCCAATATTACGGCAACGTGGAGAATGATCTCACGTCGGATAAAAGTTGGAAAATCCACGGGAGATGGGAAATAAAATAGAAATTCGAAAATGACAAATTTAAACAAACTCAAATTTCTATTTCAATTTTAAATTTTTGTATTCGTCATAAAATTTTTGCAAAATTTACATGTATATAAAACTATAAATACTATTAGCTTTTGCCCGCGGCTTCGTCTCGGTAGTGTATTATAAAAAAGTAATTCATTTTTACTAGCTTATTCTAGACATAGTATGTGTCAATTCTATCAATAAGATTCGCAATTTTATTTTAAAGAAATTAATTTTATAAAGAAGTTTAACTATAACTATGATTGAATCTCAATGTCAACTTTTTGCCTATAGAAAAGGGCTGTCTGTAGGATTTTCTCGGCAATTATTCGAATTTTTCTTGCCGTAAAAGCCATTCTTGGACTTTAACGAACATTTAAAAAAAAGAATTGGCCAAATTAGTTTAGGCGTTGTTGAGTTATGCGCTTAGCAACAAATTTTGCAATTCATTTTTTATTATAGATAGAAACAATTAACTTATTTACATAACTTCTTCTATGTTCACTTATTATACCACAACTCAAACATTAATTTAATTAAATTTACACTATTTATTTCATTTTAAAAGACAAAATAAATTCTCATTGTGTTAAAATCAGTGTTAAAACCGTTGAATCAATGTTCCTCGTATTTTCACTTCGCTATTTGTAGTTTTGTACTTATTTGTAGTTGTTTGTAGTCGGCGGTGATTACCCGTATTACAGTAGTCAATGAGTCAGCAAGTTCCTTCTTCCTTCGTTTATTCTCTGCTCAACGCGTACGTGTTACATGCCCCCAACTTCGAATGCACGCCATGCGGCATTATTCTGTGGCGCAGAGATTCCATCCTGCCTTGTCGCTCTTTTTTATTCTTGTACAAATGCATTTAACCAAACGTACGAACTGCTACGTTTTGCTTCGGAAATGAAGCGGAAATTGCGCGTCGCGTACGTAGAGCATATTGTATTCACGCAGACAATGTTTAAAAGCTTTGGAGGTTATATTTTTTGATTAAACAACACACATGCCATAAAAAATAAAAAATAAAAATCATATTTAACTATCTATAATATAAAAAAAAATCGCAAACTCTGTTGGTAAGCGCATAACTCAAAAACGCCTAGACAAATTTGGTCAATTCCTTTTATAAATGTTTGTTAAAGTCCAAGGATGGTTTTTACGGCGAGAAAGTTTTGAATACTTGCCGGGAAAACCCTAAAGACAGCCCTTTTCTAGAATATAAAAGTTGGCATTGAGGTTCAATCATAGTTATAATTAAATAGTTGAATCCGAGATGGCGCGCTGAAGTGCATTATTAGCAATTCATTATATAATTAGTTGATTTAAAATAAAATTGCGAATTTTATTGATACAATTGACACATACTATGTCTAGAACAAGAGAGTAAAAACAACTTACATATTTATTAAACACTACAGGGACGAAGTTGCGATCAAAAGCTAGTTTATAATATTTCTTTTGTTCTATGTACTCATAGGTTCTTAAATAAATAAATAATTAAATAAAATTCCTTCAATTCTCTTTGTTACAGGTAGATATTAAGTTATTATGAGGTTGACATGTATTTGATTGTTTTCTTACGTAGTTATTACATCGCTGTTTGTATGTCACTCACGTGTGCAGCGAACATTTTTCATTCGTTCGTTTATTCATTGTATCTGCAATTGACGTGCGCTCCGCATGTGGCACACACACCAGGAGATTTTCGTTTAGGTTATGTTGACAACGCTGTGAATGCAACACTGTGGCGAAGCGATTTACGAATATCAATTCGCAGAACTGTCGGGGTTTATTGTTGAGTTTGCAGTGCTTCGACTTGTTTGCGCAAGCAATTATAATGAAAATTGTGCAATAATGTTTCCAACAAAGTAACTAAACATATTCAATATTAATTTAACTTTAAAACTTTAGTTTTACACACTAATTAAGGTAAAATATGTTTTTTTGCTTTTAAAAGTGTGTAAAATTAGATTTTTAACACAAGTGTTGAAAAATATTACTTTATACGTCAAAATAACACATTTTTATTATTTTTCTTACGAATATTTTATGATTAAATTGGAAATATGTTTCCTCTGTTTTTTTAAGTCAGATTTCCGTTCTTTGTCGATTTCGCCAGCTTGTTCCATTAATAAAACGTAGCCTGCCATTGTGCACGGCTCGTGATTTTATTGACCCGCTGCTTCCGATTAAATTAAACTTTTTGTCGGTCTCTATTGTCAAGAAACTCGGCCGAAAATCAATCAAACACAAAAAATCTCATCCGTCTTGATTTCTTATATAATATCATATTAATCTAAAAGTATTATATCTTTTTCTCTTAAATAATATTTACCCAAGATGGTAAATGCTACCTTTGTTATTCAAAAACAAAAGTTGCTTCAATTGCTTGTATAAATAAATATATAAATTTAAGAATCCGAGTCAAAGCTGGAAAGTCTTGAAAGCTTTTAAAGCTTTTGGCGCAAAGGAAAAGCATACGAGTCACATTTTCAAAGTTTTCCACTGCGTTGTTCTCCAGCGTTACGTAAACGAACTTAAAATTCAGATATTCCGCGCACGCACCATCAAAATATTTTATGTTTTTGTGGTTTATGGAAAGCGCGATGCCGACGTGCCATTTGTCATTCGAAACTTTTTTTCCAGTATAAAAATGTGAACGGATTTATAGAAAATCTTAAAATTTACTTCCGCCTACACACAACAAAAATATTATACTTAAATTAATATGTAAAAGCAAACGAGAAAAAATGGCGTACGTTCTATAAACTCAAATTACATCTTGCTCCAACTGCGTTACATCACGTTTCATTAAAACTTCTTCACATTTCATCAAAATTTCATTTTCGGAAGGGCTGCGAAGCGCTGCGCTCATTTTCTTTTATCGAGTGCTTTCGGCCATTCAGTCGGCGCGGTAAATGGACCCTCGGCGGTTTGTGACGCGTCGACTGCTTCTTCTCGTTCAACAAATGTCCTTACTCCTACTTGTACTTATCCTGTATTGTTTGCCATGCTTTTTTGTCCTTTTTGTTTCTTGGAAGTTTCTGCGCTGTGCTCACCTCTCAACTATTCTGTATTACTGTCCCGTGATATCCTTAAGAGCATAGTGGAGTTATCCTGACTGGCAAGGACATACGGAAACTGAGGAACTGAGAAACTGGTAGTTCATTGCGACGCGTTGAATGTTTGTCATTTAATTCCGGTGGATTCCGAATGGGTGCTAAAAATAGCTCATTCAAACGTGTGATAGGTGATATAATAATAGAATTTTATTACAACGTGTAGAAATTATTATTGTATGCGTATTGTCTCAAGATTAAATCTATTGTAAAATTGAATACAATGGAATTATTCACTGAAGCCAACTATCTATAGTGTTAACAAGATAATTCAAACAACTGTTGCTCATACTCGTATGCTTTCATTAGTTCTAACCTCCAAAGTGTGTTCAGTGCTCAATGCTTGAATTAACACTTTCCTTTTGCTTTGTTCCCGTATTTCGGGCTTATTTAACACCTAAATGCTTAGAACATAGATTACAAGTGTTTAGAATTGATCTTGATTTATTTATAGGTGATTTTACATAGGCAACCAGTTATACACTTATGTATGATGAAATTAATTAGTTGTTTTTTGCATTTACAGATGGAGGGGCTGGTGCGGGAGATGCAGGACGCAGACAACGGCGTTCCCGTCCGAAGTCAGAAGATCTTCCTCACTTCAATTCCTTCGGCCTTCATGGGTAAGAGTCATCAAGCTCATCATTCACAGAAGCACTTAGGTACACCCCTCTCTAACGGTGGTGGTTGTTTCTTGTTGTTTGTACAAAACCTCCTCCTTGATGTGCATTGCATACATAACCTATAAAAATTACACTCGCGGACGAACTTTATTTTCTTTGCGTCGTTATAACTTGTTTGGGTCTTAACGTCTCGTTTTCTTGTTCGTTAGCGCATTTTCCGATGCAAAACGCAACCTAGTTTCCGCGCAACGCTGAGCCTTAAAAGGACAAACGAAACGAGATGAAAAGAATATTAAGGATAAAATAAGATGAGACGTTGAAAAAAAGTCGGCGCATAACACAAAGTGATGAAGAGTAAAAAGTTTTCAAAAAGGTGCAAAACGAGGCGCATGAGCGTAATAAGAAGTAGGACGAAGGATGAAGGAAGTCGCGACGTGCAATTATTGGCAGCAACGACGCTGCGCACTTTTTTCTTCAAGCATTTCCACAAATAAACATAAATGAAATTAGAATTTTTAATTTTCTCATTTCATATTCGTTAACTTTATAATATTATTTATTACATTCTGTAAATAGCAATGTCGTGGAAGTAAAGAGCACTTGTCAAAACAAATTCTCGTCTTCGTTAGGTGAAAAGGAGGAAAAAAAAAATACACGTCGTAAATATTACAGGAAATAAAGCATTTCACAACAAATTAACAACGGTCGGATGCAAGAATGCGAATACGAATGTGAATGCAAAAGTCGGAGCGTTAAGTGATGAATCACAATGAAATTGAATTTCAGCACGACGAACAAAATTTCGTCCTGTTTTCCGGCGCGCAGCAAACTCATTCGTTCCGTCGCTTTGCATTCGACATATGACATTTGACATTTCACCAACACACAAGCGCAGCATTCATTACGGTTTCTGGATTATTATTCGACATTCATCACTGTTAATAATAATAATTTTAATTCCCGAATAGGAAAATGCATTCAATTGTTTGCAAATTAAACTTTTGATAATAAATTTCAATTTATTTGCAATACAATATGAATATTTGGTGGATTTAAATAAAATTGGGTTTTTGAGTTGTAAAAATAGTGAATAATTCAGTTTTTAAGCGTTTTGCAAATGAGTTTTAACTTCGAACCCGTTTAAATGCGCTTGACTTTTCGTTTTACGACGTATTTTGGACGACGAAAGCGTTTAATGCGATGGTGAAACGGAAATTGCAATCTTGCATGGCAATTAAACCTTTTTGATTAGTTTTTACGCTGTTTTACTGTTACATATGCGTTTATTTCGGGAATACCCAATCGAAATTTTGTCATGAGAGTTAAATGCATCTGCGTCAATTCACATAATTCAAAAGGCATAAGTTTTAACATTTATTTGTGCATTCTGTTTATATTTATTCTATTATTTAATTAATTTAATTCTAAATTGTATAATGAATATCAAAACGTGACACGCTAAATGTTAAACTCTGGTTTTATTCATATTTGTGATTGAAATTTGCAAATGCTCAACTCCAAAGCGTAGGTGAATAAAACGTTAAAATTGCGACATTGTAATTTAAATGCATTCACAAGTGAGTTAATTAACAATATAAATCGAATAGTATAACGTGCGATATGTTTTAATTAAATTTTTCAATATTTTTATATTAAAACAAATCGTTGACGTTTGCAATATGATAGGTCTCAACATGTTTTAATCGAGGTTTTTAGCGTTTTAAACTAATAAATATGCATTTTTACTGGTTTTATTCAGTTACATGTGATTGTAGGTTATGTAACTCTTAATATATGCAATTGTAGAAGCATTTTTAACGGTAATAAAAAAAAATTAAATTAGTAATTGCTATCGTTAAATTTATCGTGCAATTGAACTGGCTCGTAATTTTTTTAGGTGTAAACTTTTTTATATTCAATTATCTTATTTTTATACTTAAAGAAATTGAATGTGAAAGGGAATGCGGTCCTGAAAACAAACCAGAAGAGACGCGTTAAAGTATGGTGTGAAAATTACTTTTTTCCTTTCATACCATCGCAATGTTTTCGCTTTATAGCTACCTATCCGTGTATTTTTTGCTTTCGTGTTTTCTTCTTTTCAGCTTGAATTATTTTGCGTTTGGTTCTTTTCACTTTTTCGACGCCACGCTCGTTGCTTTCATTGCTTTCGCGTTAACACCAGCTGGGAAAGCTCGAGTATAATGCGAAAATATTGACCTGAAGTAACGTGATAATACCAATTTTTGGAAAATGCCGGGAAAAGATGAAAATATGACCCAAACATATGAAATTTTCTGAAAAGAAATAAATCTAATAATCTATACTACTTTTTATACACAATGAAATATACAATATTGCTATTTATTTATTTTCACAAATTACAATCACACAAAATTAGTGTAAGCTTGTTTGTTCTCTGTTAAACATGTTTCAACCACGTTGTGATAATAAGAAACACTTAAAACAAATTTTTTAATTTGTGTATTATAGGTTATGACTTAATTGAATGGCTTATGGACAGACTCAGTATCGAAGAATCTGGTAAGATATGAAACATAAATAATCTTCTTTAACATGATTTCAATGCAATTTTTATTAAAATTTCAGAGGCTCTCAATATTGCCAATCAATTATGTCAATATGGCTACTTCTTCCCGGTCAGCGACTCTAAGAACTTGGTCGTTAAAGATGACAGCTCCCTCTATCGGTTTCAGGTATTTACTTTTTTTAATTTCCTTTCAATAGCATTTATTTGCGGTTATGTTGCAGTCCCCGTACTATTGGCCATGGCAAAATCGTCCTCCCGACCAAGTCGAATACGCCATCTATCTGGCGAAGCGCACACTGCGCAACAAACAGCGGCACGGCCTCGAAGACTACGAGCTGGAGGCGCTCGGCAATCTGCGCAAGAATCTCGCCAACAAGTGGGATTTCATCACAATGCAAGCTGAAGAACAGGTAAAACAAATAACTATCAATTATGCAACATTTCTAATTCTTATAGTATCATTTTTACGAAAGAAGCAAAAAATAAAAAAAAAGCGGCGGAACAAGTCATTCATTACTTTAATGACTCAACATTCCAACGTTTCAGCTTTGTTTTAGTTTAGTTAAGGTTAGACTCGTAATGGCGTCACGAAAGGTTTCTTGTCGGTTTCATGCTTCTTTCGCATAGAAGTTAATGCGATGCGTTTGTTCGCTTGGCGGCTGGTAATAAAGATTACGGCTGGAATTCTCTCAGTTCTTTCATGGGGAGAGGCAGTTATTCTTGTAAATTAGTTGCTTAAATCTTTCTTTTGTCCTGTGCATACCTAACTAAACAATAAAAGGAAGTTTTACTTGAAGATTAAATCTTAAACTTTCTAACAATTAAATTTTAGGTTATAAAACACATTTTTATAGGTTATACAAACAAAATATATTTAAAAATAATACGTTTTTATTTATTAACTAGCTTTTTGCGATTGTATTGAACAAACATGAAATTCGTTTTTACTCTCTTGTTCTAGACATAGTATGTGTCAATTCTATCAATAAGATACGCAATTTTATTTTAAAGAAATTAATTATATAAAGAATTACTAATAATGCACTTCAGCGCGCCATCTAGGATTCAACTTTTTAACTACACCTATGACTAACTCTCAACAATTATACTATAAATTACGGCTGTTTTTAGGGTTTTCTCGGCAATTATTCGAAATTTTCTAGACGTAAAAACCATTCTTAAACTTTACCGAACCTTTAAAAAAAGAATTGGCCAAATTGGTCAAAGCGTTGTTGAGTAATGCGCTTACCAACAGATTTTGCAATTTATTTTTATATTATAGATGTTTATTTAAATGTTTGACTGCGTCCTGAACGTTTATGTGCGTGTTTATGTATGAAATCAAACTAGATGTAGCGATAGTAGAGTATTACTATCATGAAGTCAATTCGTTGGTAGAGCCGATAATGTGTGTAACTTCCGGTCGGGCTGACGTTGATGAACGAGCACGAATAAAGGGAATATCCGGCGTGAAAGTAATCAACTAACGGAAAGAATCTGATCTTACAATATTTTCTTTTCTTTTCTTTCCACATATTCTCGTCATGTTTACACAAAATATAACTCCGACATCAAATCACATAGTTAAATATATTCAATGACGTGTTATTGATCAATTTATTAATCTCTTGAATAATTATTTTGTTTTTGTTTTTATGTTCTTTTAATAAGTAAAATATTGCGCGTCTTTAAATGAAATTAAAACTTTTTCGATTTGCTTCTGGGCTGGGGTTTGTGTTGAAGTTGTTGAAAAACCAGACGGCGCACGTTCTCGTTTTGAGTGGTGTGTTTGACTCGAAAAGGTAAACGAAGTAACTTTTCCAATTATCTTATCGCATTACACATATTAGCCGAAATGGCAAATTGCATTTTACGTTTGCAAAACAAGCTGCCCGTCGGCGATACGAGCAGCAGTGGATGTGCGAATGTTTCGTTAAAACGGAAAGAGTAACAGCAACCGCAGCCTGCGTCAATGGTTGCTTAACAAGCGTTGTGGTCTCGACAAACAAACACGACAAGAAACAAACGATGCATACAAACTGTCAAAAGCAGAGTTAATGAATTGTTTGCTTTTGAAAAATATTACAAGCAAAATATTTAACTGAAACAAATTGATGTAAAATTGGTTGTCTAACTTGCATTTTATAGATTTCTAACCTATCATTACCACTAGAGGAAATAATGTTTGGTTGACTTGCGTCTAACTGCTATTTGCTGCGTTTATAATATAAAAAATGAATCGCAAAATGTGTTGGTAAGCGCATAACTCAACAAAGCTTTGACCAATTTGGCCAATTCTTTTATTAAAATGTTCGTTAAAGTCCAAAGATGGTTCTCACGGCGAGAAAATTTCGAATAATTGTCGGAAAAACCCCAAAGACAGCCCTTTTCTATAGAATAAAAGTTGGCATTGAGATTCAATCATAGTTATAGTTAAATAGTTGAATCTGAGACAGCACGCTGAAGTGCATTATTAACAATTCTTTAAATAATTTTTTTTCAATAAAATTGCGAATATTATTGATAGAATTGACACATACTATATTTAGAACAAGTGAGTAAAAACGAATTACATTTTTTAAACACTATCGGGACGAAGTCGCGAGCAAAGCTTCGAAATGGCCGTATTTTACTTTAAAAATATGAGATGCATAAATATTTCCATTAAACCAGGAAGTACTAAATAATAAATAATAAAAGTAATGATATAAATTATCATTTCCTGTATGAGTAACGAAAAGAAACTTTATTTGAAATGCGATAAGTGTGCGTTACTTATCATAATTTTGGAAGATAACACTATGTGCACTCCATTGATAGAATCAATACGTTTGCATGCAGTCTGCACTTAAATTGGAAACCACGTTGAGACTAACTTTGTGTAAATTGTATTCAATTATTAACAAACACAAAACATGCAGAAAGTAATTCAAGTATTAACACCAAAATTAGGACGAAAACAACCACAGGTATTTAAAACAATCAAAATTTCGTACTTTTCATATTTGTAACTGACCAATCCGCCATCTTGCTACTACATACGTTAAAATCAATTATCACACGATTGCTAACCGGCGTTAAGTAATCAAGTGATGGACGACGCTTGAACGCATCTACGTCTATTGACCTGCCAATCCTGATTTGCTTCAATTACCGCCAATCATTTGCTATAATTCGTCTAATTTGATGTCTACGACAATCATATGATTCGTCTGCTACTATTAAACGCACTTTACTTAAGTACTTAGTACAAGTTTTAACGTTTTCGAAGTGATTTGAATCAAATGTTTGATTTCTGGATATTGCAGGTTAAACTGGCGAAGGTGTTGAAAAAGGGCGATAAGATCGTAAGTGATTCACAAGAGCGTGCATATTGGCGCGTTCATCGCCCACCCCCGGGAATCGTGAGCTCCCTTGAGCAATGCCCTGTTCCCACTCGTTGTCGCAACGGAAATCGGTCCCGGAAGCGTACTATAGAAGATGGCAAACGTGAGGTAAGCAGAAAAGAATTTCATATAAGCATATACTTAAAATATTTACTTTGTAAATTTGGTTGCATACATTATTTTTGTATGTTTAGGTTGAATTATTAAAGAACAGTTTGTCGAGAACGCGTGTCAAAGTGTCGCAAGCTCTAGAAAGCATGGTGCAATACGTTGAGACATATTCGGAGTACGACCCGCTGATAGCCGGGACACAACCCTCCAACCCTTGGGTCAGCGAGGATCTCACCTTCTGGCAGCTCAACGGCCCACTGTAAATACATCAAACTATAATATAAACACATTAACCTCAATCATGGCCATAACAATACATCAAACTATAATATAAACACATTAACCTCAATCATGGCCATAACCACAATTTGTATCTATTTAGGATTTATTGTGTGTCTAATGATTTAGGTTTCTATTTGTGAAATTGTTTAGGGTGGAAGCGCCGACGGAAAAACGAGTAAAACGATGGGGATTAACCATAGAAGAGCTGGTTGCGGATCCCACCGGTCTGCAGGAGTTTACCGCCTACCTGCGCAAGGAGTACAGCCACGAGAACATCCGGTTTTGGACCGCTGTCAACGATCTACGACGCTCGGCGGCGAGCCAGATACAACGAAAAGTGAACGAGATATTCGAGTAAGTTACAAACTACCTCCATCAATTCACATAAATTCCTCTTCGACACACACCATTTCTCTTCATTTATTACCCGGCGAACATTCTCGTAGTTTAAATTATGCATAATGCATTCCGCATCGATTAATTATTCATTATGATCCTGGTGATCCGGGGTGATAATGGTATATAATGCGAAATTCATCGGCGATGATGTTAATTAATGCTCGGAGAGATGCCGGAAATGAGAGAATTGAATATGCATTCGGTGTTTGCAGGGAGTTTCTCGCGCCGGGCGCTCCTTGCGAGATCAATATCGACGGGAAAACGATGGAGCGCGTCCACCAGGAGATGAAGACGCCCAGCCGGTTTACGTTCGACTGCGCCCAGGAGCACGTCTACACGTTGCTGCTCAAGAAGGATTGCTATCCGCGTTTCATACGCTCTGAGCACTATAAGAATCTGCTAGCGACTGGCATTCAACCGTCTGCAAAGAAAAGGTAACCTTAAAATGAGGTTATGTTTCATTCTGTCAAGTGTCACATGTCAAAACTATTAAAACGTGTGTAATTTAATACGTTTTACATACTAATTGGATTTTAACCAAATTAAAATTCATATTTTCGTCATACGCATATAAATATTTTATTTGCTCACATAAATTGATGAAACCCGATGCGAGTTCATTTAAATTTTAATGATCTCATATCAGTTTTCTTTTTTACATTCATCGAACATTTTTGATTTATCCTCGCCCCTAAAAAAGCAATATAATTTTTTATCACCGCATCAAATTTCAATGTCCGGAAAATCCGGCGGAATAAAATCCTATTTAATATTCGCTTCTACGATTTTTGACATGACACATGCTTTTGTACCTCTGAAATATTAAAATATTATTTAATGCCTAAAAATTAACCTGACAAGATGTGACATGCTTTTATATGATAGTGACAAGGGATGAGGATATTAAGGGATGAAAAATTACCTAACCTTAAATGGGGTATTATAATATTGCAAAATAAAGAGTTGTGCGCTGGTTTGGGCAGGCATAATTAATGAGTGTAAGCGGAAACGCGGTGTGTCATGGCGGCCATTTATTACAGACGTCACAAACAACCCTTGTGAGTTGGTGAAAATAACCGCAGTGATTAGAATTATAAATTAGTACGATTTTTCAATGCCTATTAATTTATGCTTTTAATCTTGGCGAACACACTGTATAAGTAAATATTTAAACGATCCGATTTAACGTTTTGTGCTCGCTGCTTCTTTAGCATTCAGGGTTGAGGAGTACCTTTTTAAATACGAACTTTCCGCTCGCCGCTCATATTGATTTATTTTCCTCGGCCTCTATGGCCTCCTGGCTTCCTAGCGCGGGGGCGGCGAAGGCGTGCTTTTTAATAACCGCCTAACCACCCGATCGGAGGGTGTTTGAATCGCTCAAACGTGCGGTGCTAGGTTAGAAGGAATGGAAATTATAGATGAATTGAAATGGAAATTAATGGATGAATTCGAAGTCTTTACAGAATGCAGACGACTCGCAAAACGAGGAAAAACGAGGCGAGAAGAAGCGAAATGTATGATTGGAAATTATCCGCCGCTGGTTTTATTTGCCAATGCGCCAAGACGCTTAAATTAATCAAGGGAATTAAAAACTTTTCAAAGCCAGCGCTGGAAAATATGAGAGGGAATTTTTAAACGATCGAGATTTAAAAAATGAATAATTAACGTAGATAAATATTAGTTTTTTAATTTTACAAATGGCTGAATGTCAAAAATAATTTTAGGTTAAATTAGGTTATGGTAACATTTTGACAGCTGTGAAAACTGTCAGATTTTTGTTATTTTATTCGGAATCCAATTAACTTGTTGCATTTTTCTTGGTTTTGTATCAAAAATAAACTCTTTTCCGCACTGCGATGAACCGAAACCTGAAATCTAGCCTCCAACACTTGTTGGCAGTTGTTAGTTATCTGTGCGCGTATTGCGGGGGTTATTTGTGGTGTGGAAGTTTTTGCGTTGCTCGCGCCTCGGGTTAATAATACCCGCTTTGCGCTCGCCATTTCAACTCCAGCGAACAAGTTGAAGCCGAAACCCTGAAGGACGGGCGGCTTCCATTTTCCTCTTTTCCAGCGGCGTGTACATTCATTGCCTGCCACGTGACCAGCATGCGAATACCGCCGGCACGCCGGACGAATTCCGAAACGAAAATTACGAGTGTCTCACATTTGCTCACCACTCGAAAACGTGGGACCTTGAAACACTAAATAACGCCTAATAAGCTTACGCCCTCGAGTTCCTGAAAGTGTGGTTATGCAATTAAATTAACAACTTAAATGAAGCCATTTTGTTTCTGTATACTTTTTTCGTTGAATATAGATGTCGCTATGTGTAACAAATTTAATATTTTTTTATTTTGTGTAGATTTTTCGGTTTTGGTCCACCGAAGAAGAAAACGTCGACGAGTAGTGCACCAAATCCTAGTGCACTACTGCAGCAGCAAGCCACGCAGGGTAGCGGTGGCGGCGGAGGCGGCGCTGGCAGCACCGCGCTGACAAAACGACGTGGCAGCGATCGCAGCCTCTCTGGCTCCGCCCATGAGCTTGCCGTCTCCGGCGTCAACCGCGACAACCGAGTGCCGCATTCGCACTCCCAGAGCAACCTCAGCGACATCCCCTACAGGTAACACTTAAGCCACGCCCCTATCTCATATCCTAATAGTAAGCACCGGAAACTACAGTAAACCAAACAGTAAAAAAATTGACATAAAAGTAGAAAATTTTAAAAATACAAACAAAAATAATAAAATCGCAATAAAGACAAAGCGAATTATAGTTAATGCTAGAGTTAGTGCTAGAGTTGCAGCTAGTCGTAGCAAGATAGCGCCACATGCTGCGGATGTGTGGATGGTGGTGTGTTTGACATGCGCAGTTTGTGTTTCATTTTTTGTGATGTCTTTCGTCGCCTGGCTTTCGTTTTATACCAAGATACAGCCATCGTGCAAATGACATTCAACAACTCTAGCCTGTTCTCCGCTAGATGGCGCTACCTAATGTGTACATATTTGTTTGCCCTGATTATTGGTTTCTTATTATCATTGTCACAATTAGCGTGATCATGCTTTTTTTGACCGACCGTTTACAGGGGCGACCTGCCCTCCGGCCACTCGAGGTCGACGAAGATTATCATGGCCGTTGTGTGTCCGTAAGTGCCGCCCAACCCCTCAAAACACGTTCTGTACGTTGTGTTGCCTTCAAAGTGTCTCCAAACTAACCTCCAACGTCGCAAAGCTAATTTTTATTATTGTACTCGTATGTAATCAATATGTGTATTATCAAAAAATAAATGTTGTTTTATTTTTGGTTATTTATTTAATTTGTAAGGTTATGTAATGAGTGTCCACTCTAGGCAACCCAAAACACCTAATATTGGTATATATAATATTTGATGTTTGGCTGTTGATAATTTTGATGTGCGATAACAAATGACATCTAGGTGTTGTGTGCATGGCGACTGTCAAATCCGTAATCATTTTGTTGTCGATGTTCTCACACCAGGCGAATCTCAAGCACCTCAGGACTGCTCGAAACCCCAAATAATAATTCACTAACTTTCCATGTTTAGCCATTTTGGATTTGTGGGCAATGAGGTGAAATCCAAGATGGCCGAACGTAATATGTATTCACACGTTGTATAAGATAGTATAATGTATATGATCTAATCTTAACGCTGGCCTTCGATTCTTCTGTATATTAATAAATATTTTCTTTTATATTGATGATGGGTTAAAATTGGTTATGTTTTTGGGTTTAGGGTGAAGAAGCCGAGTATAGCTGTGACGGCAGGCGCTTCTACATCGGAAGACGTCTGCCCGTGGGAGTCGGGTCCGCGATCACGCAAGAATTCCACCGCGTTGGATTCTAACAGCTCCTCGTCAGATATCAGTGTCGCAGTGCAAGACGTCGCCGAACGCCTGAAGAAAAGCCAGCTCACACAACAGAACACCCTCGATGGCGGTAAATCCAGCCGTAAGTTGTCGACCGCGACGTGTTTGGAACCGCGGCGTGCGTCCGTTTCGGTACCGCTGGACCGTCGTACCATGTGCGCGTTTGAGGAGGTGGCGGCTGCCTCTGCCTCTCCTCCCCAGCAACCGGTCGCTAGTGATGCAGACAATAAACGCGACGACGAGCCTTCGTCGTCCAAGACGTTCAAAAAGAGTCTCTCGGTGGCGTCATCAAACGCGCCCACCATTAGTGTTAGTTCCGTTGCCGATGACAGCGACCCTCCACCACCAGCAGCAGCGGGTACATCCGGTCGTGGTCCCGCACCTGCAACTCCAGTGTTGGCGCTTTCTTTAGAAGAGACCGAAAGCGAGTTGGAGTCCGCTGCTGATGAAGTCGAGCATGAGGAGTCTACCCTTGATGAGAGCACTTGTAAAGAAATCATTGTGGTACATCCCCCTGACATTCCCGCTGCTGATAACATTGGTAAACCGGATGTGGTTAAAACAGAAGAGGTGCAACCTTGTTCATCAAGGTCATTACCAGTTGGATCTTCTGGTAATCAGCTCGTTGCACTCGCTCCGCTTGCGGAGCCAGACAGCGAGTCCCCAATTAGTGAACACCCTCCGGAGATCTACTGTTACGGCACTGGTATGGAAATTGATGATACCATCGATGACCCACCTGCGGATATTTCCGGCGCTAGTACATCAACACCTCCCAAAACCACCACCACCGTTGAGGAAGAGAAGGAAGCCAAAAACACCAAAACCAACACAAAACCTTCTAGCGGTGCAAGTGGTGGTAGCGATGGACCATCACAACAACCCTCCGCTCAGACCAGTACTGGCGAGGATGAGGCGAGAGCCAACGACGTGTGTCCCTGGGAGGATGAGTAAGTCCGATCTAAGTCAACCCAAAAATCAAAATCCAAAAAAAACAGAACCCAAATTGGCATAATAAGAAAAAATGCACGATGAACTTGAAAAAAAAACCAGCATAATTCTCCCCACCAACTGTGAATGCTACCTGGTGACCTGTTATGTGTAATAATGGCTGACACGCTTGTTTGTCTCTCTTGTTCGCAGGGAAACACAATGCAATGATGGTTCTTTTAAGAAGACATATACCACTCTCGGGTTTCTCTAAACACAAACAAAAGCAAACTACTTTTTCCTCCCTCTCTCTCTGTGTATATCTCAGTCTGTTACTTGCTCACAATATTCTACACAAACATCGAGAAATGACAAACCGGAAAACAAAAGATGACAGCTTCACACACATCTCTTCGATCAATCAAATCACGCCACGACACATTGAGTCAAGTGTAAACATAGGTTGGAAAGAAAACGAGTGGCATGTTTGAATCAAGCATAACCTCAAAAATCTACATCTGTCACTCACAGAAAGGTAAATTAAGGTTAAAACACATGAAATACAACAAGAGAAAACATTACAGAATGAAAAATTATATTACTTATTGCTCTTTAAAAGAATAAGAAAAATCTTGAAAGAAATGATGATGAATTGTTGGTAGAATTGATTGATTCTGTTATTTAAACTTTACCGAACGTATGCAGCGTAACCGTAAAATGGAAACAAAAATGGCTTGGTGATTTGGACCAAGGTGCGTGTTATACGGGCAGGCAAACTCAAATTCTAACCTAACTTAACGGAATTCTGTGTGTTTTACATTTGTGCGGCACGCCACTGCTCGTTCACCATATTGAGCCCTTGGTTTTCGACAGTTGCGTCCGCATCTAAAACACACAATATTCTCAAAATTCTAACGTTGGGCAATTAAATTAAATAAATTTTCGAACAAACAGCAAAACCAACATTATAAGGTTGAGCGATGCCTTTATAATTGCAGCACATAAAAGAAACAAAGTTTAATATTAATTCACGTAATATTAATTATTGATCATAATTGTCGGCTAAGAACTTAATTAATTACTAGATTAATTAATAATGAGTAAGCGGTGTTAGGAGATTAATTAACACACAGTGTCATCACTTAAAATGTCATGTGGATAAATGTCTTACGCGATAAGTAGATTCTAGATGCTAGATGAGTGCAGGACAGCGCAGCACTGCTACCCGACGGCAGATGGCGCGCGCGTTCTGCATTAGATTAGACAATAGACGATTATGTGTTTATCGTATTTACGCTACATTGTTGTAAAAGTAATCTAGGTGTCTAATAATCAACTAAAAAAATTGTTGGCGATACGGTGCAGTTTCGCCAACAGCAAAAAAAAAATCATTAAATTTACGGATTGATCTACACACGGCCGCTTATCGACAAGATGGCGGTCGTCGACAAAAAATGGCGGAACTCTAGTTTCGGGATTAGACACAATTAGACGTGAGACGTGTTTAGGCGTAATTATTGTGTAATTATTCGTTGTGACGATACAAAAATGTTTAAATGTCTACATGTTCGATGTTGTGCTAATTAATTAATTATATCGTACGAGTAATTTACAGTGGAAGCATAAACAGAACACACAAAAAACATTTTTACCAACTGAAGCTGTCAAAATTGTTTTGACAGTTGAACATTCACGGTAAACGTACTTAATTGAGGTTAAGTATGTGAAAGTTTTAACATGACACGCGATTGCAAATGTTTAATATTACTAAGTGTGTTTGATGATACAAAATGTAAACGTAAATGTACTGTAATGTTTAATATTATCGACTACGATCGGCTATTAAGATGTATGATTATGACAAACAACAAAACAAATGTGGAAAACAAATTAGTTGCGTTTGTGTGCTGACGGTAGAGTTTAAATTGCTTAGAAACAAAACAAATCGGATGGTAACCTAAAAATAACTTTAAAAGAGCAATGAGTAATGTGGAAAGTATACTTAGAGTTTATTTTTTGAGAAATGCTTGATTCAAGCTTGTGTGACGCCATTTTGTCCATCAATATTGTTAATAAGTCTAACGTCATTTCCGGTTTTATCTGTATAATCAACAGAACAAAATTCAGAGATGTGTTCAAGACAAGAGGAGTTACACCTATATAACATGACATAACCTAACTTTACTTAACAAAACTTTAATCTTTCGTTGCGTTTGAAAATGTCTCAAGTGGCTTTCGTCATTTGCCAATCACAAGAACTAATCAGTACTCAGAAATAATCAAGAATGTTTGACAATATTAAGATTAGTCGCGTATCGGTTGACTAGTCCAATGTTTTGGTTATGTTCACAAAACAACATCCACTTGTAAACTAATTGGAGAACGACGGAGATGATTATTGAAATCACACCGAGAGCGACTTGGTAGAAGCACAAAAATGAACGTTTCTGTCCAAACAACAAAAATTAAATTAAACTAAAACAAATAATATAAGCTTTGTATTACCGATTACCGATATAATTATATACACATAGAGACATTCGACTTAAGAAGAATTTAAGCAGACAATTTGAAGCATATGAAAAGTACAAAATTGAGACGCGAATCAACCTGATGGACAGGTGAAAATTAATTGAAACGTGCAGAAGCAGCTCAATCTGGTGTTACATTTGAGGTTAGAAACAACCATGTGATGTGAGGTTATGACGGCTTGAAGTTTTCAGCATTTGAAACGTGAAAACAATTTGAAAGATATTCGAATCATGTTAATGTTAAGCCATAAGCGATGTTGATATAATCAAACATTTAACACAAATATGATACAAGCAAGTGGTTGTAATTGTTTAGAAAGACATTACTTAGATAGGAATCTAGAGACAAATTTAATAACTGTATTGGTATAATGATTAGGCGCATTGGTCGATGAATAAACTTAAAAGTTTTAACATTCATCAATACTCATCAGTAGAATCTAACCTAACAGTTGATCTAACCTAACTAACCTTTACATAACCTAATCTAACCTACATTCATTGATGTCTGTTAAAACTTTGCGATGAGTTTGTTTGCAAATGTAAACACTGGTAAGTGATATGAGATTTAAAGTGAAATATGTTTAATGAAGTAAAATGAGATTAAATGAAATTAAGAAAATTAGAAAAAAAGCTTATTTATTGTTAAAAATTTATTGATATGTAAGTACTGCTAGTTGATATGATAGAGAATATGAAATTATTGACATGATAATAAACGACCTATAAAAACATGATCATTTTTTAATAAGAGTTTGAATGATGAAAGCGCAAAGAAGATGATTTTACGTTTCGTTTTTTTGCTTCGACAAGAAAGTAAAAAGCGTTGAAAAGTTCCAACACAGGCCTACATCTCAACTAAACAACCAATGAACAAACAAAAATCGTTCAAGACATATGTAAGAACAATGTTTAATGATAAATCACATATTAAATGGACGGAGCATTGCGCAAAGTTAGTTTACGCAAGGTTTACGAAGGTGTAAAGTGAATATAGAATAAATGACAAACAACTGACACTTAAGGTGCTTATATTTACTACATTTACGATGAGAATTTAAAACATTACATGATAACATCAAATGTGCTTTACTCTTATCGATAAACGTGAGAATACCAATTTTAAACTTTGGTAAGATTAGCAAAACGTAACACACATTCTTAGATCAGCGACTATTAAGAAACTAAGCGTTAGATGAATAAAAACCAAACAAAAATCAACAAAAACAAGTAAAAAGTAAAAAAAGTTGTGAGCATTTTGTCTTAATCGCCTTAAGTGTTTTATCTCTGACTCATTCTTCTTCGATAAACTCTAAGGAAACAAAACATTTCGATTCATTCTATTTGAATCAAGAAATCAAGAAATGGATGGTGGTAAACTCAAGTTGTAAGTTGTATTTATTGTATTTGTGTACATACGATGAGGATAAGTGAAAACATGATATCGAAACAAACTCTGTGTCTAATTCTATTTAAATTTATATTTCTACAAATGCATTTCTTTATTTAAATAACTTCACATACCTTGCACAAAGGTAAAAATTGTCTTTCAACTAAAAAAAACTTCATTCTGTAAACTTTAATTTTCAGCCCGTTTGTGTACATTTAAGGTTAACATTTGAGGTTAAGGTGAACAAGGATAACATTTGCTAGTTGTATATAGTTTTATAATCGTGGCTATAAATTAGAAAACAACACACAACACACAAACACACTACACACGCATATTAAATTTAAATAAACAAATACAATTACAATGGATATAAAATAAATGGTGTTATTAAGAAGAAAACATTAATTGTATTAGCTCTACGATTACGTGAACGATATCACGCAGAGAAACTGAAACGCAAACACATGAATGATTTCATAATACGATTGATAAGAATATTAATAATTACGAATACCTACATAGACGAGATTCGATTTAGTGTGTGACAGAAACAAAACAAACATCTACACCCACACACATTTACATGCAACATAGTGTGGTATACAACAAACGATGTGTAAAGATGAGAATAAATGGTGCAAGCATATAAACAAATTACAAATTACACTGAAACGGATCGACGGATCACATTTAACGATGTAATAGAATTAACATTAACAACTGAGAATCAACATGACAATTGTTAATAAGCCAATGTTATTATGAATTAATTCATTGTAGAAAATAAAGCAAAAATTATGAAATGTTATCGTGGTTTTCATTAGACTATTAGAATATTACGATGATTATATTAATCATCTAAGTATCTAAGTGTTTTTTATTTTCTTTGTGTGTTTGTAAGAAAACTAATTAATTTTCTGTTTATTTTGATAAACAAGTCATTAATTTACTTTCTTAACATGACTAATGAATTGTTTTCGTCTTTCCATCCGTAGTTTTCCTTCAGTTTGTGAAAAACCACACGGAATCATGGTTGAAACGAATTTAAATTCAGTCTACGAGTCATTATTTCCTTTCAGTTATTTAAACTTATTTTTTGTTTAACTAGGGTTACTAAAGTTGGTAGTACATATCGGTATCATCCTTGGGCTATTTTTTTCGGCATTGTTAATTTGCTAATTCTCCCTGCCAGTCTTACACTTTATTATTTTACTTATCAACGATATTCGCTGGAAGAATCCGGTGTATATTTTTGGAGTTTTCGACTATTTAATTTTGCTATCCTCCTGCGTTTGACTTGTATTTATATTCTACGTTTGTTTACGCATAAGAAAGAAGTACGTTTGTATACAGCTATTGATGAATTCGATAAGCAAATGATTGCGCTTGGTAAAAACAAAGAAATAACTGAAGCAAATAAAAATTTACAACGATGGAATATGATCGCCATTCCGATCGCGATTGTGACGTACATCTTAGGCGAAATATATATAAATGCCATTTCAAATACAGGAATCGCATGGTTTATCATTATTTCGAGATTTACAGGAAGTTTTGTCGGAGTTTTGGCCAAGTGTCAGTTTTATTTGTGGTGCACGGCGATTAAAGATAGATTTATCATGGTTAATGACCTAATGAGGAAGGTTAAAGAAAAATTTCAATTAAATAATATGTTTGTTGTGAGTGTGTATAAATATGAGCAGTGTATTGAAAAGTATGGCGATTTACATCGAGATTTAACGCATATGGCGCGTCAAGTGAATGGAATCTATCAATTTGATTTACTGTGGCATTTTACGCTTATGTTTATGGTTATCTTCACGAATGCTTATTATACCGCTTATACTATGCTCAGAGAAAAGGAAGATGCTAAACCTGTTGCGATGATATGTAATTTAATATTTATTTTTATTGAGATTGTGTTGAATATTTTCTCTAGTACGACACTGTGCAATGAGGTTAATATACTTAAGATTATTTGGTTGCCTATATAATATTTTATTCATTGATTTATTTATTAGAGTTATCAAGCATTGGATATATTCAATAATTTGAAAGTTGATCCCGATGACAGCTCTACTCAACGTTTGGTAATCTCTTCTATTTTTGAATTTAAAGAAAATCGTTTGGAGATTACAGCTTGCAGGTTTTTCAATGTGAATTTTTCAACGTTAGCTGTGGTAAACAATGAATTTTTTTTTTTTATGATTTATGATACATTACAGAAATTATTTTCAGATGTTGACTATTATAACGAATTACGTCTTTATTCTGATTCAATTTGAAGACACTAATGCTACTGGAGATAATAATTCTACGACGGCGATGATTACAACACTAATGCCAGCTGAATTATAAGAGATGTAATTGAATATAGCATAATAATTTAGTGTGATTATGTGCATTATATGTAGTGTGGTTTGAGCAAAAGATCGTAAATAAAACACTTCAATACGGTTGTTTCTGTCTTTGTATATTTGTGTAGCGTTAATTGTACAAGTAAAATTTATTTTTGACTAGCTTTTGCCCATGACTTCATCCTGGTAGTGTTTAATAAAAATGTAATTTGTTTTTACTCTCCTGTTCTAGACATAGTATTTGTCAATTCTATCAATAAGATTTGCAATTTTATTTAAAAAAATTAATTATATAAAGAATTGTTACTAATGCGCTTCAGCGCGCCATCTCGGATTCAATTATTCAATTGTAACTGTGATTGGATCTCAATGCCAATTTTTATCATAAAAAAGGCTGTCTTTAGGGTTTTCCCGGGTTTCCTAGGGTTTTTATTCGAATTTTTCTTGCCGTAGAAACCATCCTAGGACTTTAACAAATATTTTGAAACAAGAATTGGCCACATTGGTCTAGGCGTTGTTATGCGCGTACCAACAGATTTTGCGATTTATTAGATTACACGGCTCAACAAAAAAAAATTTTATTTTTTGTCCTAAAGTTTATTTTATGATTTTTGGGTTAATTATGCGCAACAACTACCAGCGAATACCTCATTTTGGTACAAAGTTTGCTTTTGTGATATCTGTAGTAATAATACTCATTTTCAATTTTCTTTTATAAATGTTCGGGTCAAGTCCGACAAACGTATTGATAACGCGGCGAAGTGTTATCATTTGCATTTGACAAAACACCTGCCATGGGACAGCTGCAATTATATGCTTTGTTCTCCCAGTTCACTCCAGACTGCAGCTGCATCATTTTTGCAACGTTAGCAGGAATGTCCCCAAAACCTGCATTTGCTGGTTGGTGGATGGCAGTCGAGTGACAAACTTCGATCAAATCGTTTAAAGTTAAAATGTCATCGCGAACGTGTAAACATGATGCTGATGCATTTTGTTATATATGTGGTCAGTTTATAAAAGTTCGAGACACAAAATTTAAACTGAAGACATCTCAGGTTCTCTGTGAAGCGTACGAAGCTTATTTTAATTTTCCTGTTCGCAATCAAGACAAGTCATGGGTCCCACATGTGGCTTGTAGTAGTTGTAAAAGATCTTTGGAACTTTTGCTTTTTACTTTTGCGTTGTAAATCCAAATAAAAGACGTAGCGGAAAAAATGCAAAACCTCTTGAATATCCTAATCTTGAGTCTTCTTCTGCTCCAATTGCACACGACCTGACACGACCAATTCCTTCTCCACCAAAAAAATTATCTCAGAAAAGTAGCTCATCTCTTAGTTCCATTGAAACACAATGTAATTCCGATAAAGAATTTTTACCTACTCCAAAACCACCAAGCTACCATCTAATTACAATGGAAGATTTTCACGACTTGATAAGAGATTTAAATTTGCCGAAAAGTAAAGCAGAGCTTTTGGGCTCTCGTTTAAAACAGTGGAATTTGCTTGCTGATGTTAAGATTACGGATCAACGAACTAGACATGAAACATTTTCTACGTTTTTCACAAAACAAGATGGACTTTGTTTTTGTAACGACATAAAAGGTTTGTTTGCAGAAATTGGCATACCTTGTGATCCTAGCGAATGGCGTTTATTCATTGACAGCTCTACGAAAAGCTTAAAAGCTGTTTTGTTACACAATGGAAACCAATTTCCATCTCTTCCTATTGCCCACTCAGGTCATCTTAAAGAAAATTATGAAAGTGTTAGAATCGTTCTTACATCGGTTAAGTATCACGAATATAACTGGCAACTGATTGGAGACTTTAAAATGGTCGGTCTGTTAATGGGAATACAGAGCGGATATACGAAATATCCATGTTATCTGTGCTTATGTGATAGCAGAGCAGATGCTAAGCATTATGTAGAGCGATCATGGCCTGTAAGGACGGAATTTTGCGTCGGAAAACAAAACGTGAAATTCGATGCAGTTGTTGACGTGGAAAAAATATTAATGCCGCCTCTGCACATTAAGTTGGGGTTGATGAAACAATTCGTTAATCAGCTTGACAATACCTCAGAAGCTTTTACTTATTTGAAAATTTTTTTCCCAAGTTATCCGAAGCAAAAGTTAAAGCTGGTATTTTTGTTGGTCCGCAAATTAGGCAAATTTTCGCCGATGAAAAATTTCCAAAATTGCTGAATCACACCCAAAAAGCAAGTTGGATCAGTTTTAAAGCAGTAGTAACTGGATTCTTAGGAAATAACCAAGCTAAAAACTACGAAAAATTAGTTGAAGACATGTTGAAAAATTTTAAGGCCATGGGTTGCAGGATGTCGTTGAAAGTACATATGCTACATGCGCACATAGGTAAGTTTAAAAATAACATGGGGGCATATTCCGAAGAGCAAGGAGAACGTTTTCATCAGGACATCAAGAACTTCGAACAACGATATCAAGGCCAATATAACGAAAATATGATGGGAGATTTATCTGGGGTTTATTGAGAGAAAGCACTTATGATCACAAAAGAAAGAGCAAAAATGTACACTTTTAAACTATATTTCACTTTTTTATAAGTTATTTTAATAATAAAATTTCATGAAAATGATAAATTAGGTTATTTGTATAGTTCTATCCTTAATTAAACATAAAAATCCCAAATTTTGAAAAATATTGTTAAATCTGAATTCTGAGTACAGAAGCAAACTTCTTTATGCCATATATTTTTTTTTCGTGTAGTTATGACCTAAATTATCGAAATTAAAACTTTAAACTGAAAGGCAAATTTTGTGTTGACCTGTGTTATAGATTGTTGCTTATTTTTGCATTGAACGTGGAACGCATTGCGATTATTGTTATCACTAACATTCTGGTCATGGCTGAAACGATCAAGGTGCATATATAAAGCGTAAATTTCTTTTAAATAAATATTTATTCATATTTACAGAAAAATAAACTTTAAATACAATACATATTATAATATGTTGAAGAAGTTTAATATATATAAAATTAAAGTTATTAGTTTAATTCTATTAATATTAATTGGGTGTAATTTGGTAGAAAATGTACATAGCTATTGTTTTCCTCGGAAACTCTGGCATGTAGAAAGACACACATTGCATTTTCCCGACTTGAATGAAATGGCACATGGTAAGTAAGTGTTAATATTTATTTATACGAAAAATTAATCAATTTATTTTAATAGTATTGTCGAAGCAATTAAAATCACAGTTCCATTATGTAAAAACCGAGGTTGCAAACTCTCCGGATTTAAGGGAGGAACCCTTTTTATTGACTACTGCAGGTAAATTTTATTATTTTCAATTAAAGTTGTTATTAATATTTGTATTCTATTTAGGATTAACTGGAAGTACTCGAGTGTTAGATATTGGTAGCCTTAGCAATCTAGTTCCACGTCCGAACCTTAAAAAAAGTTATTCTTTGGTTGATATGATGTCAATTGCTGAATTAAACACTGCTTATGCTTTTGGTGCCGGAGCAGGACCATTCAAGCAACTTGGGTACAATTCAGAAGTATTTTTAGTAATTAAAAGTTTTAATATATAAAAATGATAAAATTAAATATTTATTTAGGGAGTTTACAATTTTAACGTTAGAGATTGTACATTGCATCAACATTCTGCTTCAATTCGAGTAACGAACTTGCCAAATGGAACTTTTGGGTATAAACTTTTAAATTTGAATGATAGTCAAACTGACGTTGGTTTTCTTTGTAACTTGTTTGCTTCTAAAGGTCATCCTGGAAAAGTGAGTAATATATTTTTAATTAATGTATTGCTTCATGTTGCGTTAATTAATTTTTAGGTTGTTCAATTACATTTAAAACAACGCATAAATAGTACGTTTGTATTAGGCACAGGATTACGCCACATTCTGCGTAAACATTTTGGTTCTGAAAAACCCATAGGTGTGGGATTGGTTGGTTTGTTTAAAAATGGCGTGGCAGACACTTCTGTTATGCCAACTTTTTCTGAGGAACCAGTAGAAAATTTTGCTGATTGGGTGAAACATTTCAATACCAGTGCTCCCTTTGTAATGCTTGGAACTATTTTAACTGAAGATCAAGTTTGTATAAGCTGAAACTACAAAAAGATATATTTTAACAATATTTTTTTGTATAGGGGTTGAATTTGTATACGCCTCACATCCATTTTAGAAATGAACACCAAGGCGGCCATTTTATAAACGATATAAGCCCAGAAGATGTCGAATATGTCATATATTTAAGCCCAGCGGAGTATATTTATAGAGTCGATCAACCAGGGATAGCTAAAATTAATGGCAACTAAAAATAATTGATCTATAATGATACCAATATAATATGAACGTTAAAGTTTAAGGTTGAGGGTGATTTCCAAAAATTTATCTTAATAATATTTGATTATCAGATTTGTTTACCATAGACCAAAATATTCTACATCACGATTTCTGAAACTTTCATTATATAAAAATACACATTTTCTATTTTTATTTTTAATATAAAAAATTATGTAGATAATAAAGAAATCACTTTTACACGGCACTTTTTTTAATAGACCAACCAGTAAAAAATCTTTCAAGAAATAAGAATTTGAATTCTTTTTCCTCATTTACTTATTGAGATATTTAGAATAGAAATTTTTATTAAACTTCGACCTATAAAAACTTTGCAAAATAGTCCGACTCAGCCTTTTGACACAAAAAAAGTTTTAACAAAAATTTCTACCCTGGCTTTTGAGCAAAAACTAAAAAATACTAAAATATTAGGTCACATTTTAGGGAGAACTAAGGAAGTGGAGATTAGGCGCAAATAAAAATAAAAACAATCTTATACATAGAATATATATATAATTTAAATAATAAGATTAGTAACAACACAAACTGATAATTATTACATTGTCAAACTAAAAACTTAACATATTTAGAATAGCACCAATGAGCAAATTACAAAATTATTAAAACAATCGAAAGCATTATTAATTTAAATCAAGTTAAGCGTTGGAAGTGTGTACGACCTTCAACAAGTTTGATTCAAAACCAGTAGTAAAACACGATCAACTTGGAGAGATAGTTTATCGTATTTTACTTTGTTTTGCTTCCTTTCATAACAATTAAAATGGAGTCGCTCCGAGTGGAGAGCTTCTGAAGCGACGCCATCTTGCAACATTCAAATAGATAAAGGACATGACAAGGTGTTCCACTCCCTTGACAAACCTTACACCAATTTGAACATATAATGTTCTAGTTTAGTAGTATTGGTCGTACAGCCACTAATAAAGTATACGTAAGTAAACACTAAGAATTAGATAAAATTGAAATTTACATTTTAAAATCGTTCTCGCATCTCGTGTGCGTTCGCAACTCGTCACGCAGAAATCCCCCAATATACAAATACGTGTTCGATTCATGTACAAAATTTTACAATGTCTTCTTTACAATCGCTAAAACAAGTCTACGCTAAATCTCTATATAAAAAACGACATAAATACGCATCATCTAATGCCAGTAACTAACTAATCGGAATTGCACAGTCGCGTTTCAATTAAGTCGCGAAAATTACAATTGTTTTGCAAATTACAAACTAAAACTATTGGAATGACATTTCGTTCTCTGGACACATCTGCATTAAATTCAATACGGCGGAAATTTCCGCTTGTCTTTGTGTTGATTTCGATTTTGTTTGTGTATTTAGCCTTTCAAGATGGCCGTCGTCAGTGCCTTGTTTACACAGGCGGCGGCGGGCCATTGTGGTGTAGTGATGGATGCAAGCTGTTCGCAAACGAGTTCACAAGCGAGCAGCTAAAATCGTCCTCGGTAAACGGCACCAACGCAGCCGCTCCCAACAAGAGTAGCATCACCGCCTGGAAGGGCATCGAGGCACGCACGACGCGGCCCAAAAATGTGTAGCTTCGTCGCAACACGGACACATCTATTTCATCCGATTGCGTATTCCTATAAAAATAAACAATCAAAACATCAGTACCATAATTTCATACGAAATCAAACAGTCAATGTAACAAAAATAATGATATGATGTTAATGATGAATTATTAGTTGAGTTGAGTAGATTTGATGATTTTTCTGGGCTGTAAACATTTAGTGCATCTAAATTAGTGATTGATTGATAATTCCATAAATAAAAAGCACCATGATTAAACTACAATCAATTGTGTGAGGGTGTAATGAAAATAAAATTGAAAAAAAGATATTTACGTGTTCGCCTCGCTGCCTTGAGCGCTGGAGGGGCCCGGCTTGGCGTCTTGGTTGGCGGCGAGCTGTCCAGAAACGCAAACAAAGGTGAAATTGTGCTTAGATACTAACAACGGTACGAAACAAGGTTTTGGGGCATACAACATCGAGCAACAACAACAATCTGAATCAAAACGTAATCAGGAAGCCTGCGGCAACAATCCTTATCAATCAAATGTACCAAAATGGTAATTATAGTAAACGTATTGGTAACCAAAAAAATAAATACTTAATGAAAAACTTCAATAAGACTACAAAATACGGTCGAGACGTCTGACTAGCATCATTTTCGTTGCGTTTCTTTTAGAAAAAAGGTGAGAAATTTCTTACAAAATGTGGCATCTACTGGTTAAACTTACGTCTTGACTTAGATTGAGCATAGGGCCAGAGCCGACGCGAGTTTGCAAAATGGCGCTTGCGTCTCTGCCGAGCACGCCCGCGAGTTTCAGAATGTAGATGGTGGTGAGTCGCACGAGCGATTGCAACTTCAGACGTAGATCGGTAAGACGGGAGCAAATCCCCGACGAGCCGACGGGAGCATCTTCAGCGCGCAAGAGTTGATTCGCCGTTTCCTGCAGACTCATCACTCGCGGTTCGCAACGCTCCAAATCACATTTAAATTCAACAAACTGCATCAGCTTGGCGTCAATGGTTTCAGGCGATGCTGTGAGGTCAACTGGTTCCGAGGCACGTATCTTTTGTTCCTCGGCATCCAGCCACACGCAAAGTTCTGTCACCGTGTTATGGAATTGATTGTTCTGCAGAAAAACAAACCGATTAATTATAAACAATCAATTTATATTTTTTTAAATTCTTACCGCCATAAGTGCATGTTGTAAAGAGTTCTGCCAATCAGAGGCTTTATTACGAACAACGTCCCAGCGTTTGTTATCACTGTCGAGACGTTTCCTGAGAGAATCCGCCCGTTCAGTGTCTTCAGTATGGTCAGCCAAATGGGACCCGACGATATTCAGGGATCTGACTATACTCTTATGGCTGTCTAGGTCCAGTACAAACTCTAGATGGTCTTGAATAACGTCCTCCAACTGCTCAAAGTTGGACGGCGGTGATTTCTGTGTCTTCTGAGTACCTTCAGCAACCTGCAGCCATTGTTCTAAACGCCAAAGGTCGTTTTCCAATTGGGCCCAATTTCGTTTTGTGCACAAGGGACACAGGAGTCTACCGGCCTCACTATAAATAGATAAATATGTCATAAAAAGCTACACGCACTAAATAATAATAAACCAAAAAGAAATAACTTACTGTTCACACAAAAAGTTATAAGCATCAAAGGTAGACCTGCGACAGAATTAGTATTGCAATTAGATTAAAACCATAAAACCAATCAAACTCATTCAAATTAGTCGTTATGTAAAGCATAACAAATATTTCTGTTAAGTTTATCTATACATACCTAAGTTCTCTGATTTTATGTTCCTTTGTCTTGGCTTGTCCCAACAGTACTTGATACTTCTGAGACAGGTCCTTGACGCGGTCCGCGCAAGCTTCTTCTGGAGACGCGCTACAGTCGTTGATCAGAGTCTCACAAAGATGATTGATCAGTTCGACAGAAGATTCGCAACTTGCTGTCTGTTTGGCGATCTTCTTGCCTGTAGTATGAAGTTCAGGAGATCCTTGTTGAGGAATCTGTGCCAAAACCATGTCGTCCAGAGTGTTGATATGTTTCGAACACTCGTCCAAGGCGGCATACAATTCCATCAAATAAGCATCCTTTGCGCTAAGAGATGTCATGCGCTGCAAGTGTTTCGGCAAAGTATCCACCTGCACACCAGCGTCAGTTTCAAATTTAAGAGTCTCAACCTGAACAGCCTCCTCTCGTCTGAGGCGATCAGTTTGAGATTTGATCTGTTTCTGCAAATCCATTTTCACTGTAGATATGCGCGTTTGAATGTCCTTCCACAACAACTGGTATTCATCAATCATTGTCTGCACCTTGGAAATTTCCTCCTTTGATTGTTTCGAATCTTTGGGTTTGCCCTGTTGGGCCTTTTGCATAATCTTTAAGCCCAGCTCGTCTGCATCTTGCAGGGATTGATTGTATGTGGAGAGTTCTTCTTCGATATTCTAAGAATAATAAAGAAACATGACATAAACACAAAACAGAAATCAAAACAAAAGCAAAACATGGAATTTATATGGAATGTAGATAAAAATACTTACTTGTAGTTCAGCAAGTTTATCGCTGTCGCTCTGTTGATCGTCGCGTGCCAAATGCTGCAATTGTGTGAGACGCGCGTCAACCTTCGCTAGACCGACTAGGGCGCTGCCCTGAACGTCTCGGAATTCCTTGTAGACGTTGAGGTCGTCGGCGCGTGCTCGCAATGCGCCCCATCTGCTCAACAGCAATCTAACTTTAGCCGTCAAGCGTTGGATATTTTCAGGCTCCACTCCGCTCGTCTTAGCTAGTCGCGCATACGCCTGCTCCATCCTCTCACGCGCCCCCTCCTTGCCGGCAATTTCCTTCCTCACTTTGTCGAAGCGTTCAACCTTGTCATTGATCTTCCCATTGAACGCCTCCACATCGGCCAGCTTTTTCTCTTGTTGACCCACCCACTTTTCATTCTCATCATGCGTCGTCAACAGTTCTTGCAATAGTTTCCAAATTACCATAATGGCGTGTTTTCGTTCAGATGCCAAACCGCACAGATTCTTCCATCGTTTTTCCAGGTTTTTAATAGCTAGATTAAGAGTATCCGGGGTAAAACTGGTCCTCCAGACGTCCGTGTCATTCAGCAACAATTCACACAAATTAAGAACTTCACCAATTTTACCACTTTCCTTCTGAATGTTCTTCTTCAATTTTTCATTCTCGGCAATTAACTGATCATAGGACTTCTTGTTTGCTTCCGCAAACTCGATAGGTTTAGAGTGTTCTTGCTCCATGCTGGTCAGCCAAGTGCGAATTTCCGTAATCTGTTGTTCCAATGTGGACAAGGTCTTCATCATCTCCTGCAGTTTACTGCTTCGTGATTTCATCAGTAGTCCCAAGCGGTTCCATCGCTCCTGAACTTCGTTTGTCCTCACTTGCAGATTCTGTTTAGCCACTACATCACTGTACTCTTCGCCACATGCATTAACCAACTCATTACCCGTTGTCAACAACCACTGATATTCTCTTTCCTTCAAAGTCATCTCTGCATGCAGTTCAGTTTCTAATTTCCTGATGATTTCTTCGGGATCTACAAAAGGTCCGTAGGTTTCAGTCTCAGACTCAATCCTCCTTTCTAATTCCTTAGCCCAATCAACAAATCTAGTCTGTCTAGTCTCAAATAGAGTCCGCAAACTAGTCTTCTCTTCAAGTTGCAGTATCAACTTTTTGATTTCATGCTCGAGATCTTTCTTCTGATGCCACAGTAACCATACACGTTGACTAATAGTCTTCATATCAACTGGGCTGAAGCACTCCTTAAGTTGTTCCTTGATCACATCCAACTCCTCCAAATCCTTTGTTACATTCTCCAACTGTGACCTGGTCCTCTTCAGACTATCCAATCGATTGTTAATACCATAATTGGTGGATGGAATTTCCTGTGCAATAACATTCTGAATCTCATCAAAACTCTTCTGAATATTTTGCACCTTGCCCTCGTATGATTTATATTGATCCGCAATACGTTTCAGGAAAGACTTCCAACTTTCCATGGCGGCCTTAAGACTAGATATCCTTTGATTCAAAGCAGCGTGTTCCATCCTAATCGAGGTTGCAAAAGCATCATCACAAAACTGGAAGATCTTCTTTTGTTGTTTCTGCAGATTATCCAACTGATCTTCGCCCTGGGACATCCGATCAATCAGACTTTCAATCTGCGCAAGAAGTTTGGGCAATCGAATAACATGAATGTATTTAAGTTGTAGTCGTTCACGTTCTTTCTCCATCTCCTTCAACCACGCTAATGTGGAAGCCTGATCAACAGTGTATTGCTTCCAGGTCTGCAAACGATCTTCAACCTCATTGTACCTATCCATTATTTTAGACAGTGTTTCATTGTGAAGATTGGTTAATGTGTTAAACTGTTCCATTACACTGGGTTCAACTCCAGTAAGTTGTTGTTGTGGCATGAGAACCTTTTGTTGAGTAGTAAGCAAATTCTGATGGATTTGACAAAGATGTTGGTGTTCTGATAAACTATGTACATCACTAGGTATCGTGCCAGATAGGAACTGTTGCACATGAATGATATACTCCTTCCACAACCTAAGCGCGGCGGCACCATCTTCATTCTTCACTAGTCTTGAACTCAAACGATGGTATTGTTGGAACGTTTCCCGGAAAACGGTCTGCCAGAGTTCTAAAATTTCCAAAATAGACGTTTCTGTTGTTTCGGTAGTAATGGAATCTGAATCATAGTTTTCCAAGGTTTTGTCATGAATATCTTGTATCTGGTTTTCCGTCTTCCCAAGCCCCAAAAGATGTTGACGAAGAACATGAAGTTTCTCGTCGCTATCGGGGTCTGAGCCATTTTGAAGCTCGTTTACACTCTGTAATTGAAATATTAATGTATACTCAAGAGATATCAAGTGGTTTTATTATAGAACTTACTTTTTGAATTGAATTTAGGGTTGTTTTGGTGCCGTTAATCTGGTTTTTAGTTTGGTCGCGTTGCGCCGCCTGGTTCTCGGCCACGTTGGCCAAGATGGTGAGGGAATCCTTGACATCGACGAGCCTGCGACCAAGCGCGTCGACCTCACCGCCCAAAAGCGCGTCCGCGTCCAGACCGACGTCGGCCGCTATGTCTGAAACCAGCTGGCGCAATTCGGCAAGCCTTTTGGTGTGTTCGGCTAATGTCTCCTCGCAGACCTTTTGATTTGGAAACAAAAGAAAAACACGTAAACAATTAGTTAAAACCACAAACAACGACAAAAATAGAGTATAAAATAGGTTATGTTTAGTAATCAAAAACTTTTAAGTCTTAAGTCGGGTATAAATCAAATATAAATACATATTTAGACCTTAATTGTTCCGCAACATCCTGTGTATTCATCAAAAGCGTTTAATGCGTTTCCGGCCTTCATTTCTAATGAAAACGAAAACGAAGTATAAAACAAAAATGGACGCGTCGAACCGCCATTAACCTTGAACGCTGACTCGCGGCGCAACCGATATATTTATAAAATTGTGCGAGAAATCACACCTCTAGCCCGACCCAATTCAATTAGTTCCGTTGCTTTTGCTATAGTTTCGATTTTAGGAACGCGCGCGTGGTGAGCAAATTTTGAGCCGCCGCCAAGCGCGAGGCATCATCGCAAATGAATCCACATAAGTAATCGAGCATGCAGAGCGGTACCCGACACACACAATAAACGCCTTTCATTATACATATAAATGTGTGCTTTTGGGGCATGGGCATATCATCGAAATTGAAATATCGAAAACACGCAACGGCTCGAGTGCAAATAAAACGATCAACGCTGCAGCATGTAAGCGCTAATCACATTTCCAAATTGGGCGCAACCAAATTCTCACGATGCCGACCTCGGTAACGCAAATCGAAGAAAAACGTTTGAAATTAGTTTTGGCACTGTTTTGCATGTTGGCATTAAATTTCAGCCGGAAATTACGGAAATATTACATTATAAAGTCACAACTAACAAACGATACTCCAATTTCAAACAGTCAAACATACAACTACCTTGAGTTCTTCGCGTCCCCACATTTTTCCACATAATATTTTAATCACACGTATTTATCACCAATCTAAATGCCGTAATTATCAATTTAACTCGCGTGCCTTGTTGGTTCACACACACTTCGCTTGCATTTACGAATGACACCATTCCATTCATAAGCGCGTGCCGCATAATAGGGTCACGCACGTTTCACGAGCGGAAAATATTCGGCTGACGGCGCGCGTGCAATCGACAACTGAAAAAGCTTTGCGCCTCTCGATTCCTGCCACAAAATTTTCACACAAAACGAAAAACTCGCCGACACCGACACAAATTCGCGCGCGTAAATATGTTCTATTTTAAACCATTAAACGCATCCGAAACGTAAATATGCGTAGCGCAGCAAGAAAAGCAAAAATTCACCATCGACAGCGCGCGCGACGTGAAATGATGCATCGTATGCATTGATATATTTTCGGAGCGGATTTTTGTTTAATGCGTTTGGCTTAACGAGCGTTGCACCGACGACGAGGGGTGCGACCGCACTGTCTCGAAAAGCTCAGATGTTCGGCTCGTCGCCCACGCGTGAGGGCGAAACGACGACGAGCATTACACAAGGGAAGGGCATCGATCTTACGAGATGGGGATGCTGGGCAAAACTACTGCGCCACTCCATCACGCACCACGTGAATCGCAACGCAAATAAGTTCAATTCACACGAATCTAGGTAAAACGGAGATATTTCCCAACGTAAATATTTATGTGATAAATGCTGACATTTCATTTATAGCTTCATGTTCGAGCATAGCGCACAAATTCCAGCCGTTTAATGCACAATTGCTACGCAAACAGAGTCAAAGTTTGCGCACAGTCAAAACAAATGACTATGCTTTGCGGTATGCCTCATTTGTTTGCCGGCACCGTGCATCGTGTAATTTTACACTACTTTACTTACTCGCTTTTGTTAATTTACTGCGTGTTCCAAAGCGCGCAGAGAGACACAAAACACAATCGATATTCCGGCGAAACTTTAATAATCACACAGCGCAACTAAATTCACTCTAAACGTGCAAATCGCAATTTTAACTTCTACAACAGTTCATGGTATTCATTTATTTCGTGTGCGTTCACGGCGCAATTATACTTTCAAATGCCAGCAACCAACAGACCACTACTTTTATCCATCCTCAGGTCACAAATGGAAAATGCAAATAAGCGATTATGATGCTTAGCGTGTATTTTTAGCAATGAGCTTCCTCTATCTTCTTCACTTCTTCGCACAGGGTAAGATAATCAACGCACGCTCAAAATAGCTTCCAACTTGGGCGGATAAGTGCAACACTAAGTAAAACGCGCATAACGTAAACCAAACTTGCTCGTAAAGGATTTCTTCAAAGTTGGGTCAAACTAAAAACAGCTTCGAAACCTTCATAACCGATATTTTTGACCGACACAACATCCCGTACAAATCAGACTAGTCGTTAACTCGGCAAAACTGCTTTATCAGCGCGTTTCTTATCACTTCGCGCAAACACAAGTTCGCGCCGGTTGTGGGATGTCAGAGAAAAACTGTTTTTGAGGTCTCCCTACTTATGGCGCTCAATTATTGCACTAAAACCAGTTGATATACTAAATATAGTTGGATTTTTTAATTTTGTGCTAATCCATGATAAAACTACCATTAAAAAAACGTGTAAATCTTACCTTGACCTGTTTGACAACTTCTTCCGGTTGTTGTAAATCGCTGACACTTTCGATACTGGCATCGATCCATTCGCGCAAGACATCAGAAGTTTCACGATAACGTTGCCAGAGACCGGCGGCGTGTTGGTACTTGTCGCACAGCTGCTTCAGGCTGGCGCACGTGTCTTCCCAGGCGGTGCACGCCTCGGCAACTGCCGCCTCCACCTTCGCAGCCACCTCCGCGTCGCAGTCGGCCGCCAACGGTTCGGCGATCGATTTCAGCTCGTCGATCAGCGTTTCACGCCGCACCAAATCACCCGACACGCTCTAAATACGACAAAAAGAAAACAAACAACAAGGTATTATTAAATTATTATCACTTAATCACTTAATCCTCTCAAATTCCAAACTTTTAGTTACAAAACAAAAATTGTATTTTCAAGTTATTTACTTCTGACTACCTGCGCTACCGTTTTTACACAAACCACAAAATGTCAACAACAGTAAATCGATTCATATTGAAACGGACGTTGACAAACAACTCGTTTTCGACGCGGCAGTCGGTCTGCCGATAGCGCGGTTATTGTATAATGTTCAATAACGAGCATAAATTTGTTACCCAAACAACGCGCGTGCAATATGATTCGTTTTCGAAGTAATGTCGTTATGTAAATTTGTTATCAAACATAAAATGTGGGTCTTTGTCAAGCCAATGACATCATCCTCAACCGAAAATACCGTAAAATGCAAACAACACGTACTAATCTGTTTTACAACTTGAAAATGAAATCATTACTATTTTTAATACCATTATAACATTAAATGCAACTAACTCACCTCAAGACGCTCCGTGGCCTTCTTCAACCGTTCATAATCTACAGCTCCTTGAACAGTAAGCAACTCCATCATGAAATCAGCTTCCTGCACACTATGCTGTACCAATTCCAGTTGTCTTTCAAAGCGTTGCCACAGTGCCATTCGGGATCTCAGAAGAGCCAAAAGTTGGCCGCATCTCTTCTCCAACAAAGTATGATTATCAATCAATCCAGATATTTCCCGTTCCACTGCAATCGGTGATACAGAAACTTTAAGTCTCATTGGAAGCGTGTGCAGAAGTTGTCTTAAAGTCATCAGGTCTTGCCAGAGTGTTACCAGCTCCTCGCCCATTTCATAACATTCATTGACAGCCTTTTCCACACTCTCACTGCCCATTTTCTCGGCAGATTCGCAATGGTCCAAAACATCCGTAATTCTATTGTGATGTTTCTTGACGCGTTCTAAACCGCGTTGGATGTTCTGTAGACGCTCTTTAAGAAGTTTACTACCTTCCAATTCTTCTGCAACTTGCATTTCTAAGCGTTTTGATAGCGCAAGTAATTTACCAACTTTTTCAGATTCTGTTGCATTGAGCAGACCAAGTTTACCAAGTTCGTTCTCAATGGCTTCAATTCTCTTAGACATAATCTGTAATCTTTCCACATATAAATCTAGCTCATCTTCGTTCTTAATCACACCACCAAGTTGATCAATACTAGATTTCAACTCTTGCAATTCCTGTTCTAAAATGGTTAGCTTTTCATTGGTGGGTACATCAGAAGCTGAAATTGACTCCATGATGGCATTCTGTATTTCACCGATTTTAGCGGATACTTTGCCCCATTGTTGTTGCAAGACCGAATGGAATTGTCTTTGGACATTTTCATCAGCAACGGGTACAATCTGCATCGACCTATCCAGCTGGTTACCTGCATTGATGCGCAACGCGTTGTTAACTTCGTGTTGCGCTTTTAATTCCTACACAGAAAAAAAGAACACGAATAAAAAACAAATCAATAACAATGGCGTGTTTCGCATACATTTAGCAAATTATGAAATTATCATTGGTATTATGAAACTAAAACTCACCCAAAACTGACGCATATTGCTAGGGGCGGAGCCAACGGGTAAATTAATAGTTGCCAACTCCCTTTCGGCGTCCTTCAGCCAATACTCCAACTTATCACTTAGAATGTTGTACGTTCCCCACGTGTCACGGAACGCAATCAATCGCTTTAGGTTATTATTAACATCCTCCTGTAATCGCTGAATAATTTCCAATGATTCTGTATAAGTCTGCTCTAATGATGTGCAATTGACCAACTCTTGCAACTTGTTCGCTGTGTTATTTAAATGAACTAACTTTGCATGATGTTGTGCTATATCCAACGACAACGACTGATACAAATTGATATATTGGTCATAATCTGCCGAAGTGACATTATTCAGATTAGGAACTCTTTGCTGAGCAACCTGCAACCACTTCTGTTCATCTCGCATTCCTTGGTCTGAAATGGTCCATCTGGAAGCTGCAAGAGTCATCTGTTGGAAACGCCCTGTAGCTTGGTCCTGTAAAATGGTGCTCGCTCGTCTGTATAAATCCTGATGTAATGGAGAATGTTGATTCCTTGTGTCATCGTCAAGATTTTCCTCCAAAGATTCCAAAATACTTCTACAACTGCTCAAGGATCCAAAGAACTTTCTATGATTTTGAATTTCATCTTGAAGATGGGTCAAGTCCTGAACATTGATCGGACTGATGACTAAAGATTCAGCAATCTCAACAATATGTCCAAAATCTTTCAAGGTTTGTTCGTATTCGTCAGCAAGTGCCAAATGCTGGATGACCTTCTCACGCTCTGCTTCGATTCGGCGTTGGAGTTGTTTAGAAGTTTCACAATTAGCATAAACCTCGTGAGGAATGCTCTTACCAGGATAGTAATGCATTAAACTACGTGCTGTTTGTTTAAGTTTATGGGCCTGTTGTAGATTAGATTTATTTGTTGCTTCAATCTCTTCCAATAAATCAAATTTGGCCTGAGGTGACGCATCAACCGATGTAAGCTCATCCAACTTTCTGTTGACATCCTTTGAACTGTCCTTGATTGAATCAACACCAGCGATAAACTCTTCCCATTTATACAGATCCTCTGCGGCTTGTTGTTTATGCTCATCTGTAACTTCCTGAATTTCCGATAGTTTCTCTTGAAGTATAATAATAAATTGAATCAGACGATTGCGTTCCTGCTCGTTGCACACATCCTTGGTGTTGTTCAGAGTGTTCTCTAATTCTGTGATAGATTTTTTAATATTGACAATTTCATCGTTTAACGTTGTAAACTCTTTGACTTTCTCTTCAGATGGTCCATCAGGTGCTTTCTGTCTTTGCAGGTATATTCTGTATTCTATTGTTTCTAACCAAGTTGTAATGGTTTCAATTGTAGTGATGACAGTTTCTTCAATTATGACAGGATCTTTCTTTGCCACAGCATTTTTCAGCTTGTTTAGATTGTCTTGTACATCATTATTCTTTTGTAAGATAGATTCATCCGTAACAACCTCATTTAAGGTAGCCAAGTACAGAATGTTGCTCAAATGGGTTGTACTCTTGGCATTTTGCGGATTCTTCTTTTTGACTAGAGCCATGGCTTGATTCCACTTGATATCAACTTCCTGAGGTGGTGCTGTTTGTTTCTCTTGATCGATCAATTGTTGTGATGGTGATTGTCCCTTGGGTTTTACATTGTCTTTCCAAACTGGTTCATAACTCGTGCTAGGTGGTGATAGTGGAGTTGTATGAACTCCAGCTTCAGGACTAAATAGAGTATCACCAACAGGAGCTGGTGACATCACTTCTTCAATCGTGACAGATGTAGCATATTTTCCCTTTTGTTTACGTTTCTTTGGTTCCAACACATCTTTCAAATTGTCTGAATCTGGATGAGGTTCAGTTGGCGATGAGTCTGAGGAACTGAATGATTTTGGAGTAGAATCTTGAACGTCAAGGAGTGTAAGTGGTTGTGTAGTAATTTTGACATCGGTAAGAATTTCGGTAGGTGAAGATTCTTGTACTTCGGATGTAATAATTGTTGTGTGGATGTTGATTGGTTGACCATCTGCTGTTACCAATTCTGTTGTTGATGTTTGAATTAATTCTGGTTCAGAAGACTTTTTAATTGATTCCTCCACTGGGATTTCTAAACTTTTGTTCTCGGAATCTGAAGGGGAAGTTGGTGATGATAAGTCATCAGATTGTTTACCGCCTTTCTTCTTGCGGTTTCTTTTCTTTTTACTTTTGCCTGCGAGGTCATCCTCAGATGGTTCTTGTTCTTCGCTCATAGGTGAAATATGTTCATCACCCGGCTTGGCTTCTTTTTTATTAATAGGATCCTTCTGTTCCTCAGTTATCGTAATTTTCTCTTCAGAAATTTCTGTTTCTTTCTTTTCAATGGTAGTAACCACATCTGTTTGTACTTTGATTTCTTCTTCATCAGGCGTCTTTTCTGGTGTTTTAGCTATTGTTCGGTCTTCTGTTAGAATTTCTCTATCCACATCTGTTGTTGTAACATCTTCCTTAATTTCATCTCCTGTTACAATTTCCCAATCATCGTTCTTCTCGGAATCAATATCCCAAGAATCACCAGCTGCAAGTTTATCTTCGATGGGTGAACTACTAGACTTCTTCTTGGGCTTCTTCTTTTTATCTTTACCGATAGCTTCGCCAACCAATACATTATCTTGAACTACCATTTCTGGAGTTCTCACATCCGTAGAATCTTTAGTGTCTTTGGCGCCTTTATTTTTCTTGTTTTTCTTCTTTTTACCCTTTTCGCCTTTACCAGCTTTATCTTCATCCTCAGAAGATTCAATTTTTATGTTGATATTGACATCAATTTGAGTTTCTGGAGATGACACGGTTGGAGTTACGTCACCAGCGGTAGCCTGCATTCTTTCATTATCAAGCAGAGCAAGATTAGCTGCCTTGGGATCAATTTTCTTCATAGCTGTGGTTGTTACTTTCGTTGTTTTTACCAATACATCAATAGGTTCCTCAACATCCTGAACATCTAAATCTGTAACGATGGGTTGTTCTTGAGAAATGACGTCAACTTCCTGTTTGTGTTCTGAAGTTGCCGGTGATGTTGATCGTGATCCTCTTTTAGTTACATCTGCATAAAGGTCCCTTGGGTCAAGGTATCCTTCTACATCTTTAGTAACTGGTTGTTCTTCAGGCTGAGGAGACTCTCCCACATCTTCTTGGTGTTGTTGTTTAGGATGCTTCTTCCGATTACGTTTCCGCTTAGATTTTTGAGGACCTCGTTCAGAATCCAAAAATTCCTCATTGTCATCTTCATTACTCGAGGGCGATTTCACTCCGGTATGTGCTTCTCTTGGTGTTGTTAGATCTGTAGTTGTATCCGTATCAGACGGCACAACAATCGTAGTTTGAATCAAAAACTCATACTCAGTCGATGAAGAAACATCAGGACTCTTGGATTCTGCTTCCAAAACTGGGACAACAGGAGGTGAAGGAATATTTTCCACAGGACTACTAATTGTTTTCGCTGCATCAGTCAAAATATAACTTTCAGGGTATGGAATAGATGTCTGTGTTTCAGCAATATCAAACTCTGCAGGAGGAGCTGATGGCATTGGTGATGTTTGTGCCGAGTGCATAATAACAGCAACTGTTGGTTCTGCCTGAGTCTCTTGGCTAATCAATTGTACTTCAACTTTGTCAGGTGTTCTGATTTCTTCAATTTTTACTTCAGGCTCAATTTCTACAGTTTGAATGGCAGTTGCCGTATGTGGAACCTCAACAGTCTGAATACTTTCCTCAGTAAATTCAACACTATCTCTAACAGGTTTGTCTTCTGGAGAGGGTTCTCGGGATGTTTGAACCAGGACTTCAATTACCTCCAAAGGACTAGTCTGTGTTACAGTTTCAACAGATTCTGTGACAACTTGTGGTGATGGTTCTTCGGAAATTTGAGTTTGAATCGCCATTTCAGTTACTTCTTGAACAGGTTCTGGCGAGGTTTGAACAGAAATTACTTCCGTTGCTACTTTGGTAATAACTTCAGTAGCAACAGGTTGAACAATTTCTTCGGTGGGAATAGGAGATGTTTGAGCAATATTTTCTTGAGTGACTAGAGCCTCAACCACAGGAACCTGTGAGATAACACCAAATTCAACTTCTCGAATGGTTTCCTGATTATCAGGAGTGACAACCATTTGTTCTACAATTTTAACGGTTCCAACTTCCGATGGACTAGACATACTTTTATAGGAATCGTTTGGTGATGTAATTTGAACAACTGCAGCTTCCTGAAGGGGAACTTCAGCATCTTCAGTGTCTTTAGCTTCTTCAGTTCCAGACTCTTCATCCTTAGGCTTTGACTTTTTGCCCTTCTTATCTTTCTTACGTTTCTTTGCATCCTCCGCCGGTTTCTTATGCGAAGCCTCAGGCACTACTTCATCATCAGTAAACTGAATAGATTCACCCACAACCGATGAGTCATAGGTAGAAACAGGAGCGTTAGATTCTTCAGTCTCTTCAGGTTTTAATTTTTGCTTGCGCTTCTTGCGTTTCTTCTTCTTCTTATCCATATCATCATCATCTGCTAGGCTTTCATCTACAGTAGTTTTGTCGGCTTCGTAGCCAGACTTACTAGCAAATTCGTCTTGATCATGTTCCGAAGTATCAAAGGATTCCATGGTAGGCTTAGGCGATTCCTCCTGTCTGGAGGAATCTTCCTCTGGCATGCTAATCTCGGTAGAGTCAGCCAGTGAAGTTGAGTAATCGGGGGTCATTTCTTTCTGATCATCTTTACGTTTCTTTTTCTTTCGACTCTTTCGCCCTCCGCTGTCCAAATCACCACTGGTAATGCTATCTTCATGTTCGCTCTCTGGCTTGAAGACCATTGGAGAAACAGCGCTATCCTTGAACTTAATTTCCATCGACTTGTCCATAGTTTTTTCGGTTGTCTTCTTGGGTTGCTGTTCTTCCAAGTGTAGTTGAATTTCTACACGTTCTTCAGTTGCGGGTACAGAGCCATAAACAGTAGTAACAGAATCCTTTACCTCAGTAATGTCTAAAGTTGGCGAATCCTTCTTTTTGTCCTTCTTATCCTTCTTCTTTTTGCTGCCCTTTGATGGTTCTTCAACACTAGTAGGAGTGGGGATGCTTTGGGCTTTCTCACTTAGAATAAATTCCATGGTAGATGACTTGAAAGCAGGATCGTCATTAATAACACGTTCAATTTCTTCAGCAACAATCTCTTGAATATTCAACTTGTCACTTGCGGAATCATCACCAGCGAGAGATACAGTCTCAGAAACAGGCTCCTCCACCAACGGTACGTCAAGAGCATCTACCGGTGTTAGTGTGATCTCATATCTAAGTTCTTCAGGTGTCATCTCTACATCAATCTCAGTGTTGGTAATCTCTACCTTAATTCCAGTGTCATCTTCTTCTACAGGAACTGGTGTAGGTGTTCGTGTTGGAGTAGGAGTAGGAGTTAGAATCAAAGGTGTTCCGGTTTTCGATGTTTTAACAACAATTTTTGGACTTTCTGGTTGAATTACTTCCGGAACCGGTGTAATAGGTTTAACGCAAATCTCAGTCTGAGTAACATTCACCTCAATGGGTTCAGCAGTATCCAATTCATGTTGTAATTGAAGAAACTCCAATTTTGAACTAGGCCTTGATGTTTGTTCAGGTTTAGTTTCATCGCCAGTTGTTTTAATAGTCGGCGATTGCGTTGTTGTCGTAGTGGTGGTAATCTTAGTTTGAATCACATCCGGGGAAGGGTGAGGTGCTTGCATCGACGACACCGCTTCTGCAGAAATAAAATCGCTAACTATACTTTTATCATCGAGCGGTCTCTTGCCCTTTTTCTTGCCGCCCTTCTTCCGGCCATCGGATGGTGTATCTTCCGAGCTAGGTGGTGCGGAAAGCGGGTTCGAGCTACCAGAAGCCAACTTCTCATCAACTTGCGCCTCAATACGGGAAGTAACCGAAGCCGGTGCAGATACGGGGCTACTCTTGGTACTGGTTACTGATACTGGTGCAGCTGGAATGGGTGATGTGGCTACTGAGACATACCTCTCTGTATTTGCGGCATCCAAAGAACCCTGTTGTTGTTGTTGCGGGTCCAACACCTGCACACCTTCAGTTTTCATCACATTGATGCTCACCCGGGGAACACCTTCTTCAGTAATTTCAACTTCCTCGGGTTCTTCAATAATCTCCTCTTGAACCGTTTCCTTGCCATCAACAATGACAACTCTTCGGATGATTTTCCTTGTTTTGCGGATAATACGCCTAGTTACCTGTTGGACTACAGCTCTTACACTAGATGAAGAAGTGTGCAGTTCACCACTTTCAACCAGGTACTGCCCGGCTTCAGGAACAAGAACATTTTCATCAACCATCGCAAGATCTCCTTCATGGAATTGCACTCCTTGCATCTCCACTGTTTCCGGCTTTTGTTCAATAACGGAAAAGTGCGATTCTGGCTCACCTTCAAATTCATGCACTTGCACTTCGCCATCAGCACCTGATTTCACAATACGACCACCATAGTTGGAACTGGTCAGTGTTTCCTGTCTACCATTAGCTGCAATTGATGTACTACTCTGTTGTCCCATCAGGGTGACCTGAGAAAAGCTCTGCGTTATCGGGACATTATCATCTCCAGTGATTATAGTGCTGTGGCTACTTGATGTGGTAACATGTTTCTGTTGACGCTGCACCAGCGTTCTATGAAGTTTCTTTACAATAATACTCTTACTGCCATCGGGATTAACAATCACTTCGGTAGTAGTCTCATCAGGTTCAACAAAAACAGTTTCAAACCCTTGATTAGGTTTCATACTGGAAATATTAATCTCAGAAGTGGTTACATCTTCAATTTGATTATCAGCTTTTTCCTGTTTATAATTAGCTGCCACAGTCAAATCATCAGGTTCTTGCACAATAGGTTCCGTTGGATTGGTAGCAATATGAATGGTTTGCATCCCACCAGAAACCGTCTTGGTAATCTTAATACTCTCCTTTTTACGCTCCATGTCTTCTTCTTCAATAGGCACCGTCCCCAATAAACTGTCACCGGTTTGCGTTTCAATACAAATACCTTGTTGAAGAGTTTCTTCAATGGGCATAGAAATAGAATCCAAAGTGTCTTCAGACTCTTCCACTTTGAGTTCTTCTTTTACGGATAATTCAGGAGGTACTTCTTGTTGTAACTGTTGTTCTCTTTTAATATTTTCAATTTTACGCGATAAAATCACCTTATGTTCAGCAAATATTATCAAAATCGTTCTCAGCTGCTCCTCAAGAGTGAGCGCAAACTCTCTCAACTGAGGATCCTGCTTGAAACGTTCGCACACACTTTTAAGTTCGTCTAATTTATATTCTTTCGATTTAAGTTCGTCACTGATCGCGTCCAATGCGCTAGCGTCTCGCGTTTCAATCAAAAGGGTTTCGCGCACAGTATGCAACCACAATTCAATTTCAGTCAAAAGTTCTTGATAAATCACAATCTCCTGTTGTTGCTTATCGTGTTTCACTCTCGCTTCCTATATAAACAAACAAACCAAACACAAACAATTACATAACTTTTCTAACTCACAAATTTCATGTAATAATTACCTCAAGAGTCTTTTGACCAGCAGCAGCCTGACTCAACAGACTAGCTATCCTGGTACGAATCCCCGCAAGGGTCTGTGATAATTCGTAGACATCTTGATCCGAAGGCACTTCGATGACCAAACCCTCCAAACGTATCGCTTCGCCTGCGTGTTGTCTCAAATCACCAGTAATATCCTGCAACCAATCAATTAATGGCGTCTCAATTTAGTGCGCGTGTTAATTAAAACTAGAATCTGTTTGTCTAATTGAAAGTTACTTGAACAATGTGACTTAAGTCGCGACGAGCGATGCAAACGATGCGAGCGATTGATGCCAGCCGGCGTTAAAATAAGACTGACGCGCATCGATGAGCCGAGAATCAACCGGGACCACTCCGGCCAAAATTTCACAAATCGCACGATCACATCATCGCATACAAATACTACTTTGGCACAAACCAAACCGCAAACGAATGCATTAATATGTTTGCATTTCTTTTATTACAAGCAAGTGACTCATTAATTTTCTGTCGAGTTGAGGCGATAACGAAGTAAGCTAACGATGCTTTTATTTATAATTGTGATTTTTTATCAAAGCATGTCACAGTTACGCGTAAACATGTGCCAAGAGATTGCAATATAACATTGATTAAATAGGTCCTGCAAGCTCCAATTGCGCTCGTCCTGATTTATATTTTCAAGCCGCCCGGAATAAAAATAGCGATTGTGTTATCGTCGTAACTCGTATGACTAGTGTGTTAAGCTACTATACAGCACGAAACGTGCCGGCGAGAGGTCATTGTTAAAAATAGCATTTGTATAGACCGAGTTAACGATGATGTAATGTCCTCGTCGGACTCGCGGTGAATGTGAAGCTGAGCTCAACATGCGCGCAACAGACCCGTACTCGTCACGGTCAGATTTAACATCATAGCCACCTAATTTAAACGCCTTGAAAACAAAATCCGACCGATATTTAAGCTCAGCCTACTAAAGCAGAAAGATTAATGAATTGAAACTTACGCACTTTTGCGTATGGGACGCTTTATGAATGCACAATTATTTATAGCCCAACGCACGAGTTTTTACAAGGTGAATAATTTTCACACAAAACCGAAACAACCGATGACTAAATGCTAATAAAATGTTCTTTTAATTAATAAGCAAACAATAAAAATGACAATATTTACTGAGGCATACTTTTTATGATTTATTGATGACAAATTAATAATGACAGGTGAAATTTTAACTAACCTTCAGCGCGTTTATAATCTGATCGAATCCTTCCTTTGGTAATTCGACAATGGAATTCTCTGTGTTCTGCAAGGACTGATGCAGGTCTGCTACTCCTTCGGTTAAGGCCTGTTTAAAACATCAAATTAGTACAACCTTCACGATTAGCACGCGTTATGCACACATGGATTTATACAAGGGACTAAATTACAGTCAAACATGTTTTGTACAAAATGGCATCACGTAAAAATATCCAAGTAACCATAGAAAAACAAAACAATCAGTGATACAGTTTTGTTTTCCTCATTTACTCATTCCCACACATAAATAATGAAGATAACATGAAATGATTTTGTTTCCGTGTTAGATTTTAACTTTAGTTTTGTTTTTGGCATGTAAAATAGTTTCGGAACGTTTACATTCACTCACATTATGTTAAATAAACAAACCACGCACAACCAAATTATTAGAATTAAGAAAGACATAAAACAGAAGGCATTTTAAAGTGATGTGTATAATGATTGTATATTGTCATGCAATAAATAGGTGAAAAAGTAAAATGGCATGCAAAGGTCGGTTCAGATGATCGAATGCGAGCGGCGACAACGAGCAACACCATCACACAGTCTTTTTCACCTTCTTGCTCTGCTGATGGGTCTCGCCCATCTCTGCTTGGCTGCGTTGACGTTGTCTATTGGATGGCGACGTCGGTTGCTGCTTGGAAGGTCCTACAGGAGTAGTTTGGGCGGGGGGTGCAACTTTGGACAAGTCAATTGGGTTAGTAGTTGGGGTTTCACCTTGGAGATATGTGCTTTGGTCACGCCAATGGCACATTCCACCCGGAAGGGTTGCGCGAGTATATTGTGTATCATTTGAGGAGCTACCGTGTGAGGTTGGACCTTTACGACCTGAACCTGGTCCACCACCACCATTGGAACCGTCGGAATCACCTTTATCATCATGATCACCGTGATCATCTTTTGGACTTGTTTTAGATGGAGGGGATGATTTTTTAAATTGTTGGGCAAGCGATAGGAAGTAATCTTCTTCAGCACTCATGTACATAGATCTATCAGACCAGTAATCTTCTTGAACTAGGTTTTGTGATAGTTCGGAGTCATCAGTTTCTTCAAATGGTACCTGCGGTGGTGTTTTCGTAGGAGCAACTTTTTCAACTTTTGGTGTGACCGGTTCTTGTTTCAGGAGAACTTCTAACATTTTTGATTCTTTATCCAAGATATTTCCTTCAATGTCCTTCTTCGGGATCTCAAAAGTCTTTTCAGGTTTCAAATCAATGTCAATCAGTAGATTACCTTCAATGTCTTTCTTGGGTTTTACTTCTTCAATGATTTCTTCTTTGTTAGTTTTATTATCGTTTTTTGCATCCTTCTTCTTCTTTTTCTTTGATTCCTTTTTGCTTTCCTTTGATTTTGTTTCTTCTTTTTCAGATTGTTTACCTTCTTCTTCAGACTCTCTCATAGGTTTTTCTTTCTTCTTGTCTTTTTCTTTCTTTTCCTTGTGTTTCTTACTATCACCACCAGTCACCTTGGCTAGTAAACTGCCAATAAATGAACTGCGTTTTTCAGCTAGGGGATAATCGGCTGCAGGCTGAATACTAGTAGTTTCTTTAATGGCAGAAACTTCTGGTGTTACCTCAACTTCTACCTTCTCCACCTTTACAGATGGCTCAGATTTACTATCGGCAGATGGTTCAGTAAGTTGCACAAATATTTCATCAATCTCTCCTTCTAAAGACTCAACAACACCAGGAACCATTACAACATCGGACTTGGATTTCTTTTCTTTCTTGTCTTTGTCCTTTTTTGTTTTTGGAGGAGCTTGTCCCATCTCCCGGTAAACTTCCTTCACAATATCCTTAACTTCTTGTGCATGTGCTTCTGATTCTTCTTTAATCTTCTTGTCCTTTTTAGCCTTTTGTTTAGCTTCTTTCAGTTCCTTAGATTCCGCTTGATTAACATTCTTTGAATGAGAAAATACTGACTTTACAGATGATATCAAGCCACTCAAACCAGATGTTTGCTTTTCCTTCTTTTCTTTCTTAGATTTTTTGTCTTTTTTCTTATCATCGGGACTTTCTTCTTTAGCAGCTTCTTCAAACTGCTTCACAATATCTGAAACTTTAGGTACGTCAGCTTCTTCCTTCTGAGAAGCAATGTTAGCCCAAGATGGTACTTTCTCTTCCACTTTAGCTTCAATTTCAATTGTATCCGTCTTAGATGATTTATTGACAGGTGGAGATAGTGACAATGCGCCCTGAACACGATTCCTAGACCTCGACCTAGATCTACTACGAACCGGAATAGTAATGAAACCTTCTTCATCCACATTTATTGGATCACGTTTCGTAACAGTCGTAGTAGTATCACAAATAACCTCAATATGCACAGGAATAGATGGTTTCGCTTCCTTAGGACTATCCTTAGGTGATACCACCTCAATAGGTTGTTCTGAAGTGGGTTGTACCTTCGTACCAAATACTTTAGCATATGTTAAAGGAGAAGAGTTCTCAACTTGTGAAAGTTGAATAGGTTCAATTACAACTGGCTCCAATGAAGTATCAATGAAACTTTGTTCAGGTGTTATACCTTCCAGAGATTGATTCATGTGTTCCAAGTCATATTTAATTTCGTAATTCAACTCTCCTTTGATGGTATGTTTATTAGGCCTCTTTGGATCCTTGATCTTAACTTTTACATCCTTTTTATGTGTTTGTGGTGCAACTGGTTCCGGTTCAAAAGGTTCGTTGACAATTTCCTCCAGAGGTTGATCATTAGCAACTACATTCTTGTTGCCAGATCTAGATTTCCTCTTAGATTTTTTGGGGCTCATTTGTATATTACCATCACTTTCAGATGTTTCTTCTTCTTTTGTTACTATCACTTTAGTGAGGACAATCTCCACCGGTCTTTTCTTCAAACTTGGACTTGAAGGTGCTTCAACCTTGGTAGCATCAACTACAGGTAATTGTTCTTCGGATTTAGAGCCTGTATTTGCTGCAACAATATCTGCATAAGTCTGACCATCACTTTGTGCAGTCCAGACATTAATTGGTTGATTTATTAGTACTTCCTGTGTTTCCTTAACTTCTTTGCATAAAGGTACTAAATCCTTTAATTTTTCGGGTGAAGACCTTGTCTTAGGTGATTTAGATTTACGTTGCATGGGTTTTGCTTTAGGTTTGGTTTCACTAACATCCGACACTTTAGGTGGCGTTACTTCCTCTACCTTCACTTCAATGGGTTTCGGAGTTTCTAATTCTTCAGAATCATCCAAGATGTCATGAACCCATGAATGCACAGGAGGAAAATCATCGTCTTCTTTGCTAATGAAACCTGCAGATGGGCTGGTCATTACTTTGTCATATCCCCATTCAGGGTTGGAGGTTTCGGTTTTAATCGTAACACTTTCTATTATTTCAGATTTAGTCTTCTCCAAACCAGGAATAAATTCACGGGCATTTGGATTCAAATCTGAGGGTCTTATTTTAGGAACAAATTCCGTTGCTTTATGAACAATTTCTTCAAATTGGGATTTAGATGGTGTTGTTGGGATATCAACCGTACCAGTAGGAAGAGGGGTCAACATAGGTGATGCGTTTGAGCTCGAATCAGACATTTTAAAATCATCTAGGTCCAAAGTCAGTTCTTCTTTGTTAATTTTTGTAGTGTCCTTCTCTACTGTAATAATAGGTTCCACTACTTCTTCCTTTTTCTCTTTGTTACCCTTGTCTTTATGTCCTTTTTTACTCTTATGTTTCTTCGATTTCCCTGAAGCAACTACTTCAACATGGGTATCCTGTACCAAAGAAATATCTTCAATTTTGACTTCTTCTTTAGTTTGATCTGCAGCTTTCACTTCCGTAATTTCTTCAACTTTCGCATCGTCCTTAGTTACATCAACCTCTTTAACGTCTTGATTTTCTTCAACTTTGGGTACATCCTCTTCTAAAACCATTACAAAATCATCATCAATAGATCCTTTCTTCTTAGGAACGTCATCAACAATGTTATCTACGAATTTCGTAATTTCTTCCACTTGTAATATAGCTGGTTGCGTGCTATCATCGCAATTTTCAAGTTCTTCATCAATAATTCTAGCCATGTCATACACTGATGAATGGAAACCACTTCCGCTCATTGTCATAAAGTCCGGAACCTCAGTCATCAGCTTATTATCCTCAGCTTCTAACAAATCCGTCCATAACACTCCTGTTGGTTGAAACACTGGTTTCTTTGGTTTCTCAGGAGGGGGTGGTGTTGCTTCATGTTGTTGCGTTTCAATTTCAATCACCTGAGGAATTTCCTCAAATGAAACAGACTTTGTTTTCTTTATTTTGGGCGTTCTATCATCCATAGAATCAGATTTTCCTGTTTCTTCCTCAGTACTTAACTGAGAGGAAACATGTTCTTCAGGTTTTATCGATTTTTTGTTTCTACTTTTAGGTTTGCATTCTTCAAATGTCTCCCGAGTGTCAATAACTTTCGATGCAACAGTTTCTTCTGAAAGGATAGTGCCTGTTACAACAGTATTGTTATCAGTTTGGACAATTGGATCAACATTTGGCTCTTGAACAGTTGCGAATTGCATAAATTCAGGTGCAGGCTTGTTTTCCCTGGGTGATGATGGTTCCGAACCTGATTTCTTCTTATGCCTGTTACGTTTTTTCTTTTCAGGTTGCGGAGTTTCAGCACTTTCACGAGGAGTATCACTAGGAATTTGCTGCTCAACAGATATCAAAGTCTCATCAACTACGTCTGGTTTATCCAAAATCTTTTGAATCTCTGCTTCAACTGTCTCATCATTTAAAACATCAACCCTTGGTGTTGATGGTACGCTTCCAGTTTTCTTCTTATTACGTTTCTTTTTCTTTGTAGATGTTTCTGCCTCAGACTCTGTAGCAGTTTCTGATACAATAATTTCTTCTTTGTTTTCAACTTTATTCTCCGGTATCGTATCCGATATAATATCTTTGGTAAGCTCCGGAATATCAGCACAAGAATCATCTAATCTTGGAGTATTTACTTTCTTTTTATTTTTACGCTTCTTTTTGCTTGGTGCACTCTGTTCTTCAGTTTTACCAACATCAGGGACCTCTTCAGGTACCACAGGTCCTTCCTTCAAGATTTCCTCTACAACCTCATCAGGAATACTAGTAGGTGTCACTTCTGCAACATTCTCCTCAACAACCTCCTTTTTCTTCTTATTACGCCTGCGAGGCGTTCGAGGTGTTACCGCTTCACCCTCACTGATACTTTCAACCATTGAAGAAGGCATTTCCTGTGTTGAACTAGGAGATTCTGCTTGTTGGTGTTCAACTGGAGCAACATCTTCTGCTACTTTTTTAGTTTCATCTTCAGATTTTGACTTTCGATTGCGTTTCCTTCTACGCTTCTCAACCACCTCTTGACATTCAGAGGTATCCAGATCAGGATCTTCCACTTTTACAGGTTCCACATTTTCTGTCTTAGTTTCAGGCTGATAAAGAGAAAAAGAAGTTTGGTCGATGTTTGATGTCGTAATAGTTGTCAATGTCTCATTTGTTGTGTCATAATTAATGTTTTGTTTAATTACCTCTGCAAACGATTTTTTCCACACAGCTGGTTCAACCTGACTTGTAGCAACTACAGGTTGTGCCACTGCACATGCTCCACTTTCAGGAGTCACTTCTTCCTCACCACGAGGAGTTTTATTCTTATTGCGTTTGCGACGTGGTTTGCGTTTGGTGTCAGCCGGTTCATCGCGATTGCTCTCGCTTGTCTCGTCCTTCGCCGTAGTTGACTGGTCGGTTTCGTCATCTGAAAGCGGCGAGGGGATAATTTTAGCTCTGAGCTCCTCATCGGAACAACCGAGATATGTATCGACCACATCTGTCAGTTGCTCCTGACTATCAATCTGTTTAGGAGATTCTGACTCGGGTAAAACTGAGTCAGTATCAGGCAAACCTTTGCGTTTCTGTGGCTGTTGCTGGCCGCGCCGCTTCTCCACGATGTTCATAACTTCCTCAATCGAATGCACCTCGACATCAATCACCGAGTCTAAGCGGTCGATTCGTTGCGCACCTGTCACAAGCGTAGTTTCCAGGCCCTGTTTGTCATTTAGAGCTTGTTTTTGCGACGCCTGCTTTTTACCAGGTTTTTTGATTTCTGACGTGAGCATTGTTACAGGAGCATTTGGTCGGTGTTTCACTGAACCAAATATGGCCATTTCGATATCTATATCTTGAGCGCTAATAACACCAGAGTCTGTGGATTTGATTGAAATATCCATCGCTTTGCTATCATCCGTATCTTCTTCAAGTTTAGTGATCTCAGGTGATTGTTCAATAAATGTTTCTGTTGTTATCGGCGTCTCTACTAATTGTATCTCGCGTGATAAGACAGGTTTAAGTTTGATTTCTTCATGGGTGATTAGGACTATTTTGTTTGTGCGTGGGAAAGTTTCAAAGTGCTGATCAGTTTGTACAGAGTGAATTGTTTCCGGTTTAGATTTACGCAATATTTCAGAATATGATGTTACCGATTCGGAAGTTTCCACATTCTTAGTATTTACCGTATTGGTATCTGTTATTTTGGTACCCAAATTGTCAATTATATCAACCACCGCTTTAGGACTTGTTTCCTTCTTTGTTTTCCTCTCCTTTTTAGTTGGTTTTACTACATTTTCTTCAGGCTCTGATACTACCTTTTCCAATAAGTCACTTGTTTCTACAATTGCTGGCTTAACTTTCTTAGTTACAGTTGTTGTTTCAATAACCACCAATTCATCTACTTTATCATCCTGTTTAACTAGTTTCTTCTTCTTTTTATCATTTTTACCTGCTTTAGGTAATTCACCTTCTTGTGATGGTTCTGATTCACTTGCTTCAACCTTTTCAACTGTTTTTATAACTTTATCGTCCACTTTATGATCAACTGGTTCTTTGATAATTTCAGTTACTGTTTCAGTTATAATAGTGCTAGTTTCAACTGTTGGTTCATCATCTGAGAGTACCATTGGTTGATCGAACAAGTCGTCCCAAATTTTAGAACTGTCATCAATTGGTAAACCTTTGTAAGCAACTTTTACTGGTGTTTCTTCTTTTATTTCCGCAACCTCAACCGCTACTTCTTCTTTAATCTTTGCTACTTCAGCCAAAACTGGAGTCTCTGGCACAATTGCTGCTGGTGCATCTTTTTGTTCTTCTGATACAATAGGAATTGCTTCAGGTTTATCATCAATAGGCACTTTTGAGACTTCTTTCTTCTTCTTTTTATCCTTTTTGCTTGAGCGAGGACTCTGTACAGTAGCAGGTAATTCGACCTTCGCTTCTTCAGTTTGTTTTAAATTTTCTTCCTGTGTACTGATAGTATTACTAATAATTTCAGTTGTAACCGAAGTTACTTCACCAATTTCCGACTTTGGTTCGGGGACTTCCTGAACAACAACATCCACGGGTTTATTTTCACTTTCGGATGTAGTGTGTTTCTTCTTTCTCTTGTCCTTTTTACTAGATCCGGGCGAATCAACAACCTTTGGCTTTTGTTCTTCAATTTCATCTCTAACTACATGTTGCACTTCGGATTCTATAACTTTGTTAACTTCTTCGACAACTTCTACGCCCTTTTCAATATTAGTTACAACCGTTTCTGTTGTCGTCACTACTGGAGTTTCCTCAAGAGGAATTTGTTTTTTCTTCTTTTTATCTTTTTTGCTTCCTCTTGGAGAATCAACTACATTTGGTGTTTCTACGGTTTGCTCTGGTTCTGTAGATATAATCACTTCAGTTTTAACTTCAGAATGTTCAGTAGATATTACTGATTCCGGTTGATCAATGGAAATTTCAAGTTTAACATCAGATATTAATTTTTCTTCAATTTCTTGCCCTTCATTTGGTTTATTCTTTTTCTTGTCCTTCTTTTTAGATTTTGGTGACTCTGGTTTTTGTTCTTGTTCAGCATGCTGTTTTTCTGTTTCAATAAATGAAATTATTTCTTGAGTTTTATCTGGTATTTCAGTTACGTTCACAGTTTTAGGAATTTCAGTTACTTCAGTTGTCGCTTCAACAGGTTTATCTTCACTAGTAGATTTTGTATTTTTCCTCTTCTTTTTATCCTTTTTACTAGATGTTGACCATTCCACATCTTCTTTCTGATCATTCTGTTTATCAGTATCTGTATCAGTGGTAACTTCTGTCGTTACTTTAATTTCTTCAGTGACAACAATTTCGGATAGCTTTTCTTCGGTTTCTGATTTAGTATGCTTCTTTTTCTTTCTGTCTTTCACTACAGGTTTCCTTTCTTCCGGTTTTTCTTCAACAACTTCAATAACGTCAGAAACAGAAATTTCTTTCTCAGGTTCGCTAATTTGACTTATGGTTTCAGTTACAATTGGTTCATCATCCGAGAAAACCATTGGTTCGTCAAGAACACTCTCAAACAAAGATGTACTGTCATCAATAGGCAATCCTTTATAAGCTACAGCTACCACAGTTGGTTCAGGATCCGCTGGTTTTTCCTGCTTTACAACTTCCTCTTGAACTTCTTTTACAGGAACTACTGGAATCTCAACTTGTTCCATTCTTTCAAGTGTTTCTTCGGATTTACTTTCTGATTTCTTCTTCTTTCTATCTTTTTTAGTTGGTTTTGACGAACCAACAATTTCTGGTGGATCTTCCAAAATCTTCCTCTCCGATTCAGAAGTTTTACTTTTATCACTTTTGGCAGATCGTGGTAGAGGCATAGGTTTATCTTCATTTACTTCTAAAACAATTTCTTCTTTTTTAGTTTCAGTTATTATAGAATCTACAACAGTAACATCAACAGGTGCGACGAGTGTTTCCTCGTCTGATGAGGGCATAAGTTCATGTTGTTTCTTCTTTTTGTCTTTTTTGCTTGACTTGGGTGAAATCTCTTTAGGTTTAACATCTTCCTTCTCCAATTCAATAACTGCAACTGTTTCTTGGACAATTTCTTGAGTTTTAGGAATTTCGTCACTAACTACCACATCAGCAACAATCTCCGTTACTGTCTCAGATTTGACATTCTCAGTCGGCTTTTCTGTTGAAGAAATAGTCCTTCTTCTCTTTTTGTCTTTCTTGCTTGCTTTTGGTGACGGTGCTTCATCAGATTTCTGTTCTGGCACAGGATGTTCAATTGATTTAACTACAATGTCAACTACTTCTGTTATTTCCACCGGCTTGACAGAATCAGTTACGGTTTCAGGTAAAATTTCTTGTGGTTTCGTCTCAGTTTCAGATTCTGTTCTCTTCTTCCTTTTATCTTTCTTACTTGATCTAGGAGAATCAGGTTTCAAAGTTTCTTTAACCAAAGCATCTTGTTTTTCAGCTTCAATAAACGAATGAATTTTCTGAGTAACTTGGACAATTTCGGATTGCAAAGTTTTTACTTTAACGTCACTAGGTGGTTCAGTGATGATTTGATCAACTGGTTTAATTTCTTCAAGATTTGTTTCCGATTCAGATGTTGACTTTGTTTTCTTGTTCTTATTCTTCTTGCTGGATCTTGGTGATGTCTTCTCCTTTTCTGATGATTCCAGACTTTTTTCAACAACTTCAACTACTTCCGTATTCAATTTTACTGTTTCAATAACAATCGGTCTTTCTTCTTCTACAGCCACTTCCTTCGTTTCAACTTCCGGAGTTATTTTCTCTGATTCTGAGGTTGTCTTATTCTTCTTCTTGTTTTTCTTGCTTGTCCTAGGCGATTCAGGTTTAATGGTTTCATCAATCACTGCAGAGTGTTTCTCCAATTCAATAAATGTTTGTGTATCTAGAGAAATATCTTTAATTTCAGGTTTAGATATTTCTTTTTCAGCCTCGGGTTGAACAATTGATATTACATCTTCTACAACAACACTTTCAGGTTTAGTTTCGGTCCCAGATTTTGTTCTAGGCTTCTTCTTCTTTTTATCCTTTTTGCTCGGTTCGGTTAGTACTGTATCCTCCAGTTTCTCCTCGATCAAACATACTGGTTCAACTGTCTCTGGTTTTTCTTCTGATAAAACAACAACGTCAGGCTTATTTTCACTTTCAGATGTTGACTTCTTCTTTTTCTCCTTTTGCTTGATCTAGGCGTTTCTGGTTTAACTGTGCTATCTTGTTTATCATCTTCATTAACAGTTGGAACTTTAATTTCTTCTTTAACTTCTTCAGTAACAATTTGCACAGTTTCGGTTTTAACTTCCGGCGTAACAGAAACTTCAGGCTCAGTATTCTTAGGGTTTTGCTCAACTTCGGGTTGTACTTTTTTCTTCTTTTTATCTTTCTTGCTTGATCTAGGTGAATCAGATTTGATTTGTTCGGTGATCAAAGCGCCTTGTTTTTCAAGTTCAAGGAGCGTCTTACTATCCTGAGTAATTTCTTTGTTTTCAGGAATGGATGTATCCTGAAAGGTACTGAGTTCTGGGCTAGGTAATTTAGGCTTTTTCTTCTTTTTGTCTTTTTTATTAGCTTCAGGCAAAACGTTTTCCTCAAGTTTCTCATCAACTACAGATTTCTGAGTTGTTTTAACTACTTCAACGATTTCAGTAACCAATTTCGTTGTTTCAATTGTTTCTGGTTGGATTTCCGAAGTAACTAAAACTTCTGTCTCAATAGTTTCGGGTTGTTTTTCAGTTTCAGATACTGTCTTTTTTTCTTTTTGTCTTTTTTGCTCGATCTAGGTGAATCTGGTTTAATTGCTTCATCTGAAGATACAACTTGCTTCTCGACTACGACAACCGCAGCGTCTGATTCAAGTTTCGGTTGTTCCTCGGGTTGTTTCTCCGTCTCAGATTTAGTCCTGGGTTTCTTCTTCTTTTTGTCCCTTCTAGTTGGTTCAGGCAATACATCTTCAATGAGTTTCTCATCAAGCAAAGGTTCCAAAGTTGGTTCCACTACATTGACTATTTCAGTAACCGGCGGAACAATTTCGATTGTCTCTGATTTGACCTCCGAAGTTAGTAAAACTTCAACTTCAACATTTTCAAGCTGTTTCTCACTTTCTGATTCTGTCTTCTTCTTCTTTTTCTTGTCTTTCTTGCTCGATCTTAGTGAATCAGTTTTAGGCGCTTCGTCCGTTACTATAACTCGATTCTCAACTACGACCTCCGTTAAAATTTCTGTTGTAACTTGTGTTATTTCAGGTTTAGGTAATTCATCTGTTGCAATGAGGTCAGTGTTTGGTATCTCTTTTTCTACAAGTAGCTCTTTAGGTTGTTTTTCAGTCTCAGACTTTGTCCTGGGTTTCTTATTCTTCTTGTCCCTTTTAGTTGGTTCTGGCAATACACTTTCAACATGTTTTTCATCTAGCAAAGGTTCCAATATTGGTTCAACTACATTCACTATTTCAGTAACAGGTTGAACAATCAGTATTGTCTCAGATTTGACCTCCGTGGTTAGAAGAACTTCAACATTTTCAGGTTGTTTCTCACTTTCAGATGCTGTCTTCTTCTTCTTTTTGTCTTTCTTGCTGGATCTTGGTGAATCAGTTTTAAGCGCTTCCTCCGTTATTATAACTTGATTCTCAACTACGACCCCCGGTGAACTTTCTGGTGTAACTTGTGTTATTTCAGGTTTAGGTAATTCCTGTGTTGCAATGAGGTCAGTGTTAGATATCTCTTTTTCTGCAACCAGCTCTTCAGGTTGTTTTTCAGTCTCAGACTTTGTCCTGGGTTTCTTCTTCCTTTTGTCCCTTTTACTAGGTTCAGGCAATACATTTTCTATAAGTTTCTCATCGATCAAAGATTCCTGAAGTGGTTCAACTTTGACTGCCTCAACTATTTCAGTAATTGTTTGCGTTACCTCAATTACTTCTGGTTGAACTTCGATCAAACTTAAAACTTCAACTTCAGTATTCTCTGGTTTCGACTCAATTTCTGGTACTGCTGGTTTCTTCTTTTTGTTTTTCTTACTGGATCTAGGCGAATCAGGTTTAGTTGCTTCCTCAGACAAAATATTTTGTTTCTCACTCTCGATGAACGTTTGAATTTCTTGAACAACTTCTTTTATTTCAGGTGTAACAAGTTGTTTTTCTGCTGCAAGATCTTCAAGTTTACTTTCGGATTCAGATTTTGTTTTTGGTTTCCTCTTTTTATCCTTTTTACTTGATCTTGGTGAAGATACCTCAGCTGTCACAGGTTCTGCAATGACTTCTTTAACAACCTCAATCATTTCAGAAGTTAAGGAAGTTTCTAGTGTCTCTGGTTTGCATTCTTCAAGAACCTCCACAGGAGCGAGTACTATTTCTTCTGGTTTATTCTCCGTTTCAGATGGTGCTTTTCTTCGCTTTTTATCTTTCTTACTAGATCTAGGCGAATCGGTAATAGACGCTTGCTTTTCAGTATCAATAAATGTCACTATATCTTCTGTGGTTTGCACGATCGTTGTGGTTTCTACTTTTGTTTCGGGTACCACTTCAGTTGTAACTGACACCACCGGTTCAGATAATACTTCTGATTCAGAAATTGTTTTAGTTTTCTTTTTCTTGTCTTTTTTGCTCAATTTTGGAGAAACTTCAGCTTTCGGAATATCTTCAGCACTGGGTTCCTTAGAGACTTTTGTAACTTCCTCAACAATTTCAATCTTTTCAATTGGCTTCTCCTCCTTAGCTGCTACTTCAGTTGAAATTGTTCCCATCACTTCCTGATCAGGCACGATTTCAGTTTTAATTTCATCAGGTTTCTTTTCATTTTCAGATTTCGTCCTCTGTTTCTTATCTTTCTTGCTGGACCTTGGTGACTCTATTTTAGGCACTTGTTCTACCAATGTTTGTTGTTGTTCAGTTTCCATAATTGTAATAATTTCTTTAGTTTCAACAGTTGGTGTTTCAATAGTGGTTTCAGAAATCATTGTCTCAGTTGATACTATAACTGGTTCTTCAGGTTTACTTTCACTTGTTGATTTAACACGTTTCTTTTTTTGTCCTTTTTGCTGCCTCTTGATGAATCTGAATCATCCTTACGCACTTCTTCATGTAAGGCATTTTGTCTTTCAGCCTCAATCAAAGCCACAATTTCATGAGCAGATTGAACAACTTTAGCATTGGTTATTTCCTCTTTATCTTCTATTTTTACTTGTTCTGGTTTTGATTTAGCCTTCTTATCATTCTTTGAGGATTTTGGAACGTTAATTGGTTCTTCACTGCTCACTGGAACAACTTGTTTAATTTCAAGAGACACGTTATTTTGAATATTTTCAGTTGTTTCCTTAACAGTTTCAACCACATCTAACTTAATTTCTTCAGCATTTGTTTTAATATCCAAATGTTTATCTTCTGTTTCAGATTTAGTGCGCTTCTTTTTGTTCTTCTCTTTTCTGCTTGATCTAGGTGTTTCAGGCTTTTTCACTTCTTCATCTTTTAGTGCTTCTTGTTTTTCAGTTGCAATAAAGCACTCACTAACGTCAGGAACAATTGCTGCTATTTTCTCCTCCGTTTCAGGAGTTTCCGGAGTTTTAAATGTGCATTTTTGCATTTCGGCTTCAATATTAGTAGGAACTAAGGTTGATTCATCGACTATGAATTCAGTTGGTATTTTCTTCGCTTGTTTGTCCTTTTTAGAAGATTTTGGAGATTCTTCTTTAACAAGTATTTCAGCATTAGAGACATCTGCCACTTCAACAATTTCAGGTATTTGTACAGTTTCTTCGACAGTAGTTGACAACACAGTTTCTGCAACTGCAACAATTTCATTTGTCTTGATTTCTGAACTCTTAGATTTTTTCTTTTTGTCTTTCTTATTAGATTTTGGTGACTCCAATTCAATTGTTTCGGAAACAATAGTGATTTCTTCTTTCACAATCGGTTCAATGGCACTGGTTTGTTCAAAAACAACTTCTTCAATTGTATCTTCAAGTTTTGGAACTGACTGTTTGTCTTTCTTGCCCGTTTTGGATTTCTTAGTTTTAATCTTGTCTCCTGAATCAGAAGTAGGACTTTCTTCTTCAGGTACTGGTGTGCTAATTTCTTCGATTGTTGTTGACAAAATAATGGTTGGTTCAGGCTCTTGAACTTTTTCTTGTTGAATAAAAGCAGAAACTGTTTCTGTTACTTGTTGTAAAGTTTCTTCTTTTATTTCTGTTTCGGAGGGTTTCAAAGTTGGTTCTTCGGATTTAGGTGTATCTTCTTTTGGTGGCAATTTTTTAATTTTCTTTGATTTCTTCCTTTCAATTTTGCCAGGTGTAGCAAATGATTGTTCAGTAACTATGGGTTCAATTGTTTCTGTAGTAATAATTGTCTCTGTTTGAACAATTTCTACTGGTATTAATGGTTGTTCTTGAGCTGGCTCATCATCAGAGAACACCATAGGTTCATCTAGGATATTTTCAAATAAACTAGAAGTTTCATCAACTGGTAAACCTTTGTAATCAATCTTCTTTGGCTCTTCAACTGCTACAACTTCTACAGCTGGCGTACTGACCGGTTCAACTACTGGTTCAGATTCTGATACTTTAGGTGTTTTCTTTCCTTTCTTTTTCTTTTTGTCAGGAGTAATTTCATTTTCTGTCTTTTCAACAATTGTCACTGTAACAACTTCAGTTGTTGTAACTGTTTGTGGTTCATCAATAATAACAGGTTGAATCGTGGTATCTTTCGCAGCTTCTTCAGATACAGAAACTTCTGATGACACAGAATCGGTAAAGTCACTATCTTTATCTTTACCCTTGTTCTTCTTCCTTTGGGTCTTCGTTGGAGGACTATCAAGAATTGCTTCCAATTGTTGCTTTTCTTTTTCTATAAAGTCAGCAATTTTACTAGACACGTTTTTAAGTAGTATTGATTCTTTATCTTCTTTATCATGGGAAACAGTTTCTTCTATTTTAGTAGTTGTCACAGTAGTTTCTATAGTTGTTAACTCAGGTTCTTGAATGTGCTCAGTTGGTACCGCAGGAGGACTGTGATTTAACATCTTCCACTTTGGGTTCAACATCAATATCCTTCTTTGATTTTGACTTTTTCGGTTTTACTTTCTTTTCGACAACAGCCGGTAGATTTTCTTCTAAAGTTTCAACTGTTTCAATTACAGTTGGAGGTTGTAGCTGCTCTTCTACCAATTTTACAGCTGTAATTTCTTTAATTTTGGGTGATTCAGGTGGTGACTTTTTAGATTTTTTCTTTGATTTCTTCTCTGTATCCTTTGTGTCTTCATTTTGTTTTTCTGGCAGAGGAGCAACTACTTCGGGCACTACTTCAATTGGTTCAATGGGCTTAGTTTCGGATGTTGGGCTATCTGGCTGTTTCTTTGACTTTTTCTTGCTTTTCTTTGATTCTTCTTTTACAAGAATCGCTTCTTTTCTGGTGACTGTAGTTCATTAGTTGCAACAGTAGTAACTATAGTTGTAGTTGTTGTAGTCATAGTAACAGTTGTGCCTTCATCATCGGAGAAGACCATTGGTTCATCTAGTACACTCTCAAATAACGATGTGCTATCATCAATTGGCAAACCTTTGTAAACAACCTTTTCAACAACTTGAGGAACTTCTCCCGGTTTGACGACAGTTGTAATTGCTTCAATTACTTCAATAGCTGGTTGACTTGTCTCTGTTTTTTCAAGTTCTACTGGTGAAGATGGTTCAGGCACCTTTTTACCCTTCTTCGTTTTAGACTTTGATTTGGAGTCCTCAACATGAGTCTGTGGTTCTGGTGGCAACTGATGTTGTTCTTGCATAATAAATTCAACATTTGCATCGGTTGTTGTTGTAGAAACGATAGGTTTAGATTCTTCATCATCTGAGAAAACCATTGGTTCATCTAAAACTGACTCAAATAAACTTGTAGTTGCATCTATCGGTAGTCCTTTGTATGAAACTTTTTCTACAACTTCAACGACAGGTTCTATTTTAGTGACAGTAGTTACAGTAGTCACAGTTTCAATTATTGGTTCTGTTATTGTAACGGTGCTGGTAGTTTCTAAAGTTTCTACCAAAGAAATTTTATCTTCGTCTGATTTTTTACCTTTTTTCTTTTTGGATTTAGTTTTCTCAATTGCAGGTTGGGTAGATTCCGGTGGTAGTTGCTTCTGTTCTTGTGCAATAAAGTCTTGTATTTCAGTGACCAATGGAGAGCTAGATGTTTCAATTGGTTGCTTGTCTTCAAGATTATCATTTGAAGGTATTACTTTTTCACCAACAGCTTCAATAGATTCGGTACTGGGTGATGGTGATTTCTTTGGCTTCTTTTTCTTTTTCTTGTCTTCCGTTTCTACCTTTACTTCTTGTTCTACTGCTTTTATTTCTTCATCAGAGAAAACCATTGGTTCGTCTAGGACACTTTCAAACAAAGATGTGCTGTCATCAATTGGCAAACCTTTATAAGCAATTTTGTCTGGTTCTGTTTTTTCAACTTTTGGTTCAACTTTAGTTTCTGTAACTACTTCTGCCCTAATAACAGTTTCTTCAATTTGTTGTATTTGTTCAACTTGTGGTGTTTCATGTTTTGGTTCAGCTTTACGTGACTTCTTAGATTTTTTCTCTGGTTTTACTGGTTCTGAAACTGGTGTAGCTACTTTAATTTCTTCTAATTTCGGTTTTAAATCTTCTTCATCCGAGAACACCATTGGTTCATCGAGAACACTCTCAAACAAAGATGTACTATCATCAATTGGCAAACCCTTATAAGCTACTTTTTCTGGTTCTGCTTTTTCAATCGTTGGTTCAACTTTAGTTTCTGTAACTACTTCTGCGCTAATAACAGTTTCTTCAATTTGTTGTATTTGTTCAACTTGTGGTGTTTCATGTTTTGGTTCAGCTTTACGTGACTTCTTAGATTTTTTCTCTGGTTTTACTGGTTCTGAAACTGGCGCATCTACTTTAATTTCTTCTAATTTCGGTTTTAAATCTTCTTCATCCGAGAACACCATTGGTTCATCCAGAACACTCTCAAACAATGAGGTACTATCATCAATAGGTAAACCTTTGTAGACCACCTTTTCCAACTCTTTTGGTGAATCTTGAACTTTTGGTGGAACTTCTAAAACTGTGGTAACCTCTTTAGGAAGGTCTGTTACTTCTGTAGTGACAGTAAATACTTCTTCAATTTTAGGTACTTCAGGTGTTGTAGGTGGTGATTTCTTTGATTTTTCTTTCTTGTTTTTATTTTTCTTGTCCTGTTTAACAGGTTCAGGTAAAGGTGGAAGTTGCTGTTTCTCTTCGGTGATGAATTGTTGAATTACATCAATTGGCTTTGGCACGTCTGGAATAATAACAGCTTTGTCTGGTTTCTTTTTAGACTTTGATTTAGTTTTAACAACATCCACGGCAGATTTAATTGTTGTTTCTTGAACAGTTATTTCTTCCATAGTCTCAATTTTCTTCTCAGGGACTGACAAAGTATTCACTTCAGGTGTGTGCGGTGGTGATTTTTTAGATTTTGTTTTCTTTGGTGACGTTTTCACGTCGTCAACTACAGTTTCAACTTTTCGGTAACAATTGGTATTTCACTTTCTTCAATCTTAATCGGATCAACCTTAGGTGTATCAATTTCCTGCGGAGTTTTCTTCCCTTTCTTCTTTTTAGACACATCCTTGTTTTCTGCTGGTTTATCATCTATTTTATCATGTTCTTTTGTTTCAGTTGTAACTACAGTCGTAACAACTTCGGTAACAATTTCCTCAATCTGATCACTTTGTAAAGGTGCTTTCTTTGATTTCTTGTTTTTCGATTTTTGCGGCATTTCCTTCACTTCTTCCACTTTGACAGAATCACTTTCCTTAGGGTCTGGTTTTTTCTTTTTCTTGGGTTTTAGCTTCGAATTGTTCTCGCATTCTTGCGATATGGGAATTGCTTGTTCTTCCTGTTCTAAGGTAAAATCCTGAGGTGCCGGAGCAGGCTTAGTCTCTGCTAATTTCTTTATCATGTTAGGAACCAGTAGTGGTAGTTTCTTAAGTTTGGTAGATTCTTCAGCAACCAAATCAGGAGACTTTTCTTTCTTAGCCTTATATTCTGGATCTTCAAGAAGTTCAAGATATTCCTTCATTTTCTGTTGTTGATATTTAATTTCTTCTGCCTTTTCTTCTTCTTCAGATGGTTTCGGATCAACTGGGATAATTTCGATTTCAGCTGTAATTACTTCGGGTTCTGGTTCAACCTTTGGTTCATCAATTACAATTTCCGCTTCAGGTATTGATACTTCCTCAGGTATCACAGATTTTACTGGTTCTAGTTGTTGTTCATCCGTAGATAGTTGCGCGACTTCTTCTAGTTTAACAGTCAAAGTATCTTCAACTTTATTTTCAACCTGAGGCAAAGTAATATCACCATCTTGATCTAAGAGATCTGCCCAAGATGGGCCCTTAGTCAATCCATTCTTTATTGGTTCTTCTTCTTTGTGTTCTTCAACTGGTTGTTCAATCGTTTCTTGTAGAATTTCAGGAAGTGGTTCAGCTTTAGGCTCTTCAGATTCTGAAGTTTTATGTTTCTTATTTTTCTTTGATGATTTTGAAACTTTTGGCGTTTGTGTAACTTCAACTTCAATCACTTCTGTGCTTTCAACAACAGCTTCTTGAGGCTGCTCTGCCTTGGGTTTCTTATTCTTCTTTTTCTTACCAGTTTGAGGAGATTCAACTACTTCAGGAACTTGAATTGTACTTTCAGCAGCTTGTTTTTCTGCTTCGATTAACTCATTGCTGATATTAGTAACTGTACCATTCTTCTTGTTCTTGTTTTTCTTAGAACTTGGCATCAAGACTTCCGGAACTTTCACTTCAACTTCAGCTTCAGCTGTTTCAATCGGTACAACTGCATTCTTCTTGGCATTCTTCTTCTTACCTTCAGTTCCGGTCGTTTCCGTTATCGTTTTTGTCTTAGTTTCGTTAACAATCTTTTCCGGTTTCTTCTTTTCATCAGAAACTGGAACTTCGGTAACAGTGGTAGTAGTAGTCTTAACCACTGTCATAGTTTTAAAGTTCTTCTTGTTATTTTTCTTATTTTTGGGGGACACTGCTTGATTAGCATCACTTTGATCACTAGGTGACTGATTATCACCTCCCCGCTTAGGTTTAGATTCTCCACGTTGTTGAGAATCCTTCCTAGCAGGACGTTTGCTAAATTCGTTGCTTTCGTTGTGCCCATCTCGTTTGCGAGCATGTTGCCTATACGCAACAGCGAGGAATGGGTCCTCTTGCTCTTTAGTAGGGCGTGTGCCATCATCCTGAGGCATGGGCGTGCGTCGACCATGCGGTGGAGACGGCAAAAGTGGCGATTGTGGTCGTTTCGATTCGTACGTTGTGGTGACAACACTGGATGGCTGGAGATTAGAACGTTTGAGTCCGTGAGCGAGGACTTCAGCATAAGACGAGAAACCGGAAATCGAATCCGTTTCGGTCAGACTTGTCACACTGGTCATACTAGTCGCTGGTATATTACCAAGCGTCTTCGTTTCTTTAATTTCCTTCGAGATAATAGCTTCAGTAACAATCTCTTTTGCTACTACAACTTCTTCTGCTTTAGGCACTATTTCAACAACTTCCTGTTTAGGAACAGGTGCAGGTACAGGTGCAGGTACAGGTGCATGTTTAGGCTTCTGCCTTTTAGGAACTCTAGGTTTATCAAACCTTTCAGAGTGATGATGTTCAGGGGTCCTAGGAGTTGTAGGACGCGGCGGATGTTGAACATGATGCACTTCTTGGTAAACCCTTGTGTGTTGGGGTGGAGGTGCAGCTTGGACTTGAGGTTGTTGATACATATTATCATAAACAAACTCTTGGTATTGCTGAGGTTGGTACATCTCATTAAACTGAATGGCACTATTATCTTGATATAACTGATCACCGGGTGCAATAAAATTCACATAGTTGGGTTGTTGCATCAGACCATATAAATTCTGTTGGAAGTACTGCTCATTGGCATTGCTCGTAACCTGTTGCTGGTAGTAACCCGGCTGGTTGACTAACTGCGGTTGCTCGTAATTGTACACACGAGCTTGCTCGTAGGTCATGTTCATGTTAACATTGGCATTGGACCAGTTTTGATTTGGATGTTGAGCATGTTGTTGTTGTTGATGTTGCTGGGGTCTAGTAACATACTCACTGGGAGTAATGACAGGAGCTTGCATAACTGATCCCGTAGTCATCTTGACAGTTTCTTCAATTTGCTTCTGAATTTGTTCAGAAGTAGTTGTGGGTGGTTCAATTTGACCCATGAGAATTTCAGCATATGTGGTTGATCCAGGAACCCACATAGGACTAGGGGACCTTCCTCTAATATTCATAGGTTGAAGTAGTTGAGGTTGTGGTTCCATTCTGGATACCGGACGTGGATCAACATGAACTTGAACTTGTTGCGGACGTTGCATTGGTTCCTGAATAACAGGTGACTCAGGTTTTGGTGGTCTAGTATCAGGCCTGCGTTTCGGGGACCTTGCCCTTCGCTTAGCGGCTTTTGGTGTTGGAGCTTTGGGTGGTAACTTATCCTGGACATGTTGAACTGGTTCAACATGTTGTACTGGTTGTACTTGGACATTCTCTTCAACCTTTACGTTAACAATAGTTTCAACAGGAGCTTGTTGAACTGGTGTGACTTTAACCTTTTGAATATCCTTGCTTTCTTTTTTGGTAAGTTTGGCAGCGGGTGGTAGTGGTGCGGGTGAGGAATCGCGCGTGCTCGGATTGGTTTTCGGACTGGCGCGACCGAGCAGAGCTTCAGCGTACGAATAGCCGAGCAATGCAGTCTCGCTCGGTAAGGGCTGCACGTAGTACGGGTCCACCCGATGGATGATGGTGAGAAGGTGAGCGATGCGCCTCTGGAACACCTCAATCCGCGCCTGGATTGCCTGCGCCACGCAATTGTGCAAACATCAGTTATTTTGTTTTAAAACCGATCAAATGTGAAAGAAAACAACAAAAAAACAATAAAAATTTAGCACCCATTTTGTTTCTTACTACGATACGTTTATTGCTTGTTTTTGACTTAAAACATACTTTCTAAAACAATTTCAACAAGTTCTTGAATGATAATAATGTCGAATTTTGATTAGGCATACTAGAGATAAACATTGTTATGTGAGTATATCATTTCGGGGTTGAAACAGGCGGAGACAGGCGCGCAGCAAGTGATCATCCCCCGGATATTGAATCCGTTCATTCTTCGTTCTGCGACAGAGTGCGTGCGTTCGCTAAATATCATCGCTAGGTGTCTAACTGCACCGAGTCTGGCGTGCCCCGCTGTAGAATCAACTTGATGTGCTCATTGCGAGCCGCCATTTTAGTTTGTAGCGATCGCACTCGGTCTCTGCACGCCTGATTATTTTTTAATTCGTTCGTATCGTTCGTGTATTTGTCGTATCGTTTAGTGAAGGATATGTTGTGATAAAGATAGATTGAGAATAGGGAAAGCAGCACCGAGTAAATGATGAAAAGAGAAACAAAAACATAATGATAATCCGTGGCAGTGAAACAAAACAATGATCTTCAAATCAACACAAGTTGAAAACAAACAAAAACAAAAACAATCACACTCACGCATCACACACAATAAATATATATTGATGGCGTCGCTGTAAATATGTTTTCCTTTGGTTCGATGGCACTGTTATCATGTAAATGTAATTATTTCAAAATGGCGGTCATGTGAAGCGGTGAATCTGTGCTCGAGTTTGATAAATCGTGAGAAATCCCGGTGCATGTAGGTTAATATACTTGTGTGGTGCATGACGTGATCGAACAAACAAATGCGAAACGTAAAAGCGTAAATACACACACAGAAATCAGTGAAAACTATCAAGCGTAATGTAATAAAGCACAGAGAGAACGTTCTCAGACCGAATGTTTGATATTTCTTGACACAAATCGAATAAAGCAATAAATAAATTCCCAAAATTAGACCAAAAAACATAAAGTAGCCCCGATGCCCCGCGAGGACGTGAGGAAATTTTGAGAGTGGAAACACCTTGATGCAGAATGATATCAGTCGACGTCGGCGATCGGTCAAACTCTACTTACTTGCAGCGCCCCTCTGTCCTCGTCAACTCCCATCAATGACAAGTCACATCAATGTGTTTCCAAATTTATTTACTTCATTTTTTTAGTTTTAAAAAGTTTGTTTTAATTTGTAAATTCCGTACGCGCGTTAAATTTATTTTAATTTCAAGATCAAAGCTTTCAAAAACTTGGCTGTGCTGAATTACGTCGGAAGTATGAATATCACGATTTGCAACCTTGCTGGGTTGCTAATTTTGTCATCGGTCAACTAGCGACTACTTGGTGCGGCGGCACTCGCAAGAAAAACGAAATCGAACTCGCAAGTGTGTCATGGTAAGAAAGAGTCCTACCTGTTGATCCCGAGCAGCTTGGTCACGATCATGGGGCAGATGTGTTGGAGCCATGACTGCTCTCAGCTCCTGCTCTACTTGGACGATCTGTTGACGGAGTTGCTGCACTTCTAGTTGATACTTATCCACTTGAGCAATTGAGGATTCCAATTGTTGACTTTCTCCTTTGATGGTGGAATTCAACGATTCTAAGTCTGCTAAGATCTCCTTTGCTTGGTCGGACACCTTGGCATCTCCACCAATACCGGACCGGAAATGTAGCTGTAAGATAAAGTTTAGTAACCCTGAAAACACCTGAAAATAAAAATAAAAAAATGTACCTGAAGTTTTTCAATAGAAAGACTGATCTTGGTCTTTTGAATAGTAACATCAGCCAACATCTTTTCTCTAAGCGCATGTTGATCCCTTAGAGGTTTCTTTTTGTTCTGTTGCGATTCCAGGGCTTGGTGAGTTTTCTCCATCCATGTCTTGACGTCCTTCATCTTCCTCTCACATTGCTCCCATTCCTCAGCTGTTTCTTGCAACAATGCGTGCTGTAAACAGAAAAAAACTCAAGTGTTTTACTTTAAATTCCTCGTTTTGTGATTAAATCAAACGTACGATCTCTAAAATGTGAACTTCTACTTCAGTCTTGGCTTCTTCTGCTTCTTCCATTTTAAGTGGTAGGTTTCCAACTGAAGTCACAGCTCCGATATGTTCCAATTCCTTCGCCATGTCACTCAAGTTCTTCGTAGCTGCCTTACAAGACTTTACAGCGTTGTTGTAGTCATGAGACTTTTGCCTAGCTTCATGTAGAGTTGTCAGCTTGACTGGATCCTTCAAGAAAGTCCTCTTTTCACCAACCCAGGTCATAACAGTTTGGTAAAGTTGTAAGAATCTCTGCCAAGCATCAATAGTTTCTCCAATTTGTTGTCTCTTCTCATCCAACCAACCTCTAACCTGTTGCAGTTGGTCAGTCAGGTTGTTAATCGTCGATTGGATCAATGGTTTCTCTTCTTCATCCTTGGTCTTGTCAATAATAACCTTCCCGTTTTTGATCAACTTCTCCAAACGGTCTCCAATAGCTCCAATTTCCGATTGAATCTGTTGCAGGTGATCATTAAGCACATGCGGCTCAATAGACCGATCCTGCACTTTTAATTCAGCTTCCTTAATCCACGCTTGCACTTGTTCAACATCTTTAAGGTATTCACCCCTAACGGTCTTGGCTTTTTTGAATTCCCTATCTTTCTCATCCATTGCGTTGATTATAGCTTCCGATAAAAGTTCTAGATTATTAATATCCTGCGAAATGTCAGTGGGGATAAACTGTTGCTTCTTCTCGTAGGTTTCCTTAATGGCACTCAAGTTATCCTTTGCTTTCTTGATGGTTTCCTTGGTGTCCTTGCGTAACGCGTTCAGCTGCCGTTCGGTAACTTCGGTGTCCTCTCCAAACACGTAGAAGTTCTCGACGGTGGCTTGTAGCTTCTGTAAATCTTCTTTATGCGATTGTATCCTATTTAATGCGTCCTCGATTTGTCTCAGGTCCTCTGAGTTCTGTGCTTGCTTGCCGCGGAGATTCTCCAGGAGCCTGCGAACAAATCAAACCAGGTGCGATATGGTTTAGCGATGCGAGTACTTACGACGGCGACGAGTGTTTAGAGTGTTTACTTGACCGAAAGGCGCAAAATGGCAAAGCGCACTTGGGCGCTGAATTCGCGCGCGCGCACCCGCCTAAACGGTGGTTATTTTTAAAGATCGTGTGACCTCCCAGGACATGGCCGTGCCAACGTAAATACCTAACGGAATGCTGCGTTATTATCGCGATATAATCGTAATATTTCGACGGCGCTCCGCCACTTCGCCACTTTGCTAAAAATATTGTGTCGCGCAGCACGTGCCGCTCAAAGCTCAAGCTCAAAACCACAACGCAAACTTTCCTAGCTGTATGTATGGGTTGTGTGTAATGTAATCATTTACAATCACCTTGTCGCGTTTTGGCTGCAAACGTGACAACAAAGCACAGTCGGTTAGTCGGGTGGTGCCGCACGATGACGCACTTTATTTATGTCGAATTTTGAAATTTTCAAAAAGGTTTCACTCGATGAAAACTTTTGCGGCTCGTTATCGTGCTTTCGAAATGTTTGTACTTTTCGTCGGTCGGTGGTACGGAATCGATCGCACGTGGCTTTAATGTCGTTTGTACCAGGAGGTGAAATGGCTCCAGCCATCCAGTTGGGTTCGTGGTTCGAGGCGGTTTACTTTTCGGCAAGCGACAGCCGCATTTCGGACGCCGCGCGTCGCGACGCGACGCATTTAGAAAGTTTTTCAACGCGCATGCGGTTCGCACGTATTTTTGACCACTGCGCGTTCAAACAACCAGGAAGTTAAAAAATACCGCAATGAGCAATCAACAATTTTATGTTTCAACAACCGAAAACCAATTTTGCGCACGTAAATTAAAATCAAAATCAAAATTTTTGAAATCAAGCCAAAATGTGTCACACAAAGTTAAAGAAAAAAACTATATACATATTTACTAATATTATTCAATTGTTGTGCAAAACCGTAGTCACAACTTTAAAAAATTAAATAAAAGAATAGATAACTAGAAGATTGCGTAGGTGGTTTATATTTTTAGATTCTAAGACTAAAAATATCCAGACACCCAGTTACCAGTTAAGAAAACAGGTTTGTGACCCCAAAGATTTGTCATTAGAATGTCTGCTCTCCAAAATGCAGTAATATTTATAGAAATATTAAAGAAAATAGTGTTTTACTAATTATAACCTAATCTAACCTAATCTAACCTCTAAAAATATAACATATGCAACGTGCGAGTTGTCACGTTCACGTTTACGTTGTTCGCGGTCGCAAACAAATTAGATAATCGTTAAATTTTCTCAATCTGTGTATTTCCACGCAACGCTGCTATTCCTGCCTGGCAGGACGCCCGAAAAGGGAACGCGTGCTCGCATAACATAAACATGCGTACTACGCATTAAGCAAAAAAAGCGACTTACTTTTCGTAATGAGCGCCGAGGTTCTTGAGCTTGTCGCCCAGCGCAGTCGCCGAAGCAGCAGAGCATTCCTTCAAGAATCCAAGGATACTCTTTGATTTATCAAGGACTTCGTCGTGGAGATGCTTTAATGAGTCAGCCTCCGATTTCAGTTCCTGAAAATACAAAATTCAACATTACTCAAAATGACTCATCTTAACCTTGACATATATTTTACATACGACTAAAAATATTCTAAAACAATTCATTTTTTTTTAAATTTTGTTCTTGACCTACCTCAATAACATGTTGCGTAGCAATAACTTGCTGTCGATTTCTAACGATGGTATCAACATGTTTGGACTTCTCTTCCACTCCAACGAGGACACTCTCGAAGTGTTGCCACCGCCCCTCAAACACCTCCCAGGCGGCGGCGAGCGCATTCAACGCGTCACGACGCCGCTGCAAATCCGCAACTAACTTCTCCCATTCGTCGCTCACTTCCTTACTCTGACTTTGAATCGTTTGTTTATTCTTCGCGTCTGCTTGTTTGATGATTTCGGTTGCTTTCTGTTGCAGCGAATCCAATTCACCGTGTTGTGCCTTTGATAAATTAAAACAAACTCAATTTACTATCACTACAGCTAAAAACTGATACTTCAAGTAATAACAAGTTACAATTTTGTATTAATCACTGATCAAACACGAAGTAAGGATAAAGATAAAATTTAATCACCGAATTCGCTTGAAACGCGTACTGATTCGTCAATGAAGTACAACTAAATCATCAACAACTGAATTTACGATTGAATGAGTAAAAGTGTAAATTCCTTGACATTAAAACACATGAATTATGTAAATAATAATCACTTAAACTAAAAAAAATTTAACACACCACAAAACGTTGTGTGCATTTCGAGGCTCAATACACGACTGGAATAAAATTCATAAATTTGCAAAAAATGTTCATTTCGCACATGGCGCCTTGTTTGTGGTCAGCACCGGTGTTCATTTCGTAATAACGTAAAACATTTCGATTCGTTGAGCGAACACTATCGCAATGATGATGTCATTCATAAACGCGATCATGATGCTATTTTTGTATCGATTTCATCGACTTGTTTATCAAGGGTATACATAAAATATAAAGTGTTTCAATACCCAACATAATCATTACTTATATATAAATAATAATATTTAGTACACTCTGTATAAATATGTTTACTACAACTCACCTGAATGTCATTCAAAGCATGATTGATCTTCTGTATATTAAAATGGAGCCCAGCCAGAGTTGACACCGGCTCATCGGTGAATCTACTTCGCGCAATCACAGCTTTAACCTTATCCAAAATGGCGCAGTATTCCTTCCATAATTCTGCATCTTGTTCCAGTTGAGCTTTCTGTGATTTTGCCGAATTCAACGTGTTCTTCAACAGTTGCGTACAATTTTGTTGTTCACGACTCAATTCTTCTTGTTCACTTGATGTCAAACTAGGCCAGATCTTATCTGCTGCTTGTTGAATCGTCTGCGAAACCAATTCTTTCATAGTCGCTTCAGTGGAGAAGAATATTTTATGTTCTTCTAAGTCAGAGACAATATTCTCGAAGTCAATTCCTTCTTTGTTTCCTTGTAGTCTAATATCAGCTTCCTTTACCCAATCATAAAGACGCGTTTTTAGAGTATCATAAGTTTCTCTAAGAGATTTATTATTCTCCAAATATTTCTGTCTTTCATCAAGTTCCCTCGGCATTGAAGCAAGGAGAGATTTAGCTTCAGAAAGTTGTTCAGCCAGAGAACTAGGAAGACAATCATCATGTTTACAAGCATCTTGAACATGTTTCACTCTGTCTAGATATTTATTTATTTCAGACGCTAATTCTGTGTGTTTCTTCAAGTGATATTCTACATCTTTCACATCACGTTTTAGGAGAGGGCGTGATTGTGCTGCTGCTTCATTAGCATGTAACCAATCAAGTATTTCATCCAATTCAGCGGCGAGTTTACGATGTTCAGCTGCAGTATTCTCATGAATTTGTTTCTGTTTCTCAACAGCTTTACGTAAAGTATTCAGAGATTGTTTTAGTGTTTGTATTTGTTCTGTAATATTGTTACGATCTTGCGCGGAACCATCACAAGCTATTTGTTGTCCTTTATCAGCTGCTGATGCCAACATTGCTTCACATTCTTGGATTTTAAGTATGACATCGTTATAACGATCGATTTTTTCTTGTATAGTCACACCAGACTTCTCTATATCTCTTACTATTTCGGTGTATTTCGTTATGAAAGTCATAATTTCTGTGATCAACGCGATAAACTGCTCACGAAGTAGAAGAAGTTGTCTTAATCTCGCGATTTGGTCTTCAATTGACTTAATTAATTCATCTTGCAATGAAATAATATTAGAAAGTTCTGCTTTATTAGCTCCAGGAACATCTGATAATTTTGCTTTATTCGCTTTCAGATCTTTCAAGATTCTTTCATAAGTCTGTAAAACATTATGCACATCTTCAACTTTATTACCAATAGGTTTCGCCAATTCTTTAAGTTCATTCTGAATATCATTCATGAAATGAATACTATCTTGAATTTTATTGGCAGCGTCTTTCTGTTGTTGAATATTCTGTTTTAAAGCATTCGTTCTGTCATCGATGATATCTGATATCCGTTTATGTCTGTCTCGCATGTCTTTAAGCAATTCTTGCAATTCTAACTTATCGCTATCAGTTACAGTTGGAATAATAGCTTTTCCTTGCTCGTTAATTTTATCAATATCCCCATTAACTTTCTTTGATTCTTCCTGAAGTTTTATATACTTTACAAGCTGTTCTTCAAGGACTTCTAAGTTAGGAGTACGTAAATCTGTAGATGTTGCAACTTCTGCTTGTTTTAACCAATCGTTACAGGCATTAACACCGCTTTCAAACTCTTTTCTACCTTTCAGTAGATCACGTAAAGAATCGAGTCTTAATTTGGCTTCATTGATGAGTGTTTCGTATTCATCTTTAACTTCATTGAGTAAAGTTTGGAGACGAGCGCGATCTTCCTCGTCACATTCTTTTAAAACATTGTTTCCTAACTTCAAAAGGTCATTAAGGTCACCTTCTCTGAAACTCTTGATTTCTTTGGAGCATTTATTAGCCTGCGCGATTTCATCTTCTACCTTTTTAGTTTTTAGAGGTAAATAACCACTGAGTTTGCAAATATCAGCATTCTTAGCTTTAAGCCAAGCTTTAGCTTTTTCTAGATTACTCTCCAAGTTGTTTCTGGTGTTCAACGCTGCATTAACGCGGTCAATCTCTGATTTTGTTTTTGCAACCAGTTGTTCTTGTTCATTACCCAAGTTCTTCAACAGGGTTTCCAATTGGGATTTCTCACTAGGTTCTAATTCATTCATCATATTAACAACTCTCTTTCCGAGAGTATCTTTCAATACAGCTTTGTTTTCAGCTTCTTTGAGTAGAGTCTTCAAAGATGTTAATCTATCCTCTGCTTTTCTACTTTCAAAACCTAACAATGGAGGATGTTGAAGTTCTGATAGACGTTCTTTACACCAATCTCTTGCTTGTTCAATTTCGTTTCTTGTATCATCAATACCCTTCCTTGTATTGTCCAAAACCTGTTGTTTTCGTTGTAACCTTTTAGCGATATCATTATACCTTCTTTCAACACCTTTCAATTGCTCTTCAACTTGTTGTGAATCAAGATTATTCACAAACTCAATAATCTGCCCTGCCAATCTTTTAACTTCATCAACTCTTTTAGGTCCTTGATCATCAAACTCTGCTTGTAATTCTAAAACAGCATTCTGCTTCTGTGCGCATGTTAAACCACTGCCCTTATCGACAGCATCCACGCGTTTGATGATATTATCGAACCAGTTATTAATAACTTGGATCATTTGGCGATATTCATCGATAATATCTTGATTTGCTTGTTTTTGAGCAATTACATCAGAAAGATCTCTTTCGAGATTGTCTAACATTTTTTCTAACTCTGCATTATCGCCATCACCACTTTGTAAATCAGATTGTAAATAATTTTTACGTTGTTGTAAAGATGACATTAAGTCATTCATAGCGTTTAATTCCTGTTTGGCTGCATCAGCTCTCAATTTAGTTGGTTTAAGCTTCCAGTCTGTTATCGCAGCCTTTTGGCTGACGATCCAGTCTCGGAGGGCCGAGCGTTGCTTGGATTTCTCTTCAAAGTCGGAAACCGTTGCGGTTAGATTACCGAGATGAGATTGAACCTAATTATTATCAAAAATATTAACAATAAAATAAAAAATTTAAAAACCAAAGCATAATTAAAGCCACCGGTATTTTTTTAACTACTTTTTAAATAATGTTAGAATTATAGTTGCTGGTGTATTCTAATACCGATTGCTTTGTGCTAATGTTTTGCAAAATATAATTAATACTTAACAACAACCAACCTTATCAATTTGCATATGCAATTTGTTAATAAAACCATGCGCTTCTAGTTGCTGCAGGAGTAACTTCAGTCTACTTTCAGAATCTCGGTCTGAATTTGAAGTCTCAGTGAGCTTCTATGCGTTTTTTGGTCGCGTAAGCAAAACAAACAAACATACAGTGCGTGATGATTAAAGTTAAACAATCAAAACGTGAACAACACGTGCACAAAAACACTACATTTATTTTTGTTAAAGTAAACTTGGAACTTACCTGATCGATAAGGTCTTCCAACTTGGCCCTCACTTCAAGCTCGCGTTGTGGAATAGGAGCCGAAGGTCCTTCGTCAATGAAACTACCTGGGGTTCCAGGACGACTTATTGATGCTGTAGCAGCTTCACAGGCTTGCACAGCAAGAGCAAGACGAGATTTCTCACCTTGCAATTTGTTATGCATATTCTATAATCACAAACAAAGAATATTTTAAAAAAATAGAAAACACAATATTTTTATAAATACCTTAGCAATTTCAAGTTGTTCCTTGGCTTCCTTCAAAGTTTCAGTTGGTTTCTCAAGATCAACTTGAACGATAGGTTCGTAGGATTCCAAATTACTCATAATACTTTCCAAAGTGTCTTCATACTCCTTAAACTTGGCCAGCGACTCCAAAAGACGTTTCTTTATCTGTGTAGCAGTGTTTAACAGCGAATTATAACTTTCTTGCATGTTACTCAGTTGTTTCTCAATAACTTCTCTAATTTCTGGAGTTGAAGAAACATATCTAGCTATTTGTGCATGACCCATTTTCTTTACATCATCCAAAGTAGCTTGGTAGTTGTTAATATCATTTGTAAGAGCATTATGTTGTTTGATTTGCTCTTCAGTTTGTTCTCTATTACTGATATACAATGAATTATGAGCCATTAGATGGAAGGATACTTGAAGTAACCACTTTTCTGTATCTTGAATGCTTTGATGGTACGCATTGTAATCTAACATCTCTTTCTCCAACTCCATTTTTCTCATGTCACAGTTTTCGCTGATCTTGGCCAAGCGTAGTTGGAACTTCTTAAGTTCATCCCTCAACTTTGGATTCTTTGCCCAGTCTGATAAAGTATCACATTCTCCTTGAAGGCGTTCTAAGTCTGTTTGTTTTGATGTAATTTCATTCTGAATGTTTTTGTATCTTTCCATTTGTGTTTTCATTTCGGAAAGTTCTCCCTTAGTATTTATCTTATCCTTCAAAGTGGCTTCGTTTTCGTTAAGCCAGTTGTTCATAGCTTGTTTGGAAGCATTATAATCCTCCCATCTTGTTAGCGAAACCTTCAATTGGGCTTGAATTGAGTTAAGATCCATGTTTAGCTGATCCCAACTATTCTTCAAAGTAGCCATATCTTCTCGTAAATTATCCTGTTTATCAGCTGGTGCTGTATTGATTGCTTTGGTGAATGCATCTTGTAATGTCGTCAACATTCTCTGTCCTTCTGATAAATTGGTAGCAACACCACGTACTTTGGACATTTTGTCTTTCAAATCACTTTCATCTCCATTACCTAAACATTCTTGAATAACAGAATGAGCTTTGTGTAACCAAGCTTCTAACTCCTTTTTAGCATTCAAGAATTCTGTATGATCAGTAAGGTTCTTCTCAACTTTAGACACCAATCCCTGTGCATTTGTCAACAGATTACTGTAGGCAACCTGTAAGTTAACTGTTTGGTCCCTAACCCAACTCAAAGCACTTTGTTCCATGAGCATTTCACAAGCATCATTTAGCTGTTCCATTTGAACTTTACCACCGTTAACTTTCTCCAACAACACTTTACATCTTTCAAGATCTTCAGGTCGTTTATGTTCAGCTTTCATTTCTTTCTGAACCAAAGCATCATGTTCATTAATCCAGGACTTCATTTTGTTATAAGCCTCACTATAATCTTTCCATGCTTCAATACATTTGTTAAGATTACGATGTGTTTCTTTACAAATATATTGCAAGCCTTCCCATTCGTTCTTCAACTCTTCAATTTCGATTTTAATAGTGTCCTGACCTTCAGATCCTGTTGTTTTCATTACAGAAATACTCAATTCTATAGTTTTATCTACCAATTGGTCACATTCTGGGATTGATTCTAATATTTTACTTATCCTCTTTTCTTTATCTTTGATCACACCAAGTTGTTCATGAAGATCGGAACACTGTTGAGTTTCCACTCTTGTTTTCCTAATCCATTCATAAGCCTCATCGTAAGATTTCTTATATTTCTCATGTTCTTTAACTTGTTCTTGTAGTTGTTTAATTGATTCTGCAACTTGCACCTTAAGAGCGTTGTATTTATCAAAACAAGCTTCATACTCAGGTAAAACTTTTTGATCACTAAGTTTGGAACGAAGTTTATCAACTAAATCATGATGGCTACCAATTTCTTTCTGAATATTCCTGAACTTTTCAAGTTTAGCTTTCTTTTCACTGAGGTCATTCAAATCTTCACCGTCAGTTTGCATCTGTGCTTCAGTTTCCTGTAACCAGTCATTAAGCACTTTGTATGCCTTAGCAATATCTTCAAGTTGTGTTGCTCTATTCTGCAATTTAGTTCTAATATCATTCACGTCCACCAAAAGTTTTTCCATGTCTTGTTTCAAAGTCTCAGTATCTTCCTGAATTTTAGCCGCGCCACTTTGTTCAGTATTCATAATAACCCTCTCTTTCAACTCCATAATATATCTCAGTTTATTTTGTCCTTGTTCTAACATTGTCCTAATACCTTTGACAATCTGTAGTTTATTATTGACTTCATTCAAAGTATTAGGAATTTCTGAACATTCATTGAGTTTATCGCGAGTTCTAAACACCCAGTCTTGACATTCTTGATACAGGGTGTTGTGTTGTTGATGTTCTTGATAATGCATTTCTAAACGTCGCATAACTTCCTTCGCCAAAGATAATAACGCGTTGTATTTGGTAGACATTTGTGTAACAGCATTACTAATTCTTGTATCTGCACATGTTTCCAATAAAACTTGCGCTCGCATATTCAACCTGTCTAATTCCCTCTGCCAGTCAAACAAAGTCTGTAATTGAACTTGGAATTGTTCAAGAAGCATACGTTTCTCTTCTAGACTATCCTGTAATTTGTTATAGGACTGTACCAATTCTTCTGTCTGTGCAATCCATTCAGATGCCTCTTGATAATGTTCTTCATATTCTGTCCACTTAACAATTCCAACTTCAAGAAGATTTTTACTGTTATTAACAGAATCAACGTAATTATCAAAGTCATCCTGAAGTAAACCAATTTCTTCTTCGATAATATCTTTATCTTGAACATCAGCGCAATGCAAAGCAACATCTCCTTGTTCAAGAGCAAATTCTAACTTCTTTTGACCGTCGTTTAATTCGTTGAGTAATACTTTAAGTTGTGCAAGTTTTGAAGCAAGACTTTCTTTATCACCTGTTGGTTCTGAGCATTTACTCAGACGTTCTTTGGAGTAACGAATCCATTGAACAAAGTCATTTGCTGAAACCAAGCAACACGCAAAGTCAACAAAACTGGCATAAATGTCACGTGAAATTTCAAAATCAAAAGTCAGTTAATCACAATGTCACCTACTATGTACCTATTATGTACCGTTTTCTATTTATAGTTTTATTGATTATTTTATTCATAGAACACACTCATAGTTTTGAGCAAGTTTTAGATTTTAGAAAAAGCCGTAACAATATAAATAGCGATGGCATCATGGAAACGCCACAGTTATACAAAAAGAAATCACATCATCATCGATATGACGATATTGAGTTTGTACCACATCGCTTAAGACAAGTCAAATACAACTTTGAACACAACTTTAATCCGTACGATGAAGACACGCGATTGAAAAATAGAAAACATTACTTTCGACGAAAACAAAGAAGAACTACAATTGACTTTTTACCAGATCTTTCTAACCGAAAAAGTATTAATAATATCAACGAAAATGTTAATTTTATTGGTCATGGCATTGGTGGTGAGAGTAGAAAACCGCCAGCACAAATCAAACATCATGGTGACGAATATCAAATTATTACACATACGCCGCAACCTGTTAGAACTAAAGTTATTGTTAATTCCCATGCAGCTATGGATGAATTACCAGAAATACAGATCACACCAAGAACGTTCGAAACGGAAGCAACTAAATCCATTTTGAATTTGAATAAACTCGATATGCTTGAAAATTCGGAAGCTCAAAAGAAAGACGATGTTCGAATGATGACTGCAGAAGATTATAACACTAACATTAAACATTTACAAGATATTGTTGAAAGAAACAATGTTAATTTAAACCGGATGTATAAAAAAGACTATTTTAATCGCGACCGAGATTATGCAAGATTTTCAACTCCTACAACGACAATAAATCCACAAATAGAAGATGAAGGAATTATTGAAATTATTGAACCACCTCCTAAAAGTTATCAGAATGTTATTCCAAAGAGTAATGTTGATAAATATGATGAATCTGACATAAAAACATTGAGACCAAGTGAAATTTTGACAATATTTGGACCTGAAGTTGATTCTAATAATGATAACCCACTTAGAGATAATGTAGAACCCCCGAAAGAACCAAAAGTGAAAGTTAGTTATTTTAAACTTAATTTCAAAGAATCTGATGATAAGCCTTACATAGAAATATCGACTAATATGCCTTTATCAAGACAAAACATGGTGGAATCATTACCAACGTTACGTTCAGAACGATTCAAAATACAAAACTACCAGTGTTCCACGAGAATGAAGATGAAGATATTAATAAATGTTGTCATATAACAACTCATCAGGAGACATGTCATCCTAGTGATGATCTAACAGAAATAACAACTAGAGAAGACCAAGATCAATTTGGTGATATTACTGTACATGTTCGACGCTCCACTTCAAAATATGTTTATCTAAATCCTGAATTGAATAATCCTTACAAGGCGACAATGCAAACACATATAAATCAAAATTCAATGGAAAATGAAAAACTTACAACAGAATTGCCACAAACGGGTGTAATAAGAGAATTAAACAAACGTTTCTTTCATTTTGGTAAAAAATCTGAGAAAAAACAACATCCTGGCAGAATACAGTCTGATAAAGTTAAAGATAAACTTTTTTATGAACCTCAAGCGCAAAAATATGATAAGAATAAAGTGCAACATTATCCACCACAGAATAAAAAAATAACTCCTGCATTTATTGGGCCTCAATATACGACGAGTAGTTCAACTAGAAAATTTGATAATAAACAATTATCGAGTTTATCCAACGAAACAACAGAACAATCTGATTTAAGTTTGTTTAAAGAATTAGATGATATTAATCAAAAATTACGAGATAGTATCAATGAAGTGAAGAGTTATCATACAATGGTTTACGGAAATATTCATAAACCTGGTCATATTGTGTCAAAAATGGTACCACCAACAATGGATTATGAAACAACGGAAAAATTAAGTCCACGTTACTTCTGGGATGAAGATTTGGACCAAAAAGAATCGCCAAAAATGAATAAAAACTACAAAAGTAATAGCAACGCTGTGGATTCAGAATTTCGTAACAGAATGACCGAGACAGACAACTGTAAACCATCTTGTAAATCCATACACACTCAAACTACACATGGTGATCCATTATTGAGGGTTTTCGCAAATAATAACTATCCGGTACAAGCTGATGAGATTAATAATATTGCTTATCATCCCAAATATAAAACATATAGAGAATATTCAACGCAATCATCAAATGAGTACGATTTTGGTCCAAGTTTCCTCACAGAAAAAATGGATCCATTTCTAAACTCCGACTATTCAAGACTGAACCAGAGAAATATAGCAAATTTAATGCGAATGAAAGCACGGAGTAAAAATGTAGAACCACTGGAACCGAAATACGATTCCATTTACAATCGGGTCGAACCAAAGGGATCCTATGATTTGCATAATGTAAGTAAAATTTCATTTCATGCAATGATGCCGAAACAGTTTCCTAACAAGGTGTTGACAACGGCGATGCCCTTTGAAACGCTCACGAATAAAGGAACACATTCAAATCTTATTTTTGTTTCTGAACCTCAAGGACGCAGAGGACGTCAGGGTCGACCGCAGTTATGGCACTTTGGAGCTGGTGTAAAAAATCAACCATATCTCGTCGAAATGAAAAGAGAGAATCCCAGTGTAGATAACTTTGGAGGTATCACAAATTCTGCATTTACACTAGTGAATAAAAGACCTATAATACAAAATCAGTTAACTTCAGAAAATATGGATTTGGAAGATAATGTACCAATTGTGTATCCAAGACATTACGTTCTAAAACCTTTGGCCGAAGACCAACCAAACGACAGAATAAACATAGAAAGAAAAAGTAATGATAACAGCAATGATTACATCAGTTCCCCAACTGGAAGACTAAACAATCTGAATACGAATTTTAACAGACGCATTGGAACTAATAATGTAAGAGTCGACGATCTAAATAGTAAAGGTTCATCCTGTTCACCTCTTCAATCTCCAAAAATGCATTCCCAAGTAGCCAGTTATAAAATTTCTACAATGCCTTATGTAATTCCAGAATCTCAAATATATAATATACCAGAACCCGAACCCTGCAATCCCCCCACACCCGCAATAGACGACCATGATGATTTACTGGCATGTGATGATACAACCATACCACCAGTCCCCTCAGCTGGGTGTGAAGCTGAACCAATTACAGAATATACACCTTCAATTCCAGTAGAAATAACAACGTGTGAACCCGAAACAACTCCAATGCCTTTTAAATGTGGAACACCTGATGAAACAGATTATGATGCTGATGAAATTAAATCATCATCGTGTCCTCCAAAGAGTGATAACTCATATGTGCAACAACAGAGAATAATACACTTACAGGATCAATTGACGAGGTTAGAAGCAAAAGATAAATTCTATGAAGTTGAAAGAATTCAAATGCAAGCAGACGCTATAAAATCTCTAATACCACTGAAACAAATGATTGTTAGGTTAATGGAGGAAATTGATTTGATTTTAAAGAAGATTATTGATATGGAACAATTTCCACAATCGCCATCCGTTGCGGAACAATGTCAATCAAACCAAAATCATTTCAATGCTTTGGTTGAAGGCTTAACAGAATCTCAACGTACAATTAAACGTATTGAGAGTACTCTGGAGAAGATTGCTGAAAATGCAAGTGATTTGAAGGAGGAAAATGAAATAGGTTTAGACGAAGCCAAATTGAGAATGTCAGGAATATCCTGTCGTTTGGATAAAGAAAAACGAAGAATAATGGATGAGCAAAACAAACAATTAGTAGCACAACAATGTAAGAAACAAACAAAACGAAGGAATAAAAAGTTTCGTTTGTTTCGATGGAAGAGAATGTTGCAAGAAGCCATTGACATGTTGTCAAAATAGGTTTTGAAACATACTTATTTGTCAGTGATGGCATTCTGTGTGTCCGTTGTGACAATTCTGTAAGTGTCATTAAACGTTTCAGTCATGAACGAGCGGAAAATTTTGGTGATGTTAATTTTTGTTTGTATATTCATAGGTTCTAGCGCCGGAGTGGTGACCACTGATAGTGAAAGCGATGACTACAATGATATATCATTGGTGCTTGATAAAGAACAGAGAACCACTCCTGGAGGACGCAAAGCGACATCTAATGAAGATAAAAATGCAGGGATTAATTCACTGCAGAACTTTAATGACAAAGATGTTTATGATTTTATGAACATTCTGGGACCTTGTGATGACTACGATGAATGTCAACAACAGAAGGGATAAAATCTACTACAACCCCATCATCAATATGGCGGATGTTTCATTTATCTCAGGTGTTTATACCGGCTCCATCCCATAATAATATAAAAACTGGCAAGATTAATAAGAAAAAAGTGCATGCAAGGAAATCTCTTTTAAACCATATCAAAGATATGAAACGTAAAAGAAAGCAATCTGTAAAGATGAGAAATGTTGGTAATTTGCAACCAAGACAACATTGACAAAGTCAAAAATTGATTATCAGTCATGCGTCAAGTTAAATTTTCGAAAACATGGTATCAATTTTGGAATTATTCATAGTTTTATTATTTATTTTATTGGTTATGATTGGGCCTAACAATACCGCACCTAATTATTCCTCAAAACATTACGGGGGAAAGTTTAAATGCACAGGAGAATTGTATAAACCACATCACGCATTTAACTGCAACCCAATTAGCAAAAGTTCTTCGACAATAACCTCAACTATAAAGACAAGTATAGAAACGTCAACTATAACTGGAAGTACTCTAAATTCTTTTGAACTATGGAAGTTAACAAAAGTCTACTGCTTAGATAGCCAGTATAACCTAGAAGAAATTGCAACACTTCCTTTACCAACAGAATATCCTACATCAAATTTCGGAGATCATTCATTAGGAATACATTATCCTTACAAACTGAAAAGAAGAAAATCACGGCGATCGAGAGAAACTAAATTGAAACGAAACATTGTAGAAACCTTGAAAAGAATACTCAAGATTGAAGAAAGTTTACTCAAAACCGATGTCACTTAATATAAATGTTAGCTTGTAAGTTTAACTAAAAGTAAATAACACTCACCGGCATCGACAAACGCTTGATGTTGTTCCACGGTTTCCTTTTGTTTGGCATACAACTCCTTCGCATGTTTTGTTAGGGATTCATATTTCGTTGAAATTTCTGAAGCTGGAGCACCTTGCATCAAATTATCAGCTTTGGATGTTACCGATTGAATCATTGGTTCAAATGAGACAATATCTTGAACGATGTTGTTGGTTTCCCGAAGGGTTGCTTTACGTTCACCGATTGGTAATGAACTTAAACCACTTTGACCCTTTTTAGCTGTCACCTTTTGTTCACAAACCTGTTGTAATTTAGCTTCTCTATCAGTTATCCATTGTTGGAGTTGTGAGTAAGAGGAATCATAGTCTGCCCATTGAAGAAGAGCTGTTTCTAGGTGCACCTTTGCCGTGGACATCTTCTTGATGAGTTTCTCCCAATCTGATTGTAATTCTTTAATTTCGTTGTTGATTCTATCTCTACCATCAGATTTTGTATTACGAAGCACTTTTTCACCACTGTTGATTGTTGTATGAATCAAGTTTTGTCCTTCTTCGCGTTTTCCTAAGAGTTTTTGCACTTCTTCAAGACGTCCCTGAAGGGTATCTTTACTTGTGGTGTTGGCTCCTTCTGAACAATTTCTGATCAATTCACGAGCATCATCGATCCATTTTCTGCTCTTAGTTAGATTCTTCTCGTATTCTTTGTGTTGATCATGATTGGTTTCTACTTTCTTCAACACATCCTTTGCCAAGTTGATTTCTACCTGGTATCTTGAATTCAAAGCTTGTAGTTGATTGTTTACGTAGATATCCAAAGGTGAATTGAGGAATTTCTTAGCAAATTCGTTGAATTTGTCAAAATCCTTTTTGCCATTGTCTAGTTTTTGTAAGATTTCTTTGACGTCTTTGACTTGTTTTGCTTTCTCTGCTAAATTGCTAGATAAAGCTATTTTTTGGTTCTTGGTTAAGATAGCGATCTGTTGTAACCAGTCAGAGAGACGTTCATATTCATCCTTGTATTCCCGCCAGTGTAGAAGTACAACTTCAAGTTGTTCTCTTTGATCTCTTAATTCCTTGAAAAGTCTTTCGAAGGATTCCCTCAAAGCACGAATCTCGTTTTTGATCACATCCTGTCCTGAAGTGCTTGTATTTGGTAGAACTACTTGTGCAGTATGATCTAAAGTATCCAACAACACTTCACCTTGTGCTTGTTTGTTCAACAGAGCATCCAAAGGAGCAGAAAACATCTCAACAGACAATTTGTCACCAATTGGTTTTTGTTTAATTTGTGGAATCTTTTCTTGGGCTCTAGTCAACCATCTTTGGAACTCTTCATAAGCTTCTTTATAAGCTTTGTGATCTCTGAATTGATGTTCACGTGCATATAAAAGTTTTGTAATCTTATTAGACAAATCATCAAATTTATCCAAAGTAACTTTAGCTTCTTTAGCAGATTGACGTTGTTGTTTACTATTAAGTAATTCAGTTACTTTATTTCTAATGTTATCAACCTCAATCTTTTCACAACGGACTTTTTCTTCAACATTTTGAAGCCGATCAAGTTGTGATTTCTTTTCTGGTATGTTAGATTGTAGAACTGACAGTTCATCAACCTGTTGCTGCATCCATTCAATAGTTTTGTTGAGTCCTTTGGTTTGATCAAACAATCCAGCCCATTTTCTAAGACTATCATCCAGAATAGCTTTGGTGTCAATCATTTTAGACGCTAACAGAGACCATTGATCTGATAGTTTAGCCAGAGCATTGTTAACCTCTGCGTGACCTTCTGGTGCGGTATTTGCGAGAACAATCTGTGCCAATTCTACTAAATTCTGTATCTTACCAAAACCTTCTTCTTTAAATACAATTAAATCTTGTAATATCGCCATTTTCTTTTCTAGGTCTTTCTGTGAGGCAGCTCCTAAGTCTGAGCAATAGTTTAATTTGTTCTTAATATCATCTAACCAATGTTCAGCACTCTTAATTTTATTGTTGAAATCTTGATGATTTGCAACATATTGCTGCCAACGTGTTGTCAAATCCTTTACTTTATGATACAATTGTTGATATTTTACGCCCATTTCAGAAATCAAGTGAACTCCTTTGACTTAAACCTTTATGTAACATCTGAGCTTTTTCTGTAACGGAATCAATTTCTAACTCCTTTGCTCTAACTTCTCCTTGTAAATTTTTTAAAACTTCCAGTTGGTCGACCTTTTCATCAGCAGTTGATTTCAAATCAATTGAATGTAATTCTGTGTCTGTGTTTCTTAACCAAGCCATGATGCTGTCTTTCAATGTTTCAAATTCGTTCCAGTGTTGTTGTTTCAGTTCCAATGCATCTATTAAACTGTCAATTGTAGAAACCATAGCAGACCAGTCCTTGGTACAATTATCTACCTCAGTTCGAATTGCAGGCTGACCATAATCAATAGTAGCTGGGATGACTTTTTCGCCAAGTGATCTGATACTTGTTATTCTTGCTTCTTCTTCAGGGAGAGACGCCTTCAAAGCTTTGAGTCTGTCTAAGTTAGAAATCAAAGTGATTCTTTCTACGTCTACATCACCCCATGAAGAAATGGAACTTGTAGTGTTACTCATCCAATCATTCAAAGCACCAGTAGCTTTAGAGAACTGTTGATGATCATTTGTAATGACTTCATATTGTTCAACAAAGCCTTGTGCACGTTTCAACAATTTCGCATGTTGATCAGAAATTGCCTTCATCTGTTGATTAATCTTCTCGTTGACTTCCGGTAAATTATCAACATTATCTTTTAAGTCAATAATATCTTCTTGATGGAGAATTACATCATGTACTAAATTTCTGTAAACTTGCAATTGATCTTTCTTTTCTTGTAGAGTAGCTTTCAATTCTATTTCTTCCGGAAGTTGCTTAACGATTTGCTTAAGCCATGTTTTCATTGCTTCCATTGAATCTTCAAAACCACTTAGTCTACTCAACCTAGTTTTCAGGTCTCTATCTGTACTATTAATACCGTCATATAAGAGTTCTAAAGTTTGTTGTAGTTCTTGTAACTGAATACTAATGATTTCTCTGCCTTCATGTCCAGTGCTCTGATACAACTTCTCTCCTAATTCAATAGTATTGTTCAAAAGGGAAGTAGCACTTGTTTGTTGTGAGAGTAATTCTTCAAGTAAATTTATTTGATCGGCGATTGCCGATTTTGATCCACTCTTCAAATTCTCCAAACAAGTATCAAATCTACCTTTAGCTGCCGCAATCCAATCACTGCATTGGCGATATTTTTCGTTGTATAATTTATGATCAGCAACAGCTTGTTCGCATTTCTTAACAATTTCTTTCGCAGTGTTCTGGATGCTTTGGAATCTTGAAGAAACTTGTTGTACACTGACGGATATCCTGGTGTCTCCACTGCTTTCAACCAATTCGGTGGAATCATCGGTGAGTTTGTCAAAATCAGCTTCGTTGTGTCTCAGACTTACTATCAAAGCCTATTCGAGAAATAAAGTTAATTAATTTTGGGAAATTAAATGTAGAAACATGGATTATTACGAGAACATAGATAAAATTAAAAACATTTATAAAAGTACAGAATACAGAGATTTGAAGATACCATCACCTTGAATAAGACATGTAACATGCTATAATCTTAGAAAATTGAAATCATGCAGACATAATTTGCTCATGACATCAATCTTACTTGTTCTAAATGATCGGATAGTTTTGTAAACGCCTTTACGTCAGCAGCACGTGACTCCACGGTTTTACACAACTCCTAATATTTTTCAAAACAAAAACACAAAAAGTTTTAAAAATAAAATAAATAAAAATTAAAACAAACAAAAAGCATTTATAAAACATAAGATAAATCTAATATAATTTACCTGATATCTTCCGAATTGTTCCTGTTTTTCTTCCACAGTATTCCTGAATCCATATCCTTTGAGTAACATCTCAGCATCCGTCAACCACGCAAGTAAACGATCCATAATAGTATCATACTCGTTCCATTGATCAAGCCTCTGCTGTAATCTTCTTTGTACATCATTCATGGAAGTGGTAAACTTCTCCAAATCAAACTTTAGATTCGCCATATCTTTCTTCATCGCTTCTTTTGCTCTTGCCGGTAATACATTCGCTTTAGTCTCGATATGCTTTTCAAGTTCAGATAATTTTATCTGTGCTTCTGGAAGCTGATCAGCAATCTTGGTAACCTGTTGTAATCGTTCTTCTAAAATAGCTTTATTGCCAGAATAGTCTGAATATCCAGCGAGTTTATCCCAGAGTCCTTTCTGGTAATCTTGAAGTAATTTCTGTGTGTCATAGAATTGTTGGTAAACACCAAGACAATCTTCCAACTGTGATATTATATCATTGGAGTGTTTCAATAAATTTTGATATCTCGTATTGATTGAAGTAATAGTTCCTTCAACTTCGGAAGCCTTTTCTTTGTTATTTGTAAGTTGAACGATGATGTGAGCTTTTTCTGTGACACCTTCAATGACACGTTTGTGATTAATAATCTCTTGAAGATTTGTTTTGTATTTTAATAATTTAGCACGAACTTCTTGGACACTAGTCCATGTTGAAGGATCAACCTGCATCACCTTCTCCATTGAGTCCAACCATGCCAAAACTTGATGTAAGTTATCTTGATATGAACTCAACTGCAAACTTTGACTTTCCATGAGTTTTTGTTGGAGTTTAACACCTTCATCGAATTTATCCCAACGGTCACGAATATTCCTCAATTCATTCCGGATAATTTCACGTCCTTGCGCTGCTGTATCCGGGAATAATCTTTCTCCCATTAGAATAAGACTATTTACTTTAGGCTCACCTTGTTCTTTCTCTGAGACTAATAATTGTATTTTACTTGTGGTGGCTTCAATATTATCTCCTAAATCATCAGCTTTAAGTGTAGCTAAATGTTTTTCTAATGGAGTCAACCAATTAGACACATCTTCCAATTTTTCTTGGTAACTCTTATGATCATCAACCATATTCTGCCAACGGTTGAATACATCCTTACACAATGAATGTAATGATTGATAACGTGTAGTAATGTTGGATATTAAAGGTTTTATACGTTGAGACATACTTAGTTGGAGTAAAGCATGACTTTTATCAACAAACGCATCAACATTCTTCTCCTTAGCAACAACTTCATCTTTAGCAATTGTAATCTTCTTGAATTGTTCCAGTTTATCTTTATGTGTAATCTGCAAAGGTTGATCCCTAAATGCAGTTTCGGTGGTTTTGAACCAAGTTGTAAGATCTTCTAACTCTTTTCAAATTCTGACCATGATTGAAGTGTTCCTTCCTGTTTAATGATTGCAGAATCAACATTTTCTAGATGTGTATTTAATAAGAGTCTCAGATTCTTCAGCTCTTCATTACACATGTCAATTCCTTTAGGAGCTGTGTTGTTTCTCATGATTTCAATTTGTTGTTCAATTTCCTCAAGCATTTTTTCTGCGTCGTTTGTTTTCAAGGCTTTGATTGCTCCGATTCTCCGTTGAATATCAGTTTTCTCTCCAGATAAATCTTCAAGTTCTCTTACTTTCTCGCCTTGATCTTGTAACCAATCTTTGAAGCCCGTTACCAGTTGGTTATACTGAGTGTGTTTATCAACACAAGAATCTAAATTTCGCAATAAATCCTTAGATTTTTCTACAATATCTTGGAACAATTGTTTGATGGATTGTAAATAAATATTCAAAGATTTGTCTTGGGTTGCATCAACTAAATGTTGAGCTTTTTCACAAACAGACTCAACTAGTTGTTGATGAGACATAATTTCTTGATGCATTATTTTATGATTCTGTAACTGTGCACGTTTTTCTTGTAGTGTTGATTTTAATTCTGTGTGTTGATGCATTGCTTTTTCTACATCTTTCAACCATTTGGTGAGTTGTTCTTGTGTTGAAGTGAAATCAGCAAACTGAATCAAACATTGATCCAATTTATTCAAGGCTCCTTGAAGATCATCCGCAAATCCGTCCCAAATTGTTCTTAGATTCCTCAATTGTTGTCTGATAATTTCCCTTCCATCAGGAGATGTATGAGAATATAATTTTTCTCCGTTTTCAAGAAGATTTTCAAATGTTCCTTGACGTTGATTCTTCATTTCTAGCATTTTCTTAATTTTGACTTGTCTTTCCTGTAACACGTGTAAATCACCAACAATATGACTCATATCAGATAATTCTGACTCTTTCTCAGATAACCACTGCACAAAATCATGATATTCTTTGTTGAATGTTTGATGTTCTTTGTGGAAACCTTGATAACGATTGATACCTTCCTTTACAGCATTCTTCACTGAATTGTATCTTGTTACAAGTTGAGAAACTTTAGTTGCTAATTGTGTGTCAATATCAGGACTCTTAACTAATTCCCCAGCACTTTCTAAATCAACATTTTTAGTTAAAATCTCTTGTTCTAATAATTTTAATTTTCCACAATGCGCTAATTTAGTTTCTTCTGTACTCTTCAAGCTTTGATCTTTAACTTGTGCTTCCATCTGTTTCAACCAAAGATCTAAATCATCAATTAGTGCTTCGAACTCAGCATATTTGTTATAAATTTCATTCAGTTTTTCTTGGGCATCATTACACATCAATAAGAATTTATTCCAACTTTCTTCTTGTTCCTTGAATCCTTGTAACAAAGGTGGATGTCCACTTGGAGCTGTTTGTTTTAAAACAGTTTCAAGCTGAGCTTTACAGGAAGCAATAATTTTATCTCCGTCATCTTTCTGTCCGAGTAGATTTTCAACAATTATAAGTCTAGCATCTGCAGATTCTGAAGATCCTTCATCAACCAACAAAGCTGCTTCGGATGTCAAAGCACTCAACCAATCTCTACATTTTTCTAAAACTTGAATATAACTTTCATGCGCTGTAATATAACTTTCTGAGAGTTTTACTCTATCAGTGACTTGTCCTTGTAACAAATTATATTCTTCCAACTTTTCTTTCAGTTTCTTCTCTGCATCGGCATCTGATAATGATTTAATTTTATCAGAAAGTTGTTGTAAGATATTTTTATGTAAATTCACATCATTGGCGAGTGTTCTGTACTTATGATGAGTCTCTTTCTTTTCAGGTAATGTTGCATCAAGGTTTTGTTCTTCTAGTTTAAGTTTAGAGTCATCAATCCATGCACTCAACTGTTTGAATGAATCATCGAAGGAATTTCTTTCCATTAGAATATTCTCAACTTGTTTGTAGATTGTGTTGACTTGATTAATTAATTTTTCAGATTTATCTCTTAAATTCCTCAATTCAATTCGAATAGCGTCACGGTTTTCAGGAATTACTCCAGAGAACATTGCTTCACCATTTTCTACAGCTTTGTTTAGTAATTGTTGCCCAAGTTCTCGCTGAGCAGCAAATTGTTTTAACTCATCAAGAGTATTTTCACTGGGTTTGTAACCTTTGAATGTTTTTGCCTTTTTCTCTGCTTCAACCAACCAGTTTTCTACATCTTTAATACTCTCTCTATATTGTTGTTTATATTGTTTCAATTCATTCAATTTTTGCAGATAATGGGCTAAGAATTTGTTAACAGCCTGAAGTCGTGTATGGAGATGTTGTACAAATTGTCCTACACGTGATTCTGGTACTTCTTGCATCATATCATCACTGAGAATTGATAACTCGTCAAATTTAGGAAGATAATTCGTGATTGTTGTTTGCAATTTAGTAATTTCTTTAATTTTGTCATCCACTTTCTTAATATCCAACTGTGGAGTACAATCTGTTCTGGTTTTATTCTCAATATCTTTAAGCCAGTTGGAGATTTCTTCAGATAAATCATCATATCTTTTGTGTAAGTTGATATTTCTTTCAAGTAATGTTTTCGTAGTCTGGTAATTTTCTTTCAAGTCTTTTAGATCTAACAATAAATTATCTCTTTCGGCAATTAGAAGTTTAATAGTTTCAGGGGATTCTACACTTTCTAAAACTTTCAAAGATTCTTCAAGTTCCTTCTTTCTGAAGTCACAATCTTCCAGCGCTTTCTCAATGGGAATCAACGCGTTTAATTTAACTTCTAAATTGTATTTGTCACTAGCTGCTTCAGGCATACACCACTGAACCTTTTCTTTGTGGGTTTGAATTAATCTCTGCAAAGCTGCATATTTATCATTGTGATACTTCTTGAGGAACACTAACAAAGATGTTTCAATTTTTCCAGCATGAGCTAAAACAACATCGTATCTTTTCTTCAAATTTTGGTATTCTGATGGTAAAGATCCTACATTTGGATACGCAGCATTAAGATCCTTAATTTGAACATCAATTTGTTTAATATCTCCTTCATATTTTACCAACTTTCCTTTAGCTTCCTGTAATTTAACCAACCTTTCTAATACTTTAGTGTTTTCTCCAGAAAGGTCTTCACATTTGATAATTTCTTCTCTTAAGTTAGCAACTTGATTTGTAGCAATTTTAAGCGCCTTCTGAATAGCATTCTCCTTTTCGCTAAAGTTAGCAATAACTCCTTGTAATTTTTCTGCAGTTTTCTCAACATCTTCAAATTGATCTTCTAAAAGTTTCATCAATGCTTGAACAGTAGATATCTCCTTATGGTCACATAATTCTGAGAGTTGTTGATGTTTAACTGATACACTCTTCTTCAAACTCAAATAGGAAGGTAATTCATCTTTATATTTCGCAAGTTTAGCTTGTCCCAATTCTAACTCATTGGGTCTCTCAATAGCTAATGACAATTCCATGCTTTGTTCATTTATCCAAGCTAAAAGTTTGTTTTTAGTGTCTTCAAGATGTTTCCAAATCACTGCTTGTGATTCTGTAGTTTGTACCAACTTCAGAATAGTTTCATACACCTCACTCCATGATTTATGAGTGATTTGTAACTCATTACGTATGATTGGTGCCATACCATCAATACCAATTGATTTCTTGATGATATTATCTCCTTTGGCGTCCATTTTGTCCAAAGATATTTTGATCTTCTTCACTGCTTCTAAAGTTTTCTTTGCTTTCTCAGCATTTACATTCGCTTGGATGGAATCATTCGGTGTTTCAAGACTAATTTGTTTTACACTTTTAATTTCTTCATCAACACGATTTTTGATTTCTTTAAATTCATTGTAGGCATAGATAATATCAGAATATTTAAGTTTTTGTTCACGCATTTCTTCATGCAGTTTATCCCAACCTGTTTCTATAGTTGATAAAATATTCTGAATAATAGTAACATTCTGAATATCTTGTTTCATTAATTGTTGTCCTTCTCTTTGAAGACTTTCTCTTAAATCTGTAGTCTGAGCGTGTAAATCCAGTAATTTATTGATTTCATTAACAGCAGGTTGTAAATCTTCAGGTTTATTAATATTAACGTCAATGGCATTTAATTTTCCAATGATTTCATCTCTGTTATCATTAACTTGTTTCTGGATATCATCAAATTTATTCCAATGTTGTTTCAGTTGTTGTAAACCTTCTAATTTCTCAGAAAGTTGTGTTTTGTAACTAAGAGCCTTTTGTTCAATGTCTTTTACGAAAGATTCAGCAGTAACCGGAAGTCCTGCTTCATTCAAAACTGTCACAATCGGTTTCTTATCAATAGCAATAGCTGTTTGCTTCCACACAGTTAATTTATTAACAATCAAATCAATTTCAGCATTGAGTCTTTGTAATTCCTCTGGGTTACTCTTTTGACTTTCAATTTGGAATTTGATGTGCGATAATTGTTGACCAGTTTCTTGACACCAATTTAATAATTCATTCCATTTCTCAAGCGCGCCTTTCTTTTGAATCAAATTTGTTTCTATGTCTTTATAGTTATTAACAAGTTTAGAATATTCTTCATTAAGATCTTCATTTTCAGCTCTCGGAGTCATTAAATTGATGTTTTTCACTTCTTCGTAAATAGCAACAAATGTGGGTTGTTTCTCAGAATATTCCTGCATTAATGCATGGATATTAATCAACGCAGAATCAACTTTATCGGGTTTAATATCATCAATCTGTGCTACATTAGAAGTGAGCGTATCAACCCACGTTCTAAATTCGGTAATTCTTGTCTGGAATTCATGTCTTGCCATAATGGCATCGGAAACTTCATTAATTTTAGCTCTGGTTGCTTCCGCAAGTTGATTTAACCCTGTTTTTAATTCCTGTACTCTATGTTTAATTAGCACAGTTCCTTCTGGAGCTAAATTATGACAGACTGCATCAGATGCTTGGCTCAAAGTAATAACATGAGCTTGACGTTCGGAAATTTCGTTGTTTAAGTTTTTTAATTTTGCGAGTTCTTTTTCAAGTTTATCAGCATCTGGTGTATTTAAATTTATTGACTTTTGAACTATAATCTTTTGTTTTTCAATAGTCCATTCTTCTAATTGTTTGGCATTATTGTCAAAATCATTCCAATTAGCTACGAGTTTATCCAACCTTTGCGCTTGTTGCGCTGTAGCTGATTGAACATTCGAGAATCTTGCTTTCATAGAATCCACTTCATCTGGAGCATTTGTTTTAGTCACAATCATTTGGGAAATCTCCACAACTCCTTTTAATTTACCAAAATTAAGGTCACAATCCTTTGCAAACTGTGCATTTTCAGCTTGCATTTCAATAGCCTCCTGCATCGTAAGAGGCTTTTGTGGTTGCATAGCTATCCTAATCTCTGCTTGTTCTAACCAAGGTTTAACTTCATGTAAACTTCCTTGATATTTTTGCCACGTTGATAAATCTTTACTAACCAACGCAGCTTGACTTTCAACATTACCTTTGATGGTTCCAACTTTTTCTTGTAATGTTATAACATCGGCTCTCATTCTTTGAGCTTCAATATTTTCTTTATTGTCTGGTAGCCATTTCATGGCATCTGCTCCAAGAGAATCCAAAATTTTAATTTTGTGAACAATTTCTTTCTGTAGTAATTGTGTTTTTGCTACACGATCTTCAGGAGCAATATTTTCTTCATGTGCAGCGCTTAATAACTGAGGTGCACTTTGAAGTGTCCAATGTTGTAATTCAGCCAAATTCTTTTGGAATCCAGTCCATTTCTTGTTAAAATCTTCAAGAAAATCAACTTTTTGTTGAACATTTTCTAAAGTAGTGACTGTTTTCCTTTCAATAACAGTGACCTCTTCTTTCAGTTCCACTTTTTTAACTGGTGGTGCGACTTCAATGAACTTATTACACAAATCCCTCAATCTCCTTAACATTTCTTCAGTTGTTTCACGTAAATGTATAGCCATCTCTTGTTTGGCTTGTAATTCCGACACTAGATTACTAGAATTGTAATGACCAGGATGGATCCTGTTTAAGTCAGCATCAGCTTTAGCTAACAACTCCAAAATATCATTCTTTTGTTGATTGTAGCTGGTCCACAGAGTGTGGGTGCTCTTCAATCGTTTCAGACTATTGGCAGTTTCATCAAAAGCTTCCGTCCAACCTACTTCTAAGTTCTTGACTTCTTCTTTTACAAACGTGGGAGCATTAACATCTTTAGCTAACTCCTTACCACGTTGTAACATTGACATTATATTAGGACGTTGAAGATCTAGTTGGGTTATAGCAGTTTCTTGCTGTTTAATCATTGTAGAAACAGTTTCAAGACTTTCTAGAGGAGGTTGCTCCATAGATTGATCCTTAACGCGTTTTAGTAATAAGCATACTTCGCGCACCTCACGACGATAGGTGTAACATTTCGAAAGCACATCGGTTTTCACCATGGTTATCTCCAAAGTTGGGATAAGGTTCTTATAGCGAGAAATTAAGTTTTCTAACTTTGTTTGCTCAGCAATAGCTTGATTTTCCGGACAATGCGATGTAAGCGAATCTAAAGTTTGCACCAACCACTTCATATCTTCACGTTTAGAATCGGCATCTTTGCAGATATTCTAAAGTTTAAAATAAAAATAAAAACATAAAAACTACTCATAACCTTTTCCGATTTAAACATAACCTAATTTATGACCTACCATTAATGTCTTCAGCTTTTAGTTTGCGTTAAATTTAAATTTTAGTTTAATTTATTTTATGTTAATGAATATTTTAAAATTACACCTACTTGAAATACTGCCTTTTCTCGTTCAAACTCTTCTACGCTATTGACGTCGCTGAGAATGTTGCGCAGCATCCCGTCGACTTGATTCATCCATCCCACCATGGCATTAAACTTCTCATGATATTTCTCCCACTTTTCCGGCACTTGATCCAGCTGAATCTTGAGAGCTTCCGCCTTTGCATTCACGTTCTTCCAAGCAATCACTGCCTTATCGTAAGCTTCACTCAAACTCTTGTCATCAGGTCTAAATTGATTATAAGTAGTGGTGATTTTCTCCAAATTCATCACGCAGCGTTGAGTTTCAGCCATGATTCCGTGCGGGTTAAAGAAATCATTATGTTTACTCAAAATAGCATTGATATTTTCTTGTTTATTAAAAGCTTGCTGTTCAATATTCAACTGTTTTTCGATTTCTTTGATGTAATAATTAAATGAAGACTCATCCAGACGGAATTCTAATCTTATCAAATGCAACGGTGCAAATGACAAGATTTCCCTCCATTTTGTTTGTAACTTTTCAACTGATTGGATTATAGGTTTGTGTTGATCACTCGGAAGACAATTACACAAATCCTGAGCTGTTTGTGTTAAGTCATGTATCCATTTTTCATTCACACGTTCGAAGAAGTTTTTATGTAACTCCACAGCGTTTTTAGAATCGATGTGTTTCTCGCTTATCAGTTGATCAGCCTTGTTAAGCCAGTCAGCAATAACGCGTTCGCATTCCAAGAAGTTAAACCAACATCTGATTGCTTCCTGGAACTTATGCTCCCAGACTTGAGCATTCTCAACAACATAATCGAACCTGTCATTGAGTTGCTCCATTTTGGCATTTGTTTCAGCTACGTCCAGATTGGTATTTTGATCAATGCTTTTCACAATGTTCCGGAGGACTTTGTTTTTACTGTCTAGCATTGATTTGTAATACAGGGTCTTCGTGAAGAATTGTTTATGTCTATCCAGTTGTTTATGAAGTGTTTCTTTGTCACATGTCAGTGTTAAATGACTCAAATGATCTTCAGCTGCGTCTAACCAAGCATTAATCTCTTGTTGACCTGATTCTAAACTTTGTTGTTGAACCAAAAGTTGGTTAAAGAGATTAATCTGCATTGGGATCAAAGCTCTAACTCTGACTAAAGCCTCCTTTTCTTGTTTTAGAGTCGCCATCATTTTATCAACGTCATCTCTGTTCAACTCTTGAATCAACATTTGGAAAGTCTTGGAAACATCTTTGAACAATGATTCCATCGATTCAACTTCAGATTGAAGAGTCGTTAAGTCATTCAGGTGTTCTTGTATCTTTTTGGTTGATCCTAATTGTTTATTAGCAAGAATACCTTCTGCTTTTCTCAACCAATTAGAAATAGTATCCACTCCAGCTCTGAAGTCCTTTCTGTTTCTGAGGATATCCCCAGCATGACTATATTTGTTCACATGTGGGTATAACTTCTCCCATCTTTCTGTCATTCGGTTGTAGTGATCCCTCAACTCCATAGCAAGATTATCTTCACAGGTAGCAATCAGGAAACTCACTGTATCTCCAAGTAATTGATAGTTATCCCTCCACACACTGATATCTTGGAAGAATTCCATTTTTTGTTCCTCGTTCTGTTTGATGGCGACTTCCGCTTGGTCCAACCATTGATCAAACTGAACGGAGAGACCATCCCATCTACGCCAGTAAGCAACCACTTCTTCTAACATACTCTGAACACATCGTAACTCCATTGAAACATTCTTCCAACGGTCTGCTATATCTTTGATAAATTTATCTACTTCGTATTTTTCGTTTTTGTCTATGTTCCCATCCCGTTTGTATTCATCAATAACCGCTTGCATGTCAATATAAGCTTTGTTGAATTCTTGGAAAATATGATTCTTTGACACGAAATTTCTATACTGGTCTAAAAGTTGAACAACTTTGTCCAATCTTCCGTATTTGGCTGTCCAGGACTTTAACTTGGTTTCGGTGAGTTGCAAAAATGCAATAAGGCAACACTAAAACAATAAAAACATAAATTAATTTACATTTCAATTTAGTAATAAATTTAATTACATACTTTGTGTTCTAAGAATTTCAGTCTAACCCTCCTCTGGGCTGCTTTAGGTTTAATATCCCTTAGTCGTTCCGTCATGTTGTCCAACTGCACAGAAGGCACTTCTCGAACCAAAGGTCCCTGACAAGCCTGCGCAAACTTGGCTTCAATCGCTGGTAGATCAGCAAAGAACAATTTATGTTCCTCCAACTTCCTGCTGATAATCTTCGCAGTATCCTCATTCATAGCCGTTGGTATCTCATCATCATAAATCAATTTCTCAGCTTTCGCAAGCCATTCACCAACTTCCCCGAATTCACCAGGCAGTTGAGAATCCAACAACCACAACCAATACCTCATTTGTTTCTCTAACAAATACCAAAGTCTAGTAATATCAAACCATGATTCTTTTGCGATTGATACCAAACTCTGGGATTCAATCAAGTTCTTCAACTTCAAAAACACTTTTTCTTTCTCTTCGGCATCAGATTTAAAAGCCAAGTAATCATTATAATCACGAGATAATGAATTAGTCTGTTGAAGGTGTTCCAGATATTGAGTCTTCTTCAAAAGCCAAGCAAGTAGTTCACTGTACTCTTCTTGAATAGCTGCGATGGCGTCCGGACCTGTACTTTTAGGTTCCGGATATTTGTGCAGAAACTGTGCCACGTAAGTCATGATTGATCGTTCGTCCGGTTTAGGGACGTCTACGTCTTCAGGATCTAGGAGACGTGCAATACCCAATTCAGATTCAGCTACATCGAACGCTGTTTCCAGGCGGGTACGATTGGATTCCTTCTTCAATTCGGCGAGGTTCAACAGGTTGGCTTTGATGGCGTCGATTATGGCTAGGAAGGCTACACCATCACGCCAACTTGCTCCAAAGTCTTTTACTTCAATTCCTGAGTCACTATTTATAAAACAAAACATTAAATCTTTTATTATTTTAAATTTTATATAAATATCTACCTTGGTAAAGCATTAGAAACCCATTGTAGTAAAGTTTTCCTAGCTCCAAGTTTCCATTTGTCTTTTGTAGCAGAAGAAGTAGTTCCGGAGCTTTCTAAACTTGAAGAACTACCGTATTTGGCGAGATACTCCAAAGCTCTGCTATTCTCTTCAATCTATAAATGAATTTAACATTTTAATATATTTTTAATAACAATTTATAATTCTAAATGATCCAAAAATGAAGTGAACCTAAATATCCCTGTGTATATACAAAAATTCTCTGGACGAAACAGACACAAACACAAACACATAATTTTTAGTAACAAAACGTAATTATTTGTGTGTTTGTGTGCGTGAATGACGTGTGTGTGTGCTCGTTGAACTCAAGTTGGAGTTGAAAACGAAGAGTTAGTTTAATTTTTATGTTGATATTCGGTGTTGGAACTCACCACGATCCAAAAACTATTCCGTCGTCGCAGCTTTTAAAATTGTATCATGAAAAGATTGTTAAACAGTTATTATTTATTATTAAAATCATACAAATTAAAGAAAAATTAGTTTTATTATTGGTTTTATCAATAAATATCAATAAACTACAAGAATTGAATTTCTTTGTACATACCTGGAAGTATAAGATGATAGTCCAGATTAATCCTAGAACAACTGGTGGGCGTCCGTCGACTAGATCACTGGCGTTGATGTTGACTAATTTTATTCGTTTGCCAGCGAGAAATTGAAGGGCTGTGTTTGCGTTGCTTAAAAAGTGAGGACGTCTGAGAACTCTGCCTCTCTCCACAGGCTAAAATATAAAAAATTATTAATAATAATTCATTTAAAAATAACAATTTTTACTAACCAGCTTCTCTCCAGAAAGAACTTCCAACAATGCAAGTAATTTAGTGCCATCTTTGAGGTCGTTGATCAAATCGTCTACTCTTAGCGGTGGAACTCGCTGAAATCAAAAATAAATTAGTATATATTTACAAAACACGCGGCGGAAAAATCGTTAATCCTTTAATCACCAATTATTCGCTATTCGACGTTTTGATTTGAGATTCAATAGTAGTAGTGGATTTTACGTTTGCATGTTTTTGCGATGCGTCGATTAAGAGCCGTACCAAGTTGTACGAGCACGAGTTGAGTCAAATGCGTTTATGGCGGAGGCGCCGGGTGAAGGCACGAAACAAAAATGCAAACTGTTGAAAGTTTGGTGGAGGCGCCGTGAGCACCTCGTCGACTGACGGATCGCGGCGAACTGATCAAGCGAAACCGAAAACAGAAGGGTTGCAAGCCCAAAACCGACAACTAAACAAACTCAAACAAAACACAAACGCGAATGACATAGCTACAGGTATAAATCCATACATTTCATTGTCACTTCCTGAAATGTCTAAATTTTGTTCTAACTGTATTTTAAAACACCGTTTATTTCAAAAATTAAAATTTTGAAAAAATTTTTGCTTTTTCACTGATTTCTTTCCTTTCGTTGTAAAATTTAGATTAATGTAAAAACACCTTGTAGTTTTCATGTCACGTGAATTATAAGTTTCGCGGGCATCAATGTTCTTCATTGTTGTCCTGACATGCAAAGCATAACGAAACTTAGCTGCTTAACTGCGCGTAAAACGAACATTCTTAAACGATTCATTAACTAGTTTTAACTATGTGTGGCTTTAATTAATTTTCTTGTGTTTTGCATGCCTTGACATGCGTGCGTCCTGGTTTTTCTAGACATCTGCTTTCAATTATGAGATTGACATGAAGTGACTATAAATACCAGTGCATGTTGATATTAATTTGATGTGAAAGGTAAATTGTCTGCGTTTGTCTTCATTTGTCATTCAACTTACCTTTGACAAGTACGAATTGATCCAATTTACAAAGGTTTTCTTTTGTACGCGTTCTTGTTCATCTGGAAAAAATAAAAAGTCATTAAATATCATTAATATTAAAGACAGTCAAGTTTTCTTAAATTTAATTCCGATCAAACGCAAATAAATATTTTAATTGTGAATATCTCGTAAACTAAAAAAGTTAGAATTAAACGTACTTCAAATTCTCAAACCTCAATAGATTTTTAAGACTTTAGAGTAATCAAAACATAACATTTCAAGAACCGTATGATGATAGAAAATCCCAAAATGTTAAAAACCATAAAATTTTATTTTTACATTTGTGTTAATAAATATTGCGAAAAAATGGCTTGCAAAAACTCTCGCAAAAAACTCTCTTTATTTATGATGTAAATATTACCAATTTTCGATGGTACTTGTTAAGTTTGTTTATGCTCCGCATAAATTATCAACTGATTGCAAAATTTTTAGCTCGTGTTTTAATAAGCATCAATACTTATATTGTTTACTCAAGTTATTTAAGTTTGCACATAAATATTAAATAACATTTTTGCTGACAAATGGAGTTAAAAATAACGATGACATTATTGCTCATCTATGGACAGCAATTAAGAAATAACTAACATTGGAAACTGAAATAGAAACTAATTACAAATGGATTTTTATTGTCTCAAATTGCAAATTACTTAATTACTCGTAATATAATATAAAATTACAAAACGACAATCGAATCAAACCAAATAAATTTAGGTAAAAATTTTGTCAAAATTTATTTTATTTATTTTTTCACAATTCTGATTTTTTAAATTTATTAGTTATTTTCAATGTTTATTTAGGTTAATTTGCTAAAAACATCGAATTCTAGAATATAATTTTGTTTACTTTCGACATATTATTCCTAAGCGGCATTTTCAAAGACTAATAAATCGATAAAAATAAGGCAAGACTTAATTGCATGTCGCTGTCGTCGATGAATTTTAAACAATTTTAAGTCTCGCATCAGAATGCACAGGTTGTCGATTTCTACCAGCTTGGCCTACTCATACCTCCGTTTGAATACTACACTAGTCTAAAAATAACCCAGTGATGTAATACGTAATCGAACAAATCAAAAAGCAAAAAAAACGCAAGTAATTTTAACAAATTAAAATGTTTACTGCAATTCTACCAGACTTACAATATTTCCTTATCAATTTCTATCTAGTTATACTTCACCTTAGTATTCAACTCAATTAGTTAGAGTGTTGTTTTAAAATTAAAGCCAACAAATCCAATGTTTTCGTCAAAACGAAACTTCAACGATACACAAAACCAACATGAAACAATCATACAACGTAATAATCACGTCTTGTATTTTACTTTCATGTTCTTCTTGCACCTTTCTACGAAATATTTAATTTATGAGTATGTAAGTCCTGGTCTGATGAGTAAGTAAGGAAATGCCCTCGAAACTACTCCGGCGGGATAGGAAAAGGAAAAACTTCGGAGACGTCGCAAGCTATCATAACATATTTTTCCGCTATATACACTGCAGGGGCATGCACCCTGAAGCATCAACATGAAAAACGCAAACATTCAAACCCGTACTAATGCAAAACACTAAAACATTCGAATATCAAAAGGCGGAGTAATATTTTTATGTGTTTTATGTTTTATTGTCTTCTATTATACACCGTATAATAAAAAAACGCTTCCTGATCAATAATATCATAATTTAAATCATAACGTTATTTTTATAAGCATTAAAAACACTGTATATACCCTGTAGATATATTTTCGTTAGTTTTATTGTTAAGCGGAAACATTTTATAGATCCAGTTTTATATAGTTCTGTTCTTTTTTTGCGTTTTTAACGACATTTTTAAGAAATCGTACACAATAGCTCATTACTTAAACGTCAAGGGCGTTCCAGGTAGAATTATATTACAAGGCAGTGCTAATGTATTTCGGAAATGAACAAGATATTTTCAATTAAATTTGCCGCTTAATTATTTCATAATAATTACTTAATTTTTCAAAATTTCTATAGGTAACAAGCTTTTGCCCGTGACTTCGTCCTGGTAGTGTTTAATAAAAATGTAATTCGTTTTTCCTCTCTTGTTCTAGACATAGTATGTATCAATTCTATCAATAAGATACGCAATTTTATTTTAAAGAAATTAATTATATAAAGAATTGCTAATAATGCACTTCCGCGCGCCATCTCGAATTCAACTATTTAACTATAACTATGATTGAATCTCAATGCCAACTTTTATCCTATACAAAAGGCTGTCTTTAGGGTTTTCCCAGCAATTATTCGAATTTATCTCGCCGTAAAAAACCATTCTTGGACTTTAACGAACATTTTAATAAAAGAATTGGCCAAATTGGTCTAGGCGTTGTTGAGTTATGCGCTTACCAACAGAATTTGCGATTTATTTTTATATTATAGAATAAACCAATTACTTTCAAACCATAAAAATGGATGCTATTTTTTTCAAACAAACTTTCAACAAATATATTCTTGCATCTATAAACATTCATATTAAAAAATCTCTGTGTATAATGTTGTAATCTTTCAAATTTCACTTGAGGTGTTACATATCATGTAATCCATGACATAAAATATTAAATTGCAAGCAAAAACATGTACCTACCTAGTAATAAAGTAGGTTTATAAAACAACAAATCAATAAAGTATCAATAAAATTTGATATTTGCAATGAACTATAAGAATATTTATTAATTTAATACCTCTTACATCATCATTAAAGTGTAAATGAATAATGTAAATAGTAAATATTAATATCTTTTAGCTACCTATAAATTTCGCTACAATATTTACAAAAAAAATTAATTATATGTTTGCAAACATTTAATTTAAACGCAACTTACGCGTCTATCTAATACTCTTTTTTTTCTAAATTTGTTTATCCACAGATTATAAATTACACGTTAATTTGAATTCGGCAGCGATTAAATTAATTCAAAAAGTGTTGCATAATAATTTATTACATGTGCTCTTAACCTCCAGCCAAGAATGTACCGCTTGAGAAGTTTAAGAAGTTGAAATCGAGAGTCGCATTCGAAACTCTCGAGAATACTGCTGTTACATTGGCTCAATATTGTTTCACGGTTGAATTTCTAGCGATTTAGCCATGACCAGTCCAAAAGAATCTGAGTTCTATGAATTATGAATGGCTCGTAAATTGTGCTGCGAATAAATATTACAACATACTGTATGTAAATTTATTCGAGGATTTAATATGAATGTATGTGTGAATCTGTGAGGTGCGTGTGAATGTTAATGAAATTAAATGTTTAACATACAAGTACGAGTGTAGAGATTAAAGAATGAAAGTGATCGTTATTAAAAGAGATTAACTCATAGTATTAGTAATCAACAAGCAGTCAACACCGGATGAAATTAAAATTTTAACAGGTTTGATTTTAATTTTAAAATTTTTATGATTTTGACATAATTATTTGTAATTACTAAAAGAATTATATCTAATTAGCATAAATTATATCTTCTTATGAAATTTTTAAGTATTTTTATAAACTTTTAAACTTTCAAATTTTTAATGTCGCGACAAATTCACGGTTCCATTGAAAACATTTTAATATAATTTGATATTCAATCCATCTATAATCCTGGTAGCATTATGTCATTTTGAAACATTCAACATGAGAAGTCACATCACCACACGCACATCAGTACCAGCTGGCGATCATTCCAACATTCATAAATCTCGTAAATATTATCTTTAGCGTTTTACGAAACTTACGTCGTTGCTTTTTTCTTTTTCGATTCACTAACATACATAATTTCGATGTCGTCAGTTGACAATTTTATATTTGACAGTAAAGTAGTATTAGTAGTATTAGTAGTAACTATAAGTGGATACTAAATATATTTCGGGACTCCGGGATACGTTTTATAGAAGAAGTTATTATATTTGAATGAACCGACGTCAGATTATATCTTTTGGTGAATCTAAACTATATCTACTTTGAGTTAGTAAAATCTATTACCAGCGCAAATGTTCATCCAATAAACCTACTTTTTCTAACCTAATTTGAAAGCTTGCTATTTTGGTTTAATGGTGATTTAATGTTCAAATGTCACAAATCAGAATACCTACTTATGATAATCGTAATTTGCATTAAATTTTTAGTTTACTATCAATGAAACAGAAAAATTTACTACCTATACATTAAAACTAACTTATAATGTCTTAGTATGATAATTTTGGGTATTTTCAGCTGACCGCATTCAGTTTCCCAGCGCGTGTGTAATAATTGTATTAGTATGAGACAAACAGCCCTGAAAAAATCAATACCAAGTATGACTCACTGACCCTCAATTAATAGTGTGCAAACATGAACATGTAAAAAATGCAAGTAAACAAAAACGTACTTCTTCGTGTACTGTAAAGAAGAACTAGTAGGTATTGTTTAACTATATAGTTTATGTATCTTATTCGTATTATCTTCAACCTACTTGATGGTATGGTCGCGGGGAGTGGTGGACTAGTATGATGGAACTTTGTCTTTCATTCTCAGGGTTTGAGTTCGACTTAGGTAATACGACGTTTTCCGTGGCATTTGGTTCCCCCGTTAATAAATAGTGGAACGAAGTATAAAATAAACTTCGTGAAGTTTATGAAGCCATTGTTAGTTAATAAATTAATAATTGCTACTGTAACATGAAATTATTCCAATTTTCAGTACTGTATTGTGACTTATATAGTTAAATATACATTTCATTGCAGCATCATATTTATCACAAGGATTAGTACTTAAAGATAAGAACATGAGACACAGGTTGATATAAGGGGTAAAAGCAGATAGAGATCGTTACACACTTTTTGAATAAATTTAAAATCAAATTATACCAAGTAATTAAACTTGTACACAAAAAAGATGTTTCTACACTTTCTAATTTTCCAATTAGCAAGTAAGTTAACAAATTACTCCTTACAAGCCTAAAAGTGTAAAACCATAAATTACTACAAATTGTAACTTCTCCACAGCTTAAAAACTGAAATAAACTATAAAATATGCAGATTTATGCAAACTTATGTGCATATTGTTTTATTTTTTGACTTTTACTCATATCAATTAACATACAAAACATTCTAAAACGTTCTATATAGTTTGGTTTCATAGGATACACCAAACTTTAGTAGTACTCGTACTTTGCCTACCATAAACTTATAGCATATAAGGCTTTCTGGCAGTTAATTGCAAGCAATGCATATCAGCATATATGCAAATCGTGACTTGATTTGTCCGTCGACTGCACGGTTTTATACCTTTGTTGACCTAAATAAACTACTAGCATTAAATCAACGCCGAGAATTTGTTGTGACAAAACAAAACAAATTTCAAAATTTGAATTTTTAAAACGTGGCTTACATGTATTAATATACAAATAATTATAGTGTTGATGTAATTGTAGGTATGTTAATAGATATGTTTAATCGGTTAATTGAAATCCGTACAACACGCATCTCGATTAGCGTAAATTCCTAAACTGCTTAGAATGCCGACTGCCGAGTATGTTCAATTACGTACTTCACTTTTCGCACTTCGCGTGGCTGTGAGTACGCAATTGGAGAGTCACGTTAAGTGGCATTTCCGTTTGTGCAAATGTATACAATTAAATATAAATATACATTGTGCATTTCAAAATTAAAATTTGTTTATTTTTTCATATCAATACGGATTACGTGTATATTAGCATAACTGTGATTGAATTTGCATATCAACTTTTATCCTTTATTTTATCCTATTTTAGTTCTATTTTTGCGACAAAAAGTTACCTATTTGCTTTTCCAAGCTCAAAATTATTTCTATGTCAAAATTTATAACAATTGGTTTATTGAGATTTACGTGAAAGAGAACAAACACAGAAAAATTCTGAATAATAATATTGGAGAATAGAATGGGAAAAGTCAATTCAACTCAACAAATTATAATTACAACAAAGCTAAATATACTCAATGACAAATACAATATCACATAAAATACAAACGTCAAATGGTAAATTCGCAAGAAATGTTCTGCTAACTCCAACAAAAACAAATCAATAACATCTACTAAAATAGCTATGCAATATGCAAACACTTCATAATAAATCACAAGTAGTAATTAAATATCCAATATTAAAATCACCTTCAAAACTAATTTCTATTACTATTTTATTTATTTATACTAGTTGATGATGTATCTCAACTGCCTCAATAAGAGTATGCATGATCTGTTTTCTTGTTCTCGATTTAAGTAGGAGTACTTGACAAACAAAGCTCTAAAGCTCAAGTTAAGCAAAGAAACGCATGCATATGTCATCACAAACACAGAGCATGATCTCATCTCCTCAAATAAACATAAATATATTTCATCCAGTGACATAAACATTTGCTGTAGAGCACTACAGTAAATTTAGCTGGAATTAATAGCGCTGCATTTGCATAAAGTAAAGTTTAAACCAGTTATCATTATTTGCAGAAATAAACTATTTATAAGTTTTATTAATCAGGATGTTATATGTACATATAGATAGAGTTTTATTTATAAATGTAATAAGAGTAATTTTCATTGTTTAAAAAAAAAATTCTTATCATACTTAATATGAAAACAATGTCTGCATTAAGAAATGAGAAAGTAACCAGGTAATAAAAATATTAATCTGAAAATTCAACATAAAAGACTGTAAAATTGTCGTAAAATCTTATTGTTTAATATGCAGTTTCCAAGAATCAAGAATTGTCAAGAATTGTCATGGTTATTGTTCTATATTTTATATGTTCTGAGAGTTAAAATAAGTATGACACATTACATCCGGAATACTTGCATATCGATGCTAATTAAATTAGTAATAACATAAAATAATAATCAATTTTGTCATCGTATGCGTAATTGGTGTAAAAATAAATTGAGTAAACTTTTCCCATTAAAATAGCACATTTTTGCGGTATATATCTGAGATAAGAAGAATTAATTCGTTATAAATGCTGTTATTAAGTGTATTGCGCATGCGCTCATTCAAATTACGCGCCAGAGCATATCTATAATATAAAAATGTATCGCAAAATCTGTTGGTAAGCAAATAACTCAACAACGCCTAGACCAATTTGGCCAATCACTTTTTTTAAATGTTCGTTAAAGTCCAAGGATGGTTTTTACGGCTCACCGAAAAATTCGAATAATTGCCGGGAAACCCCTAAAAACAGCCTTTTTCTATACGATAAAAGTTGGTATTGAGATTCAATCATAGTTATAGTTGAATAGTTGAATCCGAAATGGCACGTTGAAGTGTATTAGCAAATCATTAATTTCTTTAAAATAAAATTGCGAATCCATTGATAGAATTGATACATACTATGTCTAGAACAAGCGAGTAAATACGAATTACATTTTTATTAAAAACTACCTGGAAGAAGTCACGGGCAAAAACTAGTTACGAAATGAAAAAAAATTTGATTTAATAAATATCACCAGTGCATTCACCGAAATTAATAACCAAAAAGATGAAGATATGATAAATGATAGACACTACAAACAAAATTAAACCAAATTAACGCAAGTTTTATTCTCCGCAATTAAATTTATATCTTTACATATATTTTCAAAGTTTCTGGCCTTTACAACGACCAATATCAAGTAAAGTCACTGAGCTGAAATAATTTTAGTGCTACTCCCATACACACGTGTGAAACAGAATTATTAACCGAATAATTATCACTTAAGTCACTTGAGTTTCTAGAAGTTTGTTGACTTGCTACATTTCAGACCTACAGATTTAGAGATTTAGAGAAATCATTTTTAAACAATTATATAATTTATTTTTATTAAATAAATCAAATTTAATCATCTTTAACATGATTTGATTTATTTACTTTGTGTACTTTGCGTAGTTCTAATAAATTAGGTCTGACACAGTGACGCTGTGCCGATTTGTGTCGATTGTAACTTGTTGTTCATTGCGCCTGCTAGCGTAACACGCCGGGACAAATTTAGTCCGAGGTTAAGTTAACATTGTGCGCGGATCGAAACGATAAAGTGATAATTTGCAAAACACACATACGAACACGCGCCAGAAATGGCTTAAATAAATTGATATCATTTCGGCGGACATTAGTTTGGTTAGGCATTAGTGCCAACCGATTTGGGGAGATTCAATCAAGCCGAAGTTGTTATTCTATCTTATCTTGAATAAATATTTATGCTTGCAATAGATATATGTATTAAAAATTGATCCCATAAAAAAACAAGTTGTAGGAGTCAAAATTCTTTAAATACAACATTTTTATAAAAAAAAGAATTTTCTTTATTTTAGTTTATAAAATAATTATTTAATGCAAATACCTTGTAATATCACTGCAAAACATAATTTTAGTCAGAACAAGTCTCCAAAAATAAGAAAAATGTAAAAAATTGCATTTTCCGCAATTAAATCATCAATTTTTAATTTAAAAAAAGTTTTTGTTGCTAAAATATTGATTGTCTTTATCATAATCTCAAAAACTTCAATTTTATTAACTTAACCTAGAAATATATCAATGTCTTATGAAATATTTAATTATTTTTACGTTATAAACACAATTTTAATTGACCTAATTTCAATTTAAAACCGAATTCAATTTCTTATCAATTAATTAAATTACATAACCAATCAGTCGGCGTTTACGCTTTGAAATTAAAACCTCGTTTATTTATACATCTCTTTCATTAAATTAAACCGTTATAAATAACCATGCATCTCGTAATTCTGCGTGTGAGGTTAAATTAATCGAAAATAAAAAAAATAAATAAATTAAACTTATGCTGACCTCTGATAACACTAATATGTTTGTCATACTCCGAGTGACTGTTGAAATAGCTCGCCGCATTGTTGTGCTGAAAACTCTGCGTCCTATAATCCGAATACCACTCTTGCGACGAATTCCTTCCGGAACTGTCACTATCCCATTCTAATCTCTCCTGGACGGGGTCTTCCTCAGGCTCTCCACTGAGGTAAACCTACTCGTTCCAGGTGAAGATGATTTATTCCCATTTGAAGTCAGACTTAGATTCGGATTATTATCATCATCAACATCTCCAATAGATAATTGGCTTTGACCATATCCGGCATATTGATGACTTTGTTCAAATTGTGTGTGATAGGCAGAATCTAGAACTTCTTCAGAAGGTGTTCTACTTGTGGAAGGTCCTATCCAAGTTGAAGATACGTAATGTTGTTTTACAGGACTGCTACTTCCGCCTTGGACTTTGACAGTAGTAGTTGTGGTAGTAACAGTCCTCAGGACCTTCCTAGTGATTCTTGTTGAAGAAGATTCCGATGATTCTATATCTCTCACATTGGTAGCACGTCTTGTATGAACATGTGTGGAACCACTTGGGGTTGATGCATCACCTGCACCACCCCCAGCGCCTCCACCCCAAATTTGTTCATAGAATTTCACGCGGTCGGAAAGCCGTGGACTGCCTGGTTTAAGCCGCTTGGGAGTCGAAGGTTCCTCCAGCACATTCTTCTTATCACGCTTATCACTCATCGTTTATTATACTTCTTCATATTTTACACAATTCACCCTTACGTCACATGATAAACTATGAAATTTTCAACACATTGCACCACAGATTTAAACCGAAGTTTTCACAAACACATTTTTATATTAAAACCGAAAAGAAAAAAGATATCAAAAGAGAATCTACGTTGTAGTTGGATTGAAGTGATCAACGCGCACCAGCTGGTTGGCGGATACTAATGTGTTGGTCGCTGGTTGCCGGTAGCAGAAACGTAATCAGCGATCGCGACGAACGAAAACAATGTGCGCGCCGCGTGCGCACTCCTCGCTGGAGGAGGAGGAGGAAGGTCGAAACCGGCGGACACGGACGATGGACACTACTTTCTGTTGTTCGTGGAAGTAACACACAAGTACTTTTAATTGTGTCCTTCAAAAACACTTCTTCATAGGCAAGAAAAGAATAAAAAAGAGAAAAATTCGGTGATTTTAAGAGGGTTATAGAGGGAAATTAATTATTATGAAATTATAATGTAATTTGTAATGCGTGAGTGTTATTTTGAGGTTGGAGAATACTTGGGGTTGAAAGGGGAGTGTGGCAGCCACGTGGCGCGCGTGTGGCGGCGCCAATTTATTGATCTTTTCGTGCACAGCCAAACCCTACGTCTTGAAACATGTTCTACGTCGCAGCATAATGCATTTAAAATAGTTTCAGTGGTTCTTTTAATTAAATTCTAAAAAATATATATATAACCTTAAATAATAAAAATTTTAAACTATCCACCAGCAGATGGCGCTGTACTTCACTATAAAACCCTTTTTTTATTTAATATTTTCTATTACATATTCTGAAATTTATCCATATGATTATGTTTAACTTGTTTAACATGTTACTCTACGTATTATATGTTGTAAGTTGTAGATAAACGAATGTTACGTAAATGTCGTCATGATGACACAACGATGACACTGACAACACGACTAAACTCTGAAAAACTCAAAATTTACAGAGTTGTTTAGTTTAGACTCGTTGAAGTAGTAGGTTTAATTTATAACTGTAGTATATATAATGTACTCGTTCTAGTGCTAGTTGTATTTTATTTATGTGTGTTTCTATTGCATTTGAACTATTCACATATTGTGAGTGTATTGTTGTGTTGGTTGCGTTCGACCTTGTCCTGCTCGACAACCGAACAGCGGCGAGTCTCAGTTACCCAATGACCCTGCACGTACGCAGGACGCACGAACTCGACCGAATTCTACTCTCTTCTCTTCTTTTTTTATTCTGTTTTGCTTTTAAGCAAAGAGTACGCAGGTTAATATTTTTCATTGTTGGTTTATTAAAGTGTACGTAGTTTATACGCAATTGTGATTTTTAACTGTGTGGATGTAAGGTGAATTTGTTTCTTTGGCAGAGTATTTTATTTCAACTCTAACCTAACCTAATTTAATCTAACCTAACTTCGAAGTTACCTCTTCATGTCGAAAAATAAAACGATTTTATAACTAATTTAAGTTAATGTTTATTGGCAGCTGCATTCATTCTCATTGCACCTGACAAACTACAACAGATATAATCAACGAACGGTAAAATACCGAAAATGCAAGGGGCGTTAAACACCTGTTGATTTTATTGCCAAAAATGTGTTCCACTTTTTTTTAATTTTAATAGAATAGATATAATATCAAAACTTTTAACTTTTTTACTGCTAATTAAACTTGATATTTTATTACTTTTAAAAATCGCAATTTATCATTTTTAAATGTTTTAAATTAAATTGAAGAAAGTTTCGACTTATAAGTTTATTTTTTAAAGTTAATTGTTTCGTTTTTCCGCACTCTGCACATTGCTAATATCCATATCTGCAGTTCGCTACAAAACTACAATTAATTATAAAACATGCACTTGTTACAGACGTAAACAACGCATTATAATCGACGTATTTAGAGCGCATTAAACAGTAAGCGAGCAACTAACTACGAGTATATTCTTCGCGACATTCGTTTATCGGTAATTCGAAATGCAGCTCAATTAAGTTAACTAAATTGACGTCATTAATCAAGGCGACACGCCACCGATTAACCATCGTGCTTTTTTTCTCTCTTTAGTTAAGTTTATAAATGTGTTCAACACGGAAATATTGTATATTACACATTCTATTGTAATAGATTAATATTTTCGCTTTATATGTTTAGATTATGTTTGGGTTATTAGCGCGTGATAAAAATTATTGGTGCATGAGCATTTTTTTAACATAAATTTTAAGAAAATAATAATATAACTACCCGCCAGATGTCGTAACTTTCAATTATGTGATTTTAATATTTCGCACAAATTATTTTTCAAACTACAAGCAGTTTCAAGTTACAAAACGCAGTCAAAGAAAACGCGACTCAAACCCCCAGATGAATTAGCAACACAAACAATCATAACAACAAAAGAGAAAGGTTAAAAAATCTCGGCTATTGCGATCAGTCTCCCCTCGGTTGCCGGTGGCAACCCCATTGTTGCTATGACAACGCCAAACAAACTCCAGCTACTACATAGTTACAACTTAAACTTTTCAAACAGAAATATAACTCAAGCCATTACAGTTATTCCAGTAAAATAAAGTAATAGTCAATAACAGAAACCGACAGTCTATATTATGTTTACACGCTCGATTAATATTTACTGCGGTTTAATCTCTCAGGCGCCGGTGCAATCAGTTAATACCGGCATAGCAGGTAATTCAGGCTACGCGACAATTCATAAAACCATTGGATTTACACTTGAATTAAAAATACTATTACGTCATCGATGTTTGCAAGTGTTGTATCGGCGCCAGCCGCGAATTAAAACGACCTCGCTTTATGCAAATTCAAAGTGAAGTACATCATGAAGTCATCGTATCAATGGTCAGTATATACATACACGTAAACAACCTCAACATTAACATTAACATTAACATTAAAATTGCACCTACATCTTTTTTACGACAGAAAAACACATTCTGATAATAATTAAACTGCATTCGGACATAGTTCAGCTATGTTCTTGAGACGTTAATTATCGCATTAAATGTTAACTTTTAAGTCATTGATGAATAAATAATTAATCAATAGTAGTACGTAGTAAATTATTAATTTATAAATGTCAATATGTATAAATAAGTAAGCATAGATTTACGTAAATGAAAACCATTTGACCTTTGTTAATAAATTTAAATATTTACAAACAAATTTGTAGGAAAACAGAACAAGAAATTAATGTTCAATATCAGCGCCATCTGATTATAGTGACACAAACTAAATACAGTTGTATAATGAGTCAAAGTCAATGTCAACTGTTATAAATCATGAATAACCGCGTAAAATTGATTTTCCTGCTAGAATGATCGATTTTCCAATTTTCATCGGTATTTTTTCATACGTCTCGACGTCGACGTCGCTTGAATCCATGCGATATTAATGAGCATGAAAGCGATGCCAACGCCGTCGATTACGTGGGCACCAGCGACCGCGATCGTCGCCGTGAGCAAAACAATCGACATCGTCCACGTAGCTATACGATACCTATGGCGTATTCCTCCAAAAGCGAGCGTTTCCTCACGTGCATGTTGACGGACAGAAACATGCACGAATAAATGTACAAATACGAAAACGATTCGGCCGACATTGCGGCGTGTTCGGCTTATCGCAGCCTCAGAACCTTCAGAACGCGACGAAATGTAGACGTAACGTTATGTAAAAACGAAGAAACTTTCAAACTGAACTTTCAAACAATAAGACGCTTTTATACAAGTCAGTGTAAGTGACGACGTTGATGGACATGGTTGAAAATTATGTTATTAAAAGTTTTATTGAATTAAGCAGTAATGTAGCATGTGATTTAAAGGATTAAAGTGTTATTTCTACTTGTTAGGGTAAGTTGGCTTAGTTTAAGTATAAAAAATATAAATTTACGTGCTTAAAGTTATAATTTTATGCATTAATCAGTAAAACAAGCTTAAAACAATATTTTTATGATTACTTTCTATTAACTTGCAAGAATACTCTCAAACTTAATTTTTTTAATAACATGTTAAACACTAACATTTTACTACAATACTAAAAATTTAACTTTTTCACACGTTGCTCTTAGCAACCACTAACAAGCATTTACTCTTTTTTACTTATTTTTAAATTTTACTAGTTTGCTATACTTATGTATCACTGGCATTCGGAAAATTTTCATTTTACACATAATGTACAATTCAATTGTTTTTCGAACAAAATTGGTAAATAATGGATCAAGTTATGCACGCACAATTACCTGCCGATCATTTTCATTTCGCCGCCATCCTACACACCACGCGATAAAATATAGCAAAACAAGATTTATGACACAGTGAAATTAAAGTGTTGACTGTCGATGAATCACTGACCTACTGTAGGTTTTACTCTTTCTTTCTTTTCTACGCTTTGCAAATTGTATTATTTTACATCATAGTTCTGGGATATCGATTGGGTACGTACTAAATTACTGAAACCTAAAGTTACAGTTGCGGAAAGCAGCCATATATGTGTCAGCAATGACAAAAATAAATATATGGTAGTATAATTTTATAAATATTATAAACTAACTTGTGCCCGCAACTTCGTTCCGGTGTTTAATAAAAATGTAATTCGTTTTTACTCTCTTATTCAAGACATAGTACTCGTATGTGTCAATTCTATCATTAAGATTCGCAATTTTATTTTAAAGAAATTAATTATATAAAGAATTGCTAATAATGCTCTTCAGCGCGTCATATCGGATTCAACTATTTAACTATAACTATGATTAAATCTCATTGCCAAATTATATCTTATTGAAAAGAGCTGTCTTTAGGGTTTTCCCGGCAATTATTCTAGTTTTTCTTGCCGTAAAAACCATCCTTGAACTTTAATAAACATTTAAAAAAAGAATTGGCCAAATTGGTCTAGGCGTTTTTGAGTTATGCGCTTACTAACAGATTTTTCGATTCATTTTTATATTATAGATATATGTATATGAATAATATTTTTAGGTTATAATTTACAATACACGATTTTTTTCTATAAAAAACAGAAAATTAAATTTTGAAACACACTGTATATTTTTATAAATAAAATCCATTGCGTGTTTAAAGTTGACTGGAGTAAAATGATAATAGTGACGTCACGGATAGCGTGCCGCTATTTTCGGCGAAAAAAACAACTAAAAAACTCTTCCTGCTATTCCTATACGAGTACATTTCAGTCTACTCGTAGGCATAATTTTCTATT